AATTATGAGGCTTCAAAACATCACTGCAGCTCTGCCATGGGAAATAGCTGTGTAACTTTGATTTCCAAGCTGGAATGGCTTCCCTAGCATTTGTCTAAATGCCCTCCAGGGATTTCAGGAGAACAGCTTCTTGGTGCACAATACAAAGGCGTTGTTTATTGGGAATCTCATCCAGTGAGGTGTGGCTTCATCCAGCCCCCGCTCAAGGCAAAGGCGCAAAACAAGTTTCAACGGAGGTCTGAAATTGTCATGGGGAAGATTTCTGCTGATTCAGGTTTTCAGTGTTCAGCCTTCACCTTGCAGTATTTGTCAAAGCCTTTTTAAAAGAAGGAACAGAACACCCTGGCTTCCTCAAGTCTGGAACCTTTCATAAGAAAACACTAAATTCTAAAATATGTGTGCATGTATACAAGTCAGTTGGATAGTGACACTATTTCTAATATTTGACAACATTCTACAATACAAATGGTAGAGAACTTGGACTAAATATTATCCATGGTGAGCTGCTTCCTTATCCTAAACGCCAATCCACAAACCCAATGTTTCTCTCTCTTTTCATAACATTCCACCATCCCAACTCTTTCTATCTCTTTCTATTTTCTTTTCTCATTATTTTGTTGCTGATGCTACGAAGTCCAGCTTTTTAGCCATAGCCAACCAGGTCTGTTTCTGATATAGGGTTGAGATGACAGAAAGTTCAGGACACGTGAGCCTGCCATATTTGTCTCCAGTGCCATCTCCCCCCCACCCCATACACCCTTCCACCACATTTGCCAGAAACAAATAAAAGTGGAAGTATGGTAGTTAAGTTAGAAGAGGGAGAAGGAGCAGAGACAGTGGAGCCTAGGAGATGTGACAAGCCAAGGGGAGAGGAGTTTCTGCATTCTCCTCATTCAAATATTAGGAAACACTGGGTGATTAAAAATAATAATGAGACTGGACGTGAGTCTTTTTAGTGATGTGACAAGAAGTAAATTGATCTCATGCTATCTGTCTCCTGCTGAATACACTGAATCTTTCACAAAACAGTTAACTTGTGGTATGAGTACAGAATGCTTGTGTTTCATTTGGCTCAGGTTTTGGATGAGTAAGAGACACACCTGGGGAGTGTCTGTGGGAGAGAAGAAACACAAGTCTAGGCGTATTATCACATCATTTCCATTTCCATCTGCTCACATTAAAAACCCTATTCAAGATTACAGCCTGGTCCCTTTTTAATTTATATTATCATCATCATCACCACCACATAGTCAAAAGGTCTACTCTTTAAAAAAAAAAACTTCAGCTGCAGAACAGATTTATTCTGCCTCATGGGGCCTTTTCAGCTTCTGCCATCTTTCTTGGTTTCATAACATTTTAATTTTGCAGAAGTCCCATAAGTAAAGAACTTCCCCCTCAGGCCCAGTGTGAATTTGGACAAAGTCGCTCTGTCACACCCAAATCGGTTTCAGATATTGTTGTGAAGTTAAATGAAATAAACACAAAAAGCTGCCATAAAACTTGTGTGTGTGTTTATGGGTATGTAATGCAAGAAACAGGAACTGTATTTTATATCTGTGTCCAAGCCCAGGAATATTTAATGTGGGCTGAGGGTGCAGAGTGAGATGCTCATCAGAACTACTAATGGCTCTGGGACAGTCTCTCCTGACAGGTAGATGTTACCATACCATAGGGAGACAGTCACCACAGGTGATACAGAGTTGGCTCAGTTGGGCTGGCCAGTGCTGGGAGGAAACTCCCAGCCCAGCCCAGCAGCTTGTGAGTCAGAGGTGAAGTGGTTTGGACAAGGGAAGAACAAAGCACTGTGGAATCTTTTTACAGGCCATTTCTCCTACCACCAATATGCTTGCAAGTAATGGACCACACAGGTATGGAGACCCAGAATAGCCACACCTTTACCTCACACCAAGGAAGTGGAGGGAAATGACCATTAGGGTGAAAAAGTGAGAGATTATAATGATTGTTATTTGTTACATTTATCTACCATCCTTCATCCAAAGATCACAGGATGGTTTGCATCATAAATATTCCCCACTCACTGTATCACCCTGGAGACATTTTCTTCATAGCTACAGCCACCACCACCATAATACAGCAAGAGGGTTTGACTCTGAGAGCTGGGCCTGGCCTTACCTCTTGCAAGTCAAGTGGCTGTGGAATTTGAAGGCAGAAGGAGAGAGATGCCAAGATAGGAGATATAACATTACGTAAATTCCTAGGCAGACTGAAAAGAGACGCCACATCCCCAGTCAGCCAGTTTTGGAAGGCAATATTTTAGTAATTAGTAATAGTCAGAATGCAACATTTACAGCCTTAAAATGGGTATCTCTATTCTCTCTGATTGTTTTCCGTTGCAGGTCTAAAGGTTTTCCCAAACAATCAAACTCCAGATTCATTTTAGCCTTTGCTAGATACTCCAGAAAGCTCCATGACTGACTATGATGTCCTATCAGTGCATGATGATGAGTGGAAATTGTCGTGCCTCTGAAGTTTCTGGCAAAATACCCTTTTGAGTTTCACTTCACCTTAGCCTATAGGGAAACAGGGACTGATGAATTAGTTGTGAATACTGCTTCCAGTCTTTACTCACTAGTGGACAAGACAAAGATTACTACTCCATGAATGGGACTAAATCCAGCCAAGAAACAAATCAAATATGTTCCCAACCACATACAGAGAGGTGCAAGACACTGTGATGGGGTTCTACTGAGCAAAAGAACAAGTCCAAAAATTCAGCCTCCTTGGGGCCCTCCTTGAAATAAGGTTTCCAATCCCATGCTTCTAAAACCATGGCAGACATCATCATCTTTTTGTGTTTTGTGTCCTTGTTGTGTTTAAGCACAGTGAATTAACTGTGTGCTGTTCCATAACTACAGCCAGCTGAAAGTCCCCTCACCACTTCCTAACTTCCTTCCCATGGTAGTCAACGTGGTACCCTCCAGATGTTGTTGAATTACAGCTCCCATCAGCCCCACCCCCTGTATGAACAAGGTCAAGAATGAATGGGAGTTGTATTCCAGAAACATCTGGAGGGCATCACATTCTGCTTCCTTAGGAGAAACTTTGTGGAGCTCTGTTAGAAAGGTGTATAGAATTCTAAGATATAAAGCTCTCACCTTACCAGAACTTGTGTGCAGTCCAAATCCACTCTGCATGCTGAAACATTCCCTGAATTTTCAGCATCACTTTATCCATTCTGAGGCAAGGATATGCAGACTTTGAAGGCTGAAGGTAATTTGTCACCTCATTACGACTAGATGTGCTCAAATTATGGTTTTGAACTATTATGTATTTGCACTAAAATAATGACGAAAAGAACATTCCAGTGCTGTCACTAAAAGCATGCTGAAGGGCAAAGAAAATTGTGACCATTTCCTTGCATTTAAGCACAAACAAACAAACAAAACCTTCTGTACTCATAGAAAAGAGCCAAGTATTATTTTGCAAAGCCCTGAACAACTTGGATCAGAGATAACTTAGGGACCACCTGAACCCTGATATCTCAGTTTGATTACTGAAACATCTTTGGTTTTCCTCCAAGTTAGTGAAGCTATCTGGTGTCGACATGAAATTGGGGCCTTCAGTGCAGGAGCAGACTTCGGTAATCTTTGGTTATATGGTGCCCTGTGTGAGGCCAAAATGGATCTTTTCAGTTATGGATCTTCTCAGTTTTGTGCCCCATCAGCTCAACACCCTGTACAGGGTGTTGCCCACAAGGCCCTATATCTGGAGCTGCTTCAGTGCTATTGGTCCAGACTTGTGGACTGCCCTTCCAATAGAGATTCAGCAGACACATTCAGTACAGTGGTACCTCGGGTTAAGTAGTTAATTCGTTCCGGAGGTCCGTACTTAACCTGAAACTGTTCTTAACCTGAAACACCACTTTAGCTAATGGGGCCTCTTCCTGCTGCCGCGCTGCCGGAGCACAATTTCTGTTCTCATCCTGAAGCAAAATTCTTAACCTGAAGCACTATTTCTGGGTTAGCGGAGTCTGTAACCTGAAGCATATGTAACCTGAAGCGTATGTAACCCGAGGTACCACTGTATTAATTTTTAAATATTTGCTGATAACATTTCTATGCTGCCAGGCTAACTTAGACAATTAAAGACATTTATTTCTTTTATAATTAGTGGGTGATCTGCAGGTTTGGATTATTCTATCATTCTCTCTCTCTCTCTCTCTCTCTCTCTCTCTCTGTGTGTGTGTGTGTGTGTGTGTGCGCTGTGCAATGATGCATTTTTTTTATACTTGTGAAATGGAACTTCTCCTCTCCTTCACCTGTTCACGCCTCATGCTCTCCCTAAATCTGCTCTGGAGGGTTACAGGAACCCCTAGTACAGATTTAAAGTTAAGCAGTGGGGGGGGGGATGACTCCTGCTGCCAAGCAGAAATCCTAATAATGAGTTACTTAGCACTACATTGGATGCAGCCTTAAGTATATATATATATATATATTTACAAATAAATAAATAAGAAGCATACTATTGAAGGACATCTCGACATAAAAGTTCATACTATTGTCTGTTGTTTCCATGTGTTTCCGGTTTTAGATTGTGAACCCTCAGGATAAGGACCTCCTACATCTCTTCTTTGTAAAGTGCCATGCACATTGATGAAACTATATACACCTTTTTGCATGTAGGACAGGAGCTTCTGAGGTGGAGAATCAGCCCACTGTCAAAACCCCACCTGCCATTTGAAGCGAGAGAGGTTGCATTGTGTAATGCTTTTCATAGTGTGCTTGGCAATCCAGATACAAGATCCAGGTGGGTGCCAACGGGCCACTAATTTTTCATGGACCTGCTGCTTCATGTTAATGGAACTGGGAGGGATAGATTCCAAACTGCATTTCTGATCTAGCAGAACTCCAAAGCATATATTTAAATGAATGTGCCATTTCATGGGCTTCAAAGGCAACGTTTCCACATGCCTAAGCTGTTGTGGGTCTCTGCCCTTAAGCATTTTCGTATCAACCCAACACATTTTTTAACCATTCAGTGGGAGACAGCAACTTTTTATTAATCAGCTTTAAATATACAATATAATCTTTAACATGCAGTTAAATTATGTCAGAACAGTGTACTTGGGTTGGAATTCAACTATTCAAACCACAATTACAGTTGGTTTAACACTTAACTAACACATTATACTGTATAATATACAGAACTTAGTAGTGACATAGTTCCTGCCAGTGAGGCTTAGAATATCTAAGGCTACAATTCTATACATGCTTAATAAGCATAGCATTAGCCTGTAAGATGGTCAGGATAAATGATGGGGGAAAGGGAAAACAGCAGTAACAATGCATCAACAGGTGGGTGGGTTTTATTTTTTCCATCTCCCCTCCCCCCCAAAAAAAAGAATTCCTGCAGGCATCCATGATATAAAGGAACTAGCTATCAAACGGTCTGTTCCTTGTGAGGCAGTTTCCAATTCAGTACCTACTAGGCTTTTCCTCCCTGCAGCACCAGTTCTATAATAAAGAGGGATTGTGCTACTTCTCACCAATTGTTGTGCAGAATTACAAATATATTACAAAATAATTACCTCAGTGAAAATATCATAATAAGGACTTTTGCCACTTTCTCCCCACCTCCAAGTACTGACCACTGAGGATAGCTATGTGATTATAAAGCAAATGTATAAACGAAAAGAGATTAATACAAAAGCACAGTAGGAATATTAGCAAATGGTTACCTTGCATAGCTTTGCTTCTGTCTTATGAAAGAGCATGAGTTGACTCGTGCCATTTTGTCTGCAGCCATTTCTCCCATTATGGCTTACACAGCGTATTCGCAACACACAAGTAGGCAGGTGAAATTCCAGAAATGGAGATCAATGAATTTAAATATATTTTCATGTGCTTAAAATTTCATTTCTGGTGGCATGAGTAGCAAACACCAGCAGAATTTGGATACCTCATGAGGGAATTTTTTTCCTGCAATATAGGAACACCTGAAGGACTGTAGATGCCAGAGAATCAACTGATAAAACTCATCCAGTTTCAATTAACATATTAAGCAACTAAAACAAACATTTCAGTATTTCAATTCTTAGGATTTCCATTAAGTTGCCAGGTTACCTTCGCTAAATAATGCTACCACTGACAATTTCTTCTTCCACAAATTATTAAAAATCCACTGGTTAAAACAAAAGGATGTATGTGGACTGTTCTCAACCACAATGGGAACCAAATTCCCTTTCAATAGGAACAGATCAGATTCATTTAAGTATGCACAATTTAATATGTAAGTCTTCAATCACACCAGTTGATTAGTGAATGCTTGATTGGTCTACTCTGCCACAGAAAGGCATTTACACTATAACCTGCCCATTAAACAGGAAAGGTAAAAATTTTTGGTTCTTCCTAGGAACCAAAAAGGTTTATTTAAAAATCTAACTATTCTACATCAAACCAAAAAGGAAAATAGGAATAACGTATTGTTTTTAACACTTTGGCATATTTTTCAATGTGTTTTAAAAAGCTCTTAAGCCCCTCTACTGCTTCAATGTTTGGCTAAGGTGGTGGTGGAGGCTGAGGGATATTTTAGTCTGCACATAACCGGCATGCAAAAGTTTAGGAAATCAATAACATGACTCTGTTGCTCTTCCTAGAAGTTATGCATAATAAGGTTTGACATTTCCCAAAATATGATCTTCATACAGGGGGAGGCAGCAAAGGAAGAATCCCAAACCTATACCCATAAGACACATGGTCCACCCAAAGCCATAGGACCAGCTGAGCTCATTCCTTATATTTCCTGGGTAATTTTCACGTAAATATTTTGAGACCATTACAGCGTAGATGACAAGGCCCATGAGAGAGAATACAGCTGTGAGAAAGAAAGAAAAAACACTTTAAGTAAAAATGAGTGGTGGTGAAAACAGAAACAATATAATTCCTTCTCATCATGAATTAAGAGCAGGTTAGTGCAATGCACTCTACACAAGGTTGCCCTAAAAGAGTGTTCAGAAACTGCAGCTGGTGCAAGAGACAGCATCCAATAAATTTCTGCATTCGTTCTGCATTCAGACCATATTATGCTGTTCTTATATCAACTGCACTTGCTTTCAATTCGTTTCCAGGTTCAGTCCAAGATGGTGGTTCTTCTCTATAAAGCCCTAAAAGGTTTGCAACCGGGGTATCTGAAAGGCAGTCCCCTCCCATGGGAACCTCCCGTAAGAACCTCTTCCCTGTCTAAGATTTGGTTGGTGGCAATGCAAGAAAGGGGCTTCCCTAAATGGCTTCAGCCCAATATACCTGAAGGAGCGTCTCCACCCCCATCGTTCAGCCTGGACACTGAGGTCCAGCACCGAGGGTCTTCTTCTGGTTCCCTCACTGCCAGAAGTGAAGTTACAGAGAACCAGGCAGAGGGCCTTCTCAGTAGTGGTGCCCGCCCTGTGGAACACCCTCTCATCAAGGAAATAAACAACTATCTGACTTTGAGAAGACATCTGAAGGCAGCCCTGTTTAGGGAAGCTTTTAATATTTGATGAATTATTGTATTTTAATATTTTGCTGGAAGCCGCCCAGAGTGGCTGGGGAAACCCAGCCAGATGGGTGAGGTATAAATAAATTGCTGTTGTCGTTGTTGTTGTTACTTGTGGCAGCATCCTACGTTTGGAATTCCCATCCAAAATAATGGCTAGTTACAGCTCATAGGAACTGGAGTTTAAATGGAGAGTTCCAGGTTCCCCATCCCTACTCTTAAAGAAGGTAGCAGAGAGAAGATTGGGTGGTTGGAGATTATGGAGCAGACCACCCATGAGGACAGTGATGATAAAGCTATAAAGACGTAAAATGGCCTGGTTTTGGAGGCATCAATTCCTAAGGCATCATATATATGTGTGTATATATATGTGTATATATATATATATATATAGGCAGTTAACTATTTTGTCATGTGATTCTGTAATTATTATTGAGCTGCATCTTTGTGAATTCATGCCACTCTGCACCACCACACCCACTGCAACTATGCAAAAGGACGCTCCTGATTCATTGTGCACTTTAAGAAGGTCTGTTGCTCTTTCCCTACAGCTAAAGAAGCAACTACTCTCTCCAGACCAAAGCCAGGCATCCACCCTTTGCACCGAAAACACAGCCTTACCCGCAACAAAACACAGGCCTCCGATGCCTCTGATGAAGTTGAAGCGAAGCGTCGGGATGGCAAATGCAATGATGGCCAGGGCAAAACAGATCACTATGATTACAAATCCAACAAAGAAAGTGGCCGCTGCAGCCTTACCCCAGGCTGAAAAGAAAAATAAAAGTTAGCTGCATTTTGCTCTCTGTTATTCCAAGATAGCCGTACAAGTATATGCAGTGCTTTTTTCCCCCTAAAAAAAATGTTTGAGGGTACTCTCATTTTCCTACTCATATTGAAATACTACCCCTCAATGAGGCTAAATTTAGATTCACAAAATGTTTAGGGGTATGCGTACCCCTGCGTACCCCCAGGGGCGGGAAACCACTGAGTATATGTAACAGTTAAAGATGATGTGTGTCCTCCCCTTTTTGTATGAACTGGGCTTTTAACATAAGTCTGGTGATAGATATTAGTTTTTTTCTTCCAAACTACTTTTCCCTCTGTTAAGCTGGATTGCCAGGTTATGGTATTGTTTCAAAAACTTATTTGTCCAGAGGTGACTGTCAGACAAGCAAAGCTTGGCTCAAATGACTCTTGGTTGTCTTAAGAACTGTTGTATGTCTTCAGCCGTAATAATATCCTGTCACATTAACACACTGTGTGTAGAAGATGAAGGGAATAGGGGAGGCAGGAATAACCCCAAAGTGTCAGGGAGATAGCAATCCAGAGTACACATCTGCCTCTAGTCTTTGGGTGTCAGTCGGGAATGAATGAATAAATAAATATTTTAAAGAGTCGCCTTGGGATTTTCATATACCTTCATGTAGATGAAATCAATACTAAATCAGTCAGGATCTTAAAAACTTGAGACTCAATGTGTAATGTTGCAGAACATCTGCTACTGAAATGAGTATTTAAAACACACACACACACACACACACTGATTTTAATTCAGGTATTTAAAGTTTTTGAGGCAAACTGTTATGCCCATTATATTATGTGCCTGAGCATATAGAGTAGGTGGGTAAATAGGTATATAGAACTGCATTACTGCTGTTTAATGATCCCACTGGCTTTTTAAATTGAACAACACAGTCAACTGAAATTGACTCTCTCTGTCTCTCTCAATCTATTATACTTTCTATGGGAATTGTTGGTGTCCCAACAGGCATAATCTTACAAGAGGCATTCCCCATTCCCTAGCACTTGAGAGGGAATGTCTTTTTAAAAATAGGAGTTGCAGTTTGCAGTTTTGCTAAGACACACACAGAAACATGCACACAAAATAGAAATATGTAAAATATACCAGCCAATTGATCAGGGGCACCTTTTTAATTGATCAAAATGGTTTTAGTCTATTAAACTAACCAGTTAATTGACTAAATACTATTGAAGTCTTACTGTATCATATATGTGTATTTGCATAGCTTGATTAAAATGCTGGTGTTATTTTGGAACAAAATAATGAAAAAATAAACAATATAGAAATTATTTCTAACATATTTGGAAACTTTAGGCCTGCAAAGCATCTCAAGTTCTGCAAGGTTTTTCTCATATTGTCAGCCAGCCAATGCTGGTCAATTGTTCTAAGAAGGAGAATGGGGGAAAGGCAGTCTTTTGGGGGAGAAAAGCCTAGGGAGACAAGATGCAACCCAGAGATCTTTATCTAACTCTCCATCCATCTTTTATGGCATGGTGGGGAACCTGTGGTACTGCGTTGCTGGACTACCTCGCTCATCATGCTTGACCATTGGCCATGTTGGCTGGGGATCATGGAAGTCCAACAACATCTAACATGGCCACAGGCTCCCCACAGATGTATAATGGCATTTGGCTCAAAGCCAAACAAAAATATGGAAGAATCTGTATCAGACTAATGTACACACTATACCTTTAAAGCACATTCAAAGCACATTCTTTCCCTCAAAGAATTCTGGGCACTGTAGTTTACCAATCACAGATTTGCAATGCGCTGTAGTTTACCAACAACAAACTGCAGTGCCGAGAATTCCTCAGGGAAAAGAATGAATTTTAAAACATAAAACATAATTCTAAATTTTGCTTTCAGGTAAGTATGTATAGGGATTACAGCCTTAAAGTAACGTCCCCATCTTTTACCACCTAGCAGAGAGAGTTTCACATTTATTTAATATAACTGTACATGCTTAAGAATGGCTGAAACATTACATACAAACCACAAAGGAATACTTATAAAGCCAAATTCACATTTCTTATTTAAAGGGTGAGGAAGAAACAGAAGTATTTTGATCATTGAGTCCTAAAATCAGTTCCCAAACTTGACAGGAGAACACTAAGAATTAACATATCCACCAGGGAGGTGTGGTGCTGTGTGTCAATTGACCAAAACGGTGAGCACTTACTTTTTACTAGTAGTTTTGCATTTTTACATATTATGACCAGCTCATAAATTGACCCAGCCCACAACCCAGATTTTCACTTCCTATTTTAACATTTTTTTCATCCTGACAATTATTGCAATTGCTGATTAACCCAACATAATCTCTTGTGAATCACAAGAGGAAGCAGAAGGAAGTCATATGGATTTCAAAATTGGTGTTATATGGGAAACAGGGAGTCCGTATTAAGAAGATGCTTAAGGGAGGCCTTCATCCCAGGGCATATCTTAAGAAAGAGATGAGGAATGACATCTTAGAGTAGACCAAAGTTATTCTACTGTAGATATAGATTTGCTAAATAGAAAATTACCCAAAGTGACGGTTTGGATATACATTACACCATTTGTCCAAATAGATTTCCTTCCTATTCATTAATATTATGCTTTCCCCACACAGTGCAACACAGGCTCTATCACATGATTCTTCTGAATATGCAAAGCTCAGTTCCACACAACAGTTCTTTACAGTATGCTTTCTTTTATGGATTCTCTGCCTGATGACATCTCCATGTCTACCCAAAGCTATTTCTTGTCATGGTGGAAAGTCCAGGGAAGATAAAAAGGAAGCTGTTAACCAAACTTTGCTTATATTGTCAGCACTTGTTCTATGTCATGGATATAAAATCGCTCCTTGAAAGCCTGAGGGAAGATTACTCATTTATGTAACTGGATTTTGCCTCATTCTAGCATTTCAAGATCACTCCTTGTCATAATTGCTAAAATCCATTCTTAAAAATAATTTCTGAACATTTATATTTTGAAGAAAAGTTTAGGAGATATTGGTCAAAGTGAGCAGAAGCACTCAAGTTCAGAATAAGAAGAAAACATTACACATATTTACCAATGAAAGGTAATTACTTTCTTCTCTAAGCTCTCCTTTCAAATAGGAGATGATAAATTAGATAGATGATAGAGAAAGAAAGAAAGAAAGAAAGAAAGAAAGAAAGAAAGAAAGAAAGAAAGAAAGATGATAGATAGATGATAGATAGATAGATAGATAGATAGATAGATAGATAGATGATAGATAGATATAAAGCTTGAGTAGACTAATCACGATCATTGGATCATAGTCTTTACCACTGTGATTCTTACCAAAATCCATGAGCGATATGCATTCCCATTCTTCTCGTTCGGTACATAATCTCCATAACGAGCCTTGTTGCACAAACGGTCGGGTTTCTGAGTTTACCCAGCCCCAACCAACCAGTGCAATGATACCAAAGATCATTGCTAAGCCCAGAAGAAGAGGCATGATCCATCTGCAGCGTGTATAGTCCAGACCATACTGAACCATCTTGTTTGGGTCTTCTTTAGTGGTTTGACAGATAAGCAAAAAAGTCTTCCTACTATTTGCTTCAGCAGCCTGGGAAAAACAGTAGTTTAATAAAGGTTTATGAAAAGTGTGTGTGTGTATATGTGTGTGTGTGTGAAAAAGAGAAAGGAAGAAAGACAAAGACAGCAAGCAGCTTTGTGATCCAGACAGGCGCTGAAGGAAAAAGCTCCACCTACATTTCACTGAACAAGTTGCTGCAACAACCTGTTGAGCTGGAAAGAAAATTCAGGGCTGTGCACACCTTGAAACCCGCCCTCCCTTTTCTTTTTCTTTTTGCTACTAATTAAATGATTATTGTGGCCCATTGCCATTAGCATTTTACCCTTTCCTGGCTTTAAGATTTCACAGCAAAAAGCAGTGTGATGTATTGGCGGGAAGAGAGAAAAGAAAGATGGTGAGCAACAAAAGTAGCTGTTGGTTTACCTTTATGAAGGATGAACAGAAGGTCGTGCCAATACCACTTGAGGGTGATACTGATAGGCTATATTATCCATACTTTCAAACAAAAAAATGTTTAATTTTATCTTACTGTAACAGTGATGGCTTCCACTAAATATACTTAGGAGTTGTTCCTTTGGCGAAAAGGCTTAAAATTCTCTTAGAGAAATTGTGGTTTCACAATAATCTGTCAGTGAAAAGGAGGCAGTGCCAGCTATGCAGCCAGCCATGTTTTGAGGCTATTTGAGGGGAGTGTGTTTGCCTGAGAGCTTTATGAAATGAATTTTGATTTGCTGAATCCAAATCTGACTTTATCTAAGTCTCCAGTTTAGCATTGACCAGACTCTCCAAAATTTCTCCAATGAAAATAGGGACATCCTAAGGAAAAGTGGGACATTCTGGGATCAAATCAGAAACTGGGACAGCTTCTCTAAATCAGGGACATTCCTGGAAAATAGGCACACTTGGAGGGTCTGCGTTGACCCTAAAACCACAGCTAGCAGTCAAGTCAGCTAATGTCAGCTCCTCACCAGCACAAACATGCTCTTGCATATTCACCATTCAACCAATTTAGATGGGGTTTTGAGGGCAACCTAATGTTAGACCTAACTCTTATCCCAAACCATTTCAGAAGCCTAAGCTGGAAATTTTAAAAATGGCAGCCAACTGGAATTTATTTTGGGCAACAACACAACATCTGCACAAAATATGTCGTGAAACCAATCTTGTTAGTTATGTAGTAGATTGAAAGACAAATGATAGACTGTGAGGGCCCCTCAGGCAAGACGCCCTTAGTCAGTCCTTTTAAAATAGAAAGGGTGGGATCATAGACTCCACGCCCCAGCACTGTTGCTGTGGGAGTTACTTCTCCACATGATCCAAAGACAGACAGCAGTTGGCTGGGGAGCAAGGAGGAGCTTCTCATTGTATCATCAACCGTCTCATGTCCAAAACCGCAGCAGTTTTGCTGAGCTGCTCTTTGAGTAAGGATGTATTTGTAAGCAGACCACAGTAATAATTTCCCTTCTGTTGTTTATATATTTGAATGGATACCTCCCATTCTTTTCCCCCTAGTGCTTAAGACTTTTGAAATGTAAGAACATGAATCTTATAATGCAATCTGCACAAACCTAGTGCCCTTCAAATGTTTTGGACTATAACTGCAAAACATTTGAAGGGCACAAGATTGGCCAAGGCTGTCGTAATGAATCTGCTTGTTGGAGAATTTAAGGCACCCTAATGTATGTTTGCATACTAAAGATGTTTTTAAAAGCTGCCGTAATGGCAAAATTGAGAAGAGAAGACTCCCTGGAAAAGACCCTAATGTTGGGAAAGATGGAGGGCACAAGGAGAAGGGGACGACAGAGGACAAGATGGTTGGATAGTGTTCGCGAAGCTACCAGCATGAGTTTGGCCAAACTGCGGGAGGCAGTGGAAGACAGAAGTGCCTGGCGTGCTCTGGTCCATGGGGTCACGAAGAGTCGGACACGACTAAACAACAACAACAACAATGGCAAAATAAGGAAAAAAATAAGGATGGTAATTAAGGGGCTGTTCTTCCACTTCACTGTTTAGTGATCTGTAGTATGACTTGTTCTTTTCTCCAAGCTGTTAAGTTTAATCAGGAAACTGATTAAACTGGTACTTTAAGATAGGATGCACACAATACTTTTCACATCCTGAATATGAGGAGATTAAAGGGCTGCTACTGACATGTTCATGGTCATCTCCCCTGTTGGTCATTCATTTGGCCAGAGATGCAGAGGTAGAGGTCTTTGGTGCAAGCGGGGTGTGTGGAATGATGGCTGGCATATATTTCAGTAGTAGTGGCGGTGGCGGGGGTGGTGGCGGCAGGGCCCCACCCTGCCCCTTGTGCATTGGGTGAAACACGTTAAGGATATCCTCGACATCAGGCTCTCAAGATGTTGCTGAACTACAACTCCCATCAATCCCAGCTAGCATGTCCAATGACCAGGGTGATGGTAGCTGTAGTACAGCAAGTTCTTGAGAGCCAAAAGCTCCCCACACCTGCCCTATATGAATGTCAGTGGTGGGACTAGGGTAAGATGTGTGACTTCTGTGACAAGTATAAAGCCCTTCTGTGGGAATGAAAGGCTAGATAAGATGTGATGAACTAGTGATCTGAAAATTGAATGGAGGATAGGTTTATCATCAACTGTTAATGTGGACTGCTACTATTTAATTACATCAACCAGCCAGGAGGCGCAATTCCATTTCCCCCATTCCCCCCTATTTCCCATTTCTCCCACCAATCAGCATTCCTGGCTGCTGGGGGTGAACTAAGAGGAGCAATTAGAGTCCTTAAGGCCAGAACCAGTCACATGAAGATTATCGTCTTGATTTGGCTCTTCTGTTGCCAAACTAGAAGTGTGTAGCTGCTTTGGGAAAGACACTTGCTGGCAGTGCCTTTTGTAAGATTTGGGGCGCTGTGACTCACCTCAAAGCACATGCCTCTGTAAAAGTAGTGTATGCCATTTTGGCTTGGAATATAGCCAACCTCTGCTGGTTCCAGCATGCCATTGGGTGATTTGCAATGGCATGTGAAAATAATGTCTCCACAATTGCATCAGGCTTTACTCAGTTGTCTTGGGTACAAACTGACTTTTGCTTGAAGTCACCACACCCTCTGGGATGGTGAGAATAGGCCATCTGTAATCCACAGCCACTGCCTGTGTTCTAATTATCTTGTCAATAACACCAACCCTCTGCTTTTTTAAAAAAAAAATTAAAACATTTCCCCATTTTATTAGCATAATATAACTTTTATAATTTTAAAACACTTCATTTATTTACAAATGCATACCGAAATTATTCTTTAAAAAGTCAAAAGATATTTTATTTATTTTAAATTACCATATTTTTTGCTCTATAAGACTCACTTTTTCCCTCCTAAAAAGTAAGGGGAAATGTGTGTGTGTGTGTTATGGAGCGAATGCAGGCTGCGCAGCTATCACAGAAGCCAGAACAGCAAGAGGGATTGCTGCTTTCACTGCGCAGCAATCCCTCTTGCTGTTCTGGCTTCTGAGATTCAGAATATTTTTTTAATCGTTTTCCTCCTCCAAAAACTAGGTGCGTCTTGTGGTCTGGTGCGTCTTATAGAGCGAAAAATATGGTATGTTAACCTTTCTCTGCATAACCAATGCAAGGCATGCATGTCATTTTCTAATGAAACACTCCCATTTTAATTTATCAAAACTGTTTATTCAACTGAAGTCCGTATGATACGAAAGCCTGATCATTTAGTACAAGCAATTATTAAAAACAGACTTACTACTCTAAAACATCTGAACATAAGCCATTAAGCAAAATAACAAATTATGTGTCCTAAAAATATCCCTAGTCTATACAAACCAAAATCATCCCACCCCCTACAGATTTAGGACACATTTTGTTGAATTTAAAACATTTGTTCCTACTGAGGGTAGATTGTAGGGCATGAAGACTGGGCTCCATAAAAAAACAGGACAATAACTGCTGTAGCAACTGAGGGGTACAAAAAGGAGTTATTTAAATCTTGCTATCCCATGGCAAATGGAAGGCTGACTCTACTTAATAAAAGCTACATGTCCTGTTTAAGTCTTATAATTAAAAACAACAAAAGAGTTTGCAAGTGTAAGGCGTGCACTAATACTAAACTCCCTCTTCATTTCATTGATCATGTTAGGAGGTGCTCCAGATACGATTTTATCAAACAACTTCAGCACAACTTCCAAGGCATGCAAATGTAAATCCTCTACTGAAAAGGACCAGCGTTTCAAGAGCTGACTCAAAACATCCATTTATGTATGTGCCTGAGGAGGAGATAACCCCATGGCATGCTTAAACGCCATTTCAACTGGTGACATAATGCCACTACTATGTGCATGAACACCCATGACTGATTATCAGCCTGGATTTATCTTTGGAGATACCTTTGCTAACCATACTCAAGGAAATGTCGTGTTCTTGACCAATCCTCCAGATGCTCTTGGACTGTAACCCCCCCTCAGCACCCGCCAGCATGGCCAAGGGTCAGGAATTATGGGAGTTGGGAGTCCACAACATCCAGAAGGCACCAGGTTGAGAAAGATTGTACCAAAAGATGGGTTTGGCCTTTGAAGGTGAAAGCAAACTGCTGACTTGCCATGGGCGGAACCAGGCGGAAATTAAAAGGAGCCATTCTTTGTCATCACCTATCAAATTCCACTTTTAAGAACTGTGTAAGTTCTTAAAAGTGACAAGCAGTATCCAATGCTGCAGTTCCACTGCTGCAACATACTTCTGTAATGGAATGGAATTTCCTCCTCTGTCCCCTCCAGAAGAGAACACTCCAGAAAAGATTTTGGGAATGCACAGGGGAAGGAGCCAGCAGAACTAAGCATGCAGAGCACTGAATACAGCTCAATGTTGACAGACGTCTGCATGAGTTACTCAAAAAAGATATTATGTGAACAGTCAAATGGTAACAGTCATGCTGAGTCTTACCTTCCTTAAGCTTTCTCACTTAAAAAAAACAAAACCCACTCATTTTTTGTCTATTTAGATGTTTTGCAAAGTTTGACAATAAGTACAACCATTTATTTAAAAAACAGCAAATATTCCAAACTTTTAAAGAAACTTTTGTATTCTTTGGTTGTGTGTTGCTATGTTTTGTGATTTAATATACGTACAGTGAGGCAGCAATCACATTTCAGAGTGCATTAGTTTTTTCTTGAGAACTTATTTTGCTTTACCACCTTTATTAAGCAAATTATTCAACAGTGGATGGATTCGTTTGGACAATGAGAATTATAAAATACATCAAACAGCCATGTCTGAAGTTATAAATCACAATATACAACATTTCTGCAAATACAAAAACCCCTGTAAAAAGGTATAAAACTGATATTTGATCTTCCAAACTCTTCTTAGTAATATACTTTAAATCATGATGACTATCATGATAAACATAGGTTTTATACATTTACAAAATATTTTAAGTATATGAAAGTATACACATATTCCAATCAAGGTTTCCAGTCATAATAACCTTTTAAAAAAAATATTGTGTTCAAAATAGTACCACTTTAATCCTGTCCATCACTGCATATAGCATTTAACATCTGGACACTTTGAAAAATATTTGTCATCATCCAAGTTACAGAACCCAAATTTAAACACTTTTAAGTCCCACTAATTTTAGTTTGGGAACCCCAGGTTGCAATTCTATTGTCAGTAACTCAATGGGCTTACTTCAGAGTAAAGAGTTATAGGATTGCACTGCTAAGCACATGCTTAACTCTCCTAGATGTGATCGACTATGGAGGAGCATCGCCATAGATTTAAAAACCTGCAATATACTATCTCACTGCTTGATAATTGCCCATCTTATCTCATATCATATGATTACGGCTAGTTTTGTAACCAGCTTTTAGACATCTCTGGGAAAGCTACAGTTCTCATTTCATGGATATGGTATCCCTCTTGTGATTTTTCTGCCCTAGGGACTACCATTACTACCATTACTTCTGCTACAGCACGTTACTTTTTGCAATTTATTTGTATCAAAAATGGGATTTCAAAACTCGTATAAAAATGTTTACAGGGAGGTCCATTTAGCAAGGATAAAATTATATCAGATACTGGGGGTTGTGATAGAAATGCAGCTCTAAAGCTTTCTTCCACCCTCAATTCACAACTGAAAAATGTAAAACATACAAAATATTATGTTTGCTTAGCTTAAAAGATTGTGTGCAAAATGTATAAATATTTATTCTGCACTTTTCCAAAGCATTCTCATAGACACTATCTTGCTGCAACTGCTTTTAGTTTTTTCTAAAATTCACATCAGACTGACATTACTGGATAAGGATCCCGCAAACCTAGACTCTAAGGGTTGTGCTGGTCTTAAAGTGTAAAAGGAATTTACTCAGTAAAATATCAAAACATAGAAACAAGCCACACGGAGACACATCTTACTTTCTTTTGAGGTTATTAAAAGGAAACTTGTATTAACCATCAAAATACAATTTATTCTGTCTTCCTTGTAAAAACAGCAGCTGCCAGATCTGAAAATGGATACAAGACTAAAAACGAACTGTGAAATTTGGCTTAATTATTAGAACAAAGCTAGGAATTCTATGTCAAATGAAAACAGGGCAATATAAGCATGCTCTTTCCCACAAGCCAGAAACGATATAGTTTTCTTTACTGAAAGCGATCTTTTCTACTAACTCCATATCAAACACGTTCGCCACTGCTGTAGATGGGGTAGGGTTTGATGTTGCCCAGGACTTCATCTTCCCAGTTGGGGAGGCAGCAGAAAAAGAAGGCACAGCCTATCGCAATCACAGTGCTTGCCCAGCCAAAGCCATAAGCCCAGCTGAACATGTTGCTTCCTGTCAATGGAATGTCCTCCACAAACATCACTGGATAGATGACCAGGCCTATAATTTGGAAAGCAGCTGAATGGAAAAAAAGCGAAGAAAAACAAATTAGGAGTTAAATTAATAACCTTTTGTCCTGAGAAACTTATATGAAGCTAACTGTATTCTTGTTAAATGTTTCATCAGTTACTCCTACAATTACAGACTGGTTGCAGCACCCTCACGCTGGGCGTTCCAGAATCATTAACTATGTGTTATTTCTGAGCAGATGAAATAAAGAATGTTCAACTCAGTACTTGCCTTGCAAACTGGACACAATTAGCTTATCAACACCACAGACTCAAAGTGGTTTTAAACAGTCATTCCCCCTTCTAAGAGAAACTGGGAAATAGTTTGGGTTCTGTAACAGAGCATTCTTAGCACCTCAATACTATAGTTCCCAGGATTCTTTCTAGGATACTAGGAACTGGTATGGGTTTGCAGTGTCAATAAGTTTCCACAGTAGTGCCTGAAGTTCCTAGCAGTCGTGGAAATTCTTCACATAACTGGGAATTTATCCACACACAAAAACCCTGTATGTTGCAGTATAAAAAGGAAGAAGGAATGATGGGGGTGTACAAAATCAGGAAAATGTGTCAGCTGCCTCCACTTGAGGGTGCTGCATCTCAAGCAATGTCATGTGATGTACATGCATTTCCTGCTTTAGGAACACAATGCATTCCCTGAAAATTGTTTGTTAGGCAAGCATTCATATAATGTGTCCATGATTCTCATTCGCATAGCGAGTCAACAATGTTCATTGATTACTATGGGGAAATTTCTAATACACTCCTGACCCTAGGAATGTTGCACATAGCAAGGTTTGGGTACTAATTCCTTGTGTTCAGATAAGTGAATTTCGCATAGCGAGAGTTCCTAAAGCAGGACCTGTGTCCTTCAGCCTGGCATGCAAGTCACCCTGTGAACACGCATGTCTTGAGTCACCTCAACACTAATACCTTAAAACACATATAAGACATATCTGCCACTGAAAATCAAGATAATTTAGTTCCTAGAAACAATGACATTTGACTGCTAAAGTACATAATGGTCTAGTTTGGCTGTAACAGTAAGCAATGGTTTATTAACACATGCATGAGCCTGGGGTTTATCTATTCACCCTCCTGCTTGCTCCTCCAGGCCAAAGATCAGAAACTTTTACTTTCAGTTTCAAGTAAGCACAGTTAAACATTTGCATCCAAGGTATTTAGTTAAAGCAGCCACTATGTTTTCCAGGCAGATGCCTTTTCTGTAACTAGTCCTAGGAAGCGTGTGAATCTGCAGTGAAAACAAGTTACAAAAATTATCTCTGCTGCTACTTCTGCAATTGCAGAAATCACAGAAACTGTAGCATTATGTACCTGTGTAGCAGTTGTTCACAGTCTTTATTGGCGGTTGGTCAAGATGGGTTTGGTGCAGGGGAAAGTAGTCCCTATTTCCCCCAACATGGAAAATGGCTCTCATACAGAGAAGCTCTATAGGTCAGAATCTGAGACTAACAGAGGTGGTAAGTCAAAATTAACATAAATGTTGGTGGGAGTTCGGTGCCTTAAAATGTGTGTATGTGTGTGTGTGTGTGTGTGTGTGTGTGTGTGTGTGTGTGTGTGTGTGTGTGTGTGTGTGTGCTGTTACAAATCTCAGATATGCATCCCTAAATATTACAACCTTGATTACTTCTTGACTAACACAAGCATAGTCATTACTGATTAGTTTTTGAAACGAAAACAAAGTTTTCTCTAGGACCAAAAAGATTCTGGAAAACAAATCTAAGGAAAGTCACATTGTATTCAGTGTAAGCCCATTGTTTAAAAGCAGTTTCTCTTAGCTGCAGTCTTACCAACGACGAAGAGCAAACCTCCAATGCCTCGAACAAAGTTGAACCGTAGAATATCAATGGAAAAGGCTATGACTGCTAGGCAGAAACAGATGCAGAGGATGACAAAGCCAACAAGATATGTAGCAGCAGAAGCTCTTCCCCAACCTATGATTTAAAATAAGGGGAGAAAAAGAGAGGGTATAATAATAATAATAATAATAATAATAATAATTTATTATTTGTACCCCGCCCATCTGGCTGGGTTTCCCCAGCCACTCTGGGCGGCTTCCATAGAAACCAAAAATACAGTAAAATATCACAGATTAAAAACTTCCCTGAACAGGGCTGCCTTAAGATGTCTTCTAAATGTCAGGTAGTTATTTATCGCTTTGACATCTGATGGGAGGGCATTCCACAGGGCGGGCGCCACTACCGAGAAGGCCCTCTGCCTGGTTCCCTGTAACTTTGCTTCTTGCAATGAGGGAACCGCCAGAAGGCCCTCGGCGCTGGACCTCAGCATCCGGGCAGAACGATGGGGGTGGAGACGCTCCTTCAGGTATACTGGGCCAAGGCCGTTTAGGGCTTTAAAGGTCAACACCAGCACTTTGAATTGTGCTCGGAAACGTACTGGGAGCCAATGTAGGTCTTTCAAGACCGGTGTTATGTGGTCTCGGCGGCCGCCCCCAGTCACCAGTCTAGCTACCACATTCTGGATTAGTTGTAGTTTCCGAGTCACCTTCAAAGGTAGCCCCACGTAGAGCGCATTGCAGTAGTCCAAGCGGGAGATAACTAGAGCATGCACCACTCTGGCGAGACAGTCCGTGGGCAGGTAGGGTCTCAGCCTGCATACCAGGTGGAGTTGGTAGACAGCTGCCCTGGATACAGAATTGATTACAGAATATTACACACACACACACACATGAATTTAGAGCTTAGTGATGCATGCAGAGCACATATTTCACATTTTGCAAAATTTGAATGCAGCTTCAAGGTAACAACAATGAATAGAACACACATGATTTTTTTTAGAGGAGGCCATGAATCCTGTTGGATTTATATACAAGCAGCAACCATTTTGTGTGGGGGTTCCATTCCTGACCTCCATGTGCATTGGCAGCAGATGCAAAAGCCCACCCCATTTTTAGGCCACTTCAGGGTCAGCAGCGATGAGCGTGTGCATGACACGTCAATCAGACACCTGTAAAATGGTTGCTGCCTGTCTATACTGATATATAGCCCAGAATCCTGTTTCTTCACAGTGACCAACCTATGGAAAGGCTACAAGCAGGACATAATGGCAACAGCCCTCTTGCACCATCACCCTCCTGCAGCAACTGGTATTCAGATTCACTTTGATCACACTGCCTCCGATCAAAGAGATAGCACGCAGTCATAATTACTCATAGCCTTATCCTCCATCAGCATCATATCATTATCGTACATTATGTTGCTTCTCTGGGCCCTGCTCAACTATCTAGGTGCATCCAGTGTTGCATATACTCTGTCTAAGACAGCCAGATATTGAGAAAAAGGGTGGCTTAGCTGTGCTTTAAGCTGGTAATGTGAACACAGCCTAAGAGTGTGAGACAATGGATTTACATGACTCTGGAGGCCAGTGGTAATAACATATTCTATCATTTTATCAAAAGGTATTAAGAGAAGGAATGCATGGATTCAGTAATAATGTGGTAGCCAAAAAACCTTAACTGCATTGAAAGTCCCAGATTTGAAGCTGTTCAGTTTTAATGAGACAGAAATGAGACTAGATCCGGCAGCTTGCTTAAATTAGAGCTGCAAGCTTTAATACAGACCTTCGTGTGCACTGAAAAGTACAATTCTGTGCCCATGTATTTAGAAGCAAGTTCCACAGATAAAGTTAAGTGCTGTACCAACATACCAAATATTCCTTCCAAGGTAACTTGAAGTTTCTTGCTCGTGGATTGTGTCCTTTTATTGCTTCTTGTTGAGTTAGACACCAGAATTATTGATGACTAGTCTGTTAATTGGCCCTTGTCAGATTTCATTCAGCCAGGTGCTTTAATTACCAATCTGAAGCACTAAGTTTGCTCTTAACATTTTTATATATTGGGAAACAGCTGACAGGTTCTAGGAGCCACAGGTGAGGTTGGGGGGCCAAAGATGGACAAACTACCCCAGAAAGAGACCCCCGCCAGAGGTACTACTTCTCCCCTAACACTACATGCACCCTATCTAAATGTAGAGGGCACAAAAAGGTTGTATAATGCCCAGCCTACACCACTGTTTAGCATTATGTCTGAACCCTAAAGTGTTGTTAATCTGACATGCATTTAATAAGGACAAGCCAACTTCATAAACAACGGTTTGAAGTTGGCTTGTTTCCACTAACCATAGTTAAAATTAACTGCAGTTTGTCCAGGTTTGGATATTAGAACAAGCTGCAGTTAGCCAAAACTGGAAGTGAAAGCTTCCAAAACCCTCACAAAGGTGCGCCAGAGGAAGAAAAGGTAGTATTCAAGCCCAGTACTCACTCCTATTATGCTAAACCATGTGTATTATTACATATGGATTATTGTTATCTATATACTGCTTACTGTCAAAATAGGCTTCTAAGGATGGCATAGGAGAGCACATCTTAGCTTGTGTTGCGCATTCCTGTTTACACAACATCTTTAAAGGCATACCGCTTAATTGCATTTGTCCCAAATTGTCTCTAAGGATGATATAACCCTTAACCATTGTTAAATCTAGAAGAGAAAGATAGAAACTAAAAAGAGCTGGAGAGAGGAAGTGACTGATCCCACAGCTTGCCTCAAGTTTCAGTGCTTTAACCATGACCATCAGCTTGAGCAGTCCTTAAATAATCCTGTTTTCTTCCTCCTGTGTCTCAGAATTAAATCAGACGCAAGGGTTAGTAACAGGTAATTATTTAATAAATAAAAGAAGGACAAAGGTAGGTTCAGCTATGTAGGTCTACGATGAATCCACTGATTAGAACAGTTTATAGCTATAAAGATGCTTCACACACAATAATTCAGGAAACTCTTAATTACAAAGCTTCTTTGTACCTCAAATGATTACGAATGCTGTGTCTGTAAGTTTGTGGTCCTGGGGAGATTGGAAAAGCTAATATGAAAACACCCAAGCAGTTGGGCTTGTTAAACTTTGATCCTGATCATAATTGTTACAGTGATGGTGCAACAGTAATAATAGACATAATTATTATCATTCCAGAAAGCAAGCCACTCCTAAAATCTCTATGTCTATTCAGGGCTCAGTCATTTATTTTTATATGATCACATGCCTTTGCCTCTGTACATTTTCCCTACCCTTCTTCGGCTTGAATAACCCTCTTCAGGCAGCATCATGCTTCACTGGAAACTCAGTACGTCAGGCAGGAGTGGGGCTGTGCTGAAATGCCCCATGCCGCATCATGTCATCTACAAACTCCCCTGCCTGTGCCTCACATACACTCGTGGTCACATGGGTGGCATGGAAGCCTCCGAATCTTCAGCTGCACATGAGAAAGCCGTCTCCCAGCAGAGATCTCCACAGAAATGACCACCTGGCACAGGTGATGAAGGGTGCTGAGGGCTTTCTCAGCCCTGCTCCTCTTCATGTGCTGAATTTACATAAGAGTATAGTGCCTGAATAGGCGAGTGCTAACCACGGTTAACATTATGGTTCTCCTCCTTCCTAATCATAGTTTGCTAACCAAACTAGTTAAGAGGGGATACAGTGGTACCTCAGGTTACAGACGCTTCAGGTTACAGACTCCGCTAACCCAGAAACAGTACCTCGGGTTAAGAACTTTGCTTCAGGATGAGAACAGAAATTGCGCGGCGGTGGCCGCGGGAGGCCCCATTAGCTAAAGTGGTACCTCAGGTTAAGAACAGTTTCAGGTTAAGAATGGACCTCCAGAATGAATTAAGTTCTTAACCCAAGGTACCACTGTACTCTTAAGTATTAACTGTGATTAATATTGTTGACATAATGCTTAACCACAGTTTAGAGTTGCTCTGCCCAGCTGCAAGGGAAACAATAGCTATATATATATTTTCTATTGATGGGAGTTAATTTTGAGGGGGAAATACAGCCATACAGGAGAAGAAACTTGCCCGGTTTCTTCCCCATTTCTGTACTCCATGCAAGAAGCTTCCTTGGGCTGTGTTTTCATTACAAAAAAAGAAAACCTGGGGAAAGAGATTCATTATTCCAAAGTTAAGTCTAATTTGGTTCTCAGACAAATCTGAATTAAGACGCTGGCAATTTAGAAATCATTACAAGCGGAGGTTCCCTCCCATCCCTTCATATGGAGGGTGTGGCTCTTTTCCATACCCTCTGCAACACTCAAAACCAGCAAGTACAAGCTTGATCATGAAGCTGCAGCCAAGGATGGTTTGTATCAACAAGTATTCTTTCTTGAAGTTAAGCTTCTTTATGCTTGGGAAGGGTGGGGAAGAAGCACAAGCAGAGAAGGAGTTCAACCAGAAATCTCCCACACCACCATCATTCTGTGCGACTGCTTCACACAGCGTCCATTGCCATATTTTAACAAAGAAAACATAATGGCAAGCAGCAGGTTTTTGTGGGAATCTTACAAACTAACTTGCTTATTCTGACAAGTCAATTTTAGTTGAGTAGAGAGATTTGACTCCCATCCAGTTCCAATGAATTTGAAGCACACCACCCTTATTTGGAAAGCAGTATTTCTAAAAATCTACACATGTTCTCATTCGGTACATAAGAGATATGCTGAGGGAAATGACCTGAGAATACATACCAGTCTCTCTAAAAATCCAGTCTACCTGGCTGGCGCAACAGCCTAACTTTCATAGCAGCTACCTGTCATGTTTTAAGCATCTCACTATGCATGGTAGGAACTGCTCCCCACCCCATAGTTTTCCCTACCTAGAAAATGGAAGATATTTCCAGTCTACTCTAGGTTACAGTAGACTGGAAATATCTTCCAGTTCTCACCATTTACTTCCGCCTTCCTGACCTGTTGAAAGGTGCCAACGCATCATAATATTTCCTATGAAAAATTATCAGCTTCCAAACCACATGGGTGATCCTTGCTAGCAAGTTGTGTTTTGGGGGCTATCTACTTTAAAGAGTAAAAACTGGATCACATGCAATTCCGCTTTCAATACTCTTTGTGCCTGTAAAGGTTACACTGCTTCATTTCTAGTCAGTGCATATACTGTAACTTCTTGGTTAAATCTGGCAACTTTTTAAATCACAAATCTTCTGGTTTATTTTTGTTTCACTTTTGTTACACTATAGCCCCGCTGGATAGCAATAATGTGGTAGTTTGTGGGGACACATCACAGAACAAGCTATAGTAGAACAATTCTACCAGTAATGTGCTACTATCATGCCAAGAACATGTTGCAGAACACACCCACAATAAAACACCAATCTGGAGGGCCCAGGGTAAATTGGGATGGCAGGAGGAATGGGAAAATCTAGTCTGGTTGTAGCATAACAGCAGCTGGACATCTTCACACATGCCTCTAATAATGTATATGAAAGACTCTAAAAATGTCTTTCTTTAGAAAAGAAGCAAGTTAAGATGATACTTAGCCAGCATCATCAAAAAATTTATTTTTATTTTAAAAAAACTTATTTAATATTCAAACTGTAAGCTCCCTATAAAAGGTTCCAACCCAGAACAGTTTTTTAAGCGTGAGTGAAAAAGTGCCTCAAGATACGTTTAGGTACAGCTTGCAACTTAAAATAAACGAGGCTCTAATACAAATAAGCTGCTGCAATTAAATCTGCAGTAGTCTGCTTGAGCAGATGGGAAAGGCAAAGTGCAGCTGTGACCATTTTTAACTTAGCAACAAAACAGCACAATAGGAGCGGTCTTATCTATGCTTCTCTAGCACTGATATGGTTGCTTGTCTATAACCGTCAACTGTGTACAGAGAGCCAACAAGTATATAGTTTGCACATCCCTAAGGAGAGTTCTGACCTTCATCTGAACATGTTTAGGGTGGGGCCAGGCTTGCCACTCCCCATGAGTGTCAGTAAGGAGGCAGTTGCTGTGAATGATTCCAGAGTTAATTTAAAAAACAAAGTCTCTAGTCCTTCTACAACCCAAGATAAGATGAAAAACATGGAGGCGGGATTATGGCCATTATTATTATTACTACCCTGCCCATCTGGCTGGGTTTTCCCGGCCACTCTAGGTGGCTTACAGAATATATAAAACATAATAAAGCATCAAGCATTAAAAAATTCCTGATACAGGGCTGCCTTCAGGTGTCTTCTAAAAGTTGTATAGTTCTTTATCTCCTTGACGTCTGAAGCGAGGGCACCCTTTCAGTGTTTTTAAGCAATGAATGAAGTCATGAAAAGGAGTTCTGTTTCCTGATGTCCATTGCTAAAAAATTTTCTGTCTTGTCTGGTGAATATGTGCCCCTCAGACAACAATTCAGAAATCCAGGATAGCTGTGACTTGGCAGTAGTGTTCTTACACAAAAACAAATTGTGAAGACAATTCATGATCTTTCTAACTCAGCTTTCTATATAAGAGATTTCTAAAACGGGCTTTCCACCCCACACCCCACTACTGAATTTGTAAAGCATTTTAAAATGTCCACTAAAAGCAATTTAAAATGTATCTGCCAATGCAGGAAAAAGTCCGTCATTATTATACCCATATTTGCAGGGAGCAATTGTATGGCTCAGAGTATGGGTCATGGCAGCCTTGTAAAACACCCCAGTGTCGTTATATCCTTTTTGTTGCTGGCGTGGGGAGTTCCCTTTTACCTAGTTTCCTGGCATTCTTCCCCCTTTCACACCCTTCAAGAGAAGTGCAGCAGTAACACAACTAAGAGACCATTTCTTGTTTTCACGCCATTATAAGGATTGACACCTTCCCCCTGCACTTCTCCCACAGCAGCCATTTTCAATGGGCGGAAGGTAAAATCGTGTAAGGAGCCTGTTTTTAAGGGCCACACTAAGTAGCAATAAGGTTTCTCCGTTCCTAAAATCCATGTGCTCACCGTTATATTAGTTCCTGGGCACCATACAACACCCCCCCCCCCCCGCAATAACGTATTACAAAGACTGCAAAATCTGGATTTATTTTGTTTTAGTTCTTTTTGTTCAGTGAGAGCTGAACTTCTTGCATGACTTCTTCTATGCCCCCAATTTGAAGAATCAGAAACAGCTCTGCAGAGTCTGGCATTCAAAGAAGAAAGTCTCATAGGGCCTCCGTCAATCACACATATACTTGGATAGTGACCTATGTATACGGCTGACATTTACTGCATTATACCCAAAGGAATAACTGTTACCTACTATGTGTGCCTATTCTGCTGACAGAATGCAGCTTGTCTTTCTTGAATGCTAAATTTTATATTTTTCCAAGACTAATTAGCATGTTCACAGCCAACATATAAAAATTCTGAACGTTTTTACATGCTTTGAAAGAGTAATATACTACTTTGTGAGAAAGTGTTGATTTTAGAGCAGAAGTAAACCTGTATATGGAAAGTCACGTTCCAAAATTATTCCAACAGGTCGAGCCACCAAGCAACTCAGAAGCTGCCATGCGAGGATCCCTGTCACACAACGGACATCTTGTGCACTTCAAACAAGCAGGCAACAATGCCGCTGGACAAGTCTTCTCAAAATTAAAGAAAATAGCATTTGATAGGGTGAAGGGTGTGGCCTCATCCAAGGCCCTTTGAAATGAAGAGAATGATCGTACAAGTCACTGGCATAATTGAATAATGCCCTCTTCTTTTGTTGAAGTCTAGTTCTCATTACACATCAAAACAGTTAACTGAGCAATCTAAGAGCATGCAAGGCGTTGCTTTTTTAATTCTTATCCCTGCCTCTCCCGCAGGTCCTAGCAGTTTTTCTTAGTCTTTCCTCTCCCTGTTGCCTAATTCAATGCCAGCCCAGTCCTATTCTGCCTCCCAGGCTCGCCAAGTCCCAAACTTTCTTCTACCGGGATCGGATAGTTTTAGTTTTAGTTAACAGCCACAAATATGCCAACGCTTCTCACAACTCTCACAAGGCCCAGATACGAATAGCATTTCCTTAACAGCAGGCAACGTTAGCAAAGGTGACCTTTGTACAATGCATCCTGGGCCTCTTACCGGTGCATTTTCAGGCACCAGTTTAGCCACTTAGGCCAGAACTGATGATTTAGATTCCGCCCCCTTTCCCCCTCCCCAGTTATTTTAATGCCTGGTTGTGCGTGGATGGGTCCAGTCCCTGTGAAGCCCATAACCAGCCCATGCTCCCGATTTCGGATACTCACTATAATCCATCAGGGATCTGCACTCCCAGTTCAAATCATTTTCGTTCGCTTTCATGCAGTCCGACCAGAGAGAGGCTTTGCGCACGTAAGGCTGTTCGGCGGACTCGAGCCACCCCCTGCCAGACAAGGCGATGATGCCCAGGATGATAGCTAAGCCCAAGAGAAGGGGCAGGAGCCACCGGCACCTCCAGCAGGCCAAGCCGCAGCGAACCATGTTGGGCAGAAGAGTGGGAAAAGCGGAGAGGAGGAGAAGATCCCTTGGACTGGGCCGGTGCGCGCGCGCGAGGCCGCTTTGAGGAGCTGGGCGCCTTTTAATCTCCGCGCAGGGAGGAGAGAGCCGCGCCTAGATTCCAGGCACCGAGGAGAGCAGGGGCAGCGGCGGCGGCAACCTGTTGAGCCAGAGAGAAACTTGGCTGGTAAACAAACCTGGCTTCCAAGTACACTCCCAGGTTTTTAACCCTTCGCTGGCAAGCACCACGGGCGTGTTGGCTGAAGCGCAGCACGGCGAATGTTGTTCGAGGGGAGGAGATTCGAACTCGCTGCCAAAGCGCTGGTCTTGGTTTGAGGCAGGGGACACCGCCTGGCGCATACACACGGCAGCAGGCCCATTCCGGAAGTAAGGCCCGCGGAAAAGCGCACTCTTTTCCTGGAGAAGCACTCCGTTTGCAACCAATATTGACTTCCAGGTAGATGTCACAGAATCATAGAATTGTAGAGTTGGAAGGGACCATCTAGTCCAGTAGTTCCCAACCTTTTTTTGGCCATGCCCCACCTAAGTATCTCTAAAATCCTGATGCGCCCCCGCCCTGACATATTATTATTCAAAAAGTGATCTCCTATTCATGTGGACGAAGCCTAAAAGGCCATTAACTGTTAATAACTTATTCTCGAATTGCCCCCCCCTTAGAAATCAAATTGCCCCCGCCCCACATTGGGAACCACGGATCTTGTCCAACCCACTGCAATGCAAGAATCTTTCACCCAACCCGGGGCTTGAACTCACAACCCTGAGATGCTAAGAGTTTCCTGCTGCACTGACTGAACTATCCTTCCTTAAGAGCAAGCTGCATACAGTCGTACCTCGGAAGTTGAACAGAATCCATTCCAGAAGTCAGTTCGACTTCCAAAATGTTTGACTTCCAAAGCACAGCTTCTGATTGGCTGCAGGAAGTTCCTGCAGTGAATCGGAAGCTGCAGAAGCCCCTTCAGACATTTGGCTCCAGAAAGAACATTCAAAACCCGGAACACTCCCAGTTTTTGATCATCCAGGTGCCAAAACGTTTGATTCCCAAGGCGTTCAGGAGCCAAGGTACAACTGTATAACCTTTCTCCCCATCTCCTTGTGAATCATTTCATAAATATATGTTCCCCAAGTATACTCATTATTTGAATGGTCCGTATTTCTTAAGCAGTATTGGACTTTTTTGGTCCTGCCTTCTAGGAGTATTGGGGTTGCTTTCATGTGGCTTCCTTGTACCATACATTTTGATATATTTGTCAGAGCATGTAAGGTTGAAGGTGAACAGCCCACGGTGCAAGCTGTGCATCAGGCAGGCAGAGCAAAGGCAGCATCCCCCTTCCCCCACCATTAACAAATCTCTCAGACAGCTCTTGGTAATCTCTCCATCTTTCATACATTCCTAACCCATGTAGTCACCTTTTCAGCCTGGACTATCCAGCCCATACTCCCTAACCTTTAAAAGGTTTTGGCCTTACCCTAACCTGGTGCCTTTGATATGTTTTTGGATTACAACTCCAGCCACCTGAGACTGGTGGGAATTGTAGTCCCAAACATCTGGAGCGAACCAGATTTTGGAAGACTTGGCATCTAATTTGAGCTTGTCTGTTTATTGGCCATGTTTGCATGTCCAGCTAAATCCACATTTTACCACGAAGGCAACAAGCCTAATCTTTCCCTCTGCTTCTTGCAACCAGTACTGATGCACTCCTTACAGAAGAAATTGGGAACCATCTTTCCCTTTCTAATTCCCTTCACTGCAACTTAGCATGTTGTCTGAACTGTATACTGTGCTTGATGTTAACTGGTTTGTTTAAACAAGCCAGCTTCATAACCCATGGTTTCAAATTGGATTGTCTCAAACAAACCATAGTTAACATTAACCAGGGTTTGTCAGTCCAGATAACATGACAAGCCGTGTTAAAGGAAGTGAAAGATTTTAAAGTCCTCATGGGCGTGTCAGAGGAAGAGAGGGCAAAGGAGAGCTTTGCTAGTACAGTGCTGCCCTGGCACAAGGGCACTTAGGCAAGATTTTATGTAGCTCACAAATCTAGAATTTATTTTTGATCACATTGCAATGGTCAACTACAAATTATATTTGATAGGGCCTACACCTTAAAATGATTTCCCTTAACACCTCTTTTGTGCTTTTTGGACACCTACTGATCTGAATTTCAAGAAGAGAGAAGCAGATCAGATGCTGGCTTGCAAATGCCTGTACATGACTATATTAAATTTTCACACAATACATAAGACTTTGCATATGCTTGTTGTAGCACCTCACGTATTCCTTCTCAAATGGAGATGAACCTAAACAGACTGTAAACAGTGACTCCACACAGAAAAATGCATCTAGAGAACTCGCTCCTGTCTGGTCCCTTGTATGGTTCCCTTCATTCCTTGTTCTAAATAGCTCAGTCCTACATCCAAAAAACAAAAAACTTCCCTAATTGGGTAGGGGGACGGACTTCAGTGTAATACAACTATTGAGTAGAAGCATAAGGAAAGTCAGGGAGCAATGAGCACCTAGCTTCTCCTGGGAATCAGTGCCAGATCTACAGATATTGCTGTAGGGGGCAAAAGTGCACTGCTAGGGGCACCTGCCCTTTCTTGCCCCCCAGCCAACAGTCAGTAGCTCTTGACCTTTTTGTGGATTTTCCTGTCTGATGCCCCCTTCTCCTTCCTGTCTGATTACCCTCTCCCTGACAACAGCTCCAGATCACTCTGGACCATCCAACCCAACCTGCAGAGATGTGGCTGTCGCAATTCAATTTGACCGTTGCCCAAATCCCTCTGAAGAGGCCCGATTTGGCCTGGGACTTGGCAGAAGACCTACTTAGCTACATTCTACTAATTCAATATTTTATTACTTCATTCTCCTGCACCTGTGGGTTAGACCTCGGCATCTTCCAGATGTGGCTATAATCCCAAAGGAGCCTAGGGAGGATTGTCTGCTGCGGAATTTTATCAAGTGGAACCTGCAGCAAAATGTTGCCTTGTGTCTTCGCCACCCACTGATGCCATGAGGGACTTCTTTCCAAGGCTCCTCCAGCCATCAGGGAGTGTGTGCAATCTCCATTCTGAACTTGATAAGGAAGTGAAAGAAGAATTTGGCTCCCCTGAGCCTGTCATTAGGTAAGGAAAAACAAGATACACAGCTGCCTGCCATGCATTTCAGTGTGCGTCAAGTTTGGCCCTCAGGTTCTTTGCGTGCATGAGAAGCACTAACCTTCCTGTAACTGGTTTTTGATAAGCATGCTGGAGTGACACTTATTCAATTCATTATTCTGAATCAGATGCTTTTAAATTTGGTTTTGAAAACGCACATGACTTGCGATCTTGGAGCGTTTTATCTTTACCTCTTAACACAAATGATGGCTTTGTGGCATTAAAAATAAAACTGACCCAACTTGCTTACTGTGCAGTGGGTGGGTGCACAATCTCACTTCTGATCAGATCACAGTGGGGGAGTGAAAAGATAAGCCTCCTGTCTGTGTCTCCTTATGGACTGGGTTCCCCAGTATTTGTAATTACTGTGTTTAAGGAATAGCAAGATACATAGCTGCATCTACGTAATTTGTCCCTCAGGAAACCATGAACAAAGAAATGGACCTGCACATATAATAATAATAATAATGACAAGGGGCTCTGGCACATCAAGCGTCTAAATATCTTTGTCTTAAACCCTTTGCAATGCAAGAATCACAGCTAAAGAGTCTTGGAAAGTTGGCCATTCCAACCTCTCTTTAAAAATCTCCCCAGTTAGTCTGTTCCACTATTGAACAGCTCTTAACCATCAGCAAGTTCTTCCTCATGTTTAGTTGGAATATTTTGTCTTGTACTTTGAAAGCATTGGTTTGGGTTCTACTAGAGCAGCAGAAAACAAGCTTGCTCCATCTTCCATGTGGCAGCCCTTTAAATATTTGAAGATGGTCATCGTTGAGCAGCCTCAGGCCCAGGACAGAACCTTGCAGTATCCCACTTGTCACATTTTTTCCAGGATGGTGAGGAACCAAGCCTCATGAGGAGCAGTTGAGGCAGATGGGTATGTTTAGCCTGGAAAAGAGGAAACTGAGAGGAGATATGGTAGCCATCTTCAAAAATCTCAAGGGAAGATGGAGCAAGCTTGTTTTCTCCTGCTCTGGAGAGTAGGACTAAACATCAGGAAGAACTTTCTGACAGTAAGAGCTGTTTGACAGTGGAATGAACTTCCTCAGGAGATTGTGGACTCTCCTTCACTGGAGGTTTTTAAGAAGAAGTTGGATGGTCATCTACAATGCATGATCTAGTTGAGATCCCTGCATTCTAGGGCATTGTACCAGATGACCTTTGTGGTCCCTTCTGACTCTACAATTCTATGATTCTAACCACCGGTGAATAATTTCATTTACCAAATTGTTTAAAAGTGGATAATTAACTAAACTATTTTAATCCATTTCCAGCCTTGATTGCTTAATATGTGCCTGTCATTAGATTTGGTTGCAAGTAGGAGAACCTCTTACTGAATTTATTTACACTGCCCTCTGCTGGAAAATGCTCTGACTATTAAACACCCTTTTTGTGTTGTCTGTAAGCCAAGCCAATGTATATGTGACACAGCACTGGGCAAGTGTTTCTTCTGATGTGCTCATCCCACTCATACACGGCATGCACAGGTGAGGATTCACCGAGAGCAAAAGTGGCTGGAACTCTCCATGCTCACGTTGCCTCCTTGTCAATCAATCCACCGGTCCTATCATTTCACACCCAAAGATGCATGACTTATATTCAGAGCCAGAAACTAAGATACAGTAAGTGCAATCAGCTAAAGACAGGTAAGGCACAGGAAGGCCAGGGGGGCTTAATACCCATCTCCCAAGTTTTTCCTTTTACTGTTGAAGCAAGGCACACCCTATTCTGAATTTTTATATGAAAAGGGCAGATACACGAATGACAGCCTTGTTGTCATGTCTGATTTGGCTACATGATACTCCTTTTTCAAGTGAATCACAATGAGACCTTTGGGATGGACTCTGCTTGCAAAGCTCTCCCATACACCCTTCATGAATCAGTGTTATTAAATGGGTGTAACTTGTTCAGGTGAAGAAATCTGTCAATAATGTCAGTGAGTCAGCCCTTTGGCTGTTGGTTAAATGGTTACAGCCAGATGCAGGCCAGCGTTGAATATGATGCTGCTCTTAACAAGTAGTCCAACCCTTAAGCAAAATTAGATCCACCCTTAGTAAGTGATTTTAAATCTCCCTTTGGCTTAAGACTAAGCAAACCTTTTCTGATAAGAATCGAAGTCATCCAAACTAAACTAAGCTGCTTTCAGTTTTAGAAACAGACACCACATTTATTGAACTGAACTACTTCAGACTGCAGTTGAGAGATCACCTGTCTGATCACTCTGTCATGTAATAAATAAATCAATAACACTCTTGCAGGTAGAAAAGTTGCTAGGCTGGAACTCCTCCCCTGGGCATGCTATATTTCTGTGCGCAGTGAAGTTATTTCTGCTTTAAGTGTTGTTGTTTAAACTGGGGAAAACAATCAAGCAATTTTCCAGTTTCAGTTTGAAGTGGTACAATCCTTGGAAGGCCAATGTGTGGCTATCTCTGAGAATAAACCCTGAAATGCCTTTTGAAGTAGATGGTCCTTTCCCTTCCATTGTTGCTTAATCAAAATAAAGCTTCTACTTACATTAAACTTGAAAATCACCAGAGCAGACCTGTTGAAATTACTGGACCTAATTTAGTCATGTTCATCAATTTCAATGGCTCTACTCTGAATAAAACTTAGCTGGACACTCCCTTCTCTTTTCACTGCTGCTTCAGTTTTGTTTCGTTGTTAGGATTCTTTTTAATCCTGAACAATTAGGATTTTAATTGTAAGCTGTTTTACGTTCAGAAGCTGACAGCCTAATTTCCAGCTGCAGTTCTGTACACACTTATCTAGGATTAAGTCTCACTGAACTCAATGGGACTTACAGCTCAGTAGACACATAAATATGATTGTGCTGCATGATTCCTTTCCGCTTTTAGCACAGCATACTAATGCCATCCCTTCCATGTTCAGACAGAACTCCAATTAAGTTCAGTAGGAACATAGGAAGCTGCTTCATACTGAACCAGACCATTGGTCCCGTCTAGCTCTGTATTTTTTCACACTCCCTGGCAATGGCTCTCCAGGGTTTCAGGCAGGGAACGTTCTCAGCTGTACCTGGAGATGCCAGGGATTGAAACTGGGACCTTCTGCATGCAAGGCAGATGCTCTGCCACTGAGCTGTAGCCCATCCTCAACTCATACATGATTTTCAACCAAGTAGGTGTGTACACCACTGCTGCTTAAAACAAATTTTAGCAATTTGCCCTCGAAGGGAGCTCGAGGGTCATCTAGTCCAACCCCCTGCGATTGCGCAAATCTCAACTAAAGCATCCATGACAGATGGCCACCCCACCTCGGCTTATAAGGAAAGAGAGCCCCTAAATTATGGAGGGAGTCTGTTCCGCTGTTGAACAGCTCTTACTGTCAGAAAGTTCTTCCGGATCTCACTTCGGAACAAATGCCAAACACATCTTTGCCACTAGAGGGCAGAAGATGCAATGTTAAGGAATTCTAGGAACAAAATCCAGCTATTGGCAATTCACACCTTGGTGGCTGTGGGCACCACAGTCTTTTTTCTGAAGCCATTATTTAAATTATTTTTCTATAGTAAACAACAACAACAATGTTCTGAAGTCACTTACCAGATCAGGAAGTTTATCCTTTCCCAGTATATGTTCACAGCTTTTCCTAGAGGCCTTCCTTGTACTTTAAGTACCTGCCTTTAGCATATAAGCACTTCTGATAATAAACTCTTTTAAATATATCATATGTTTGAGAGGATGTATCTATTTCCCATGATAATCATTTCGTTAAACACAGTTCTAACACTGGGGGGGGGGGGAGGCGTTATGTATTGAGAGTCACTTATCCAAATAACCTGGGTTAGAACTGTTTACACTGTTTGGGCAATCTGAAGTTTACCAGGCCGCCCTGGTACACAGACACTGGACAACAAGCAACAGCAGAAGCAGCCCACCAGGCAGGGCAGAGTTGCTGTGTCAGCTTTCTAGCAGGTGGGTCACTGTTGCTTACTGGGAAGGGAAGGGTGAGGAGGTGTGACACCAATCTAGTGTACCTGACGACGTCCTGGCACCGTGCCAGCCTTTGGGCTGTCTCTCCCTTCTACCTGCCAGCAAGTTAACGTTAACAACTCCACCCCACCTACTGATCCACTTCTCTGCAAAAGTGGAACAAAGAAAAAATCCTGCTGCAACACCATGATGGTCATGTATCCCTCTTTACAGACAACTGTCCTCTGTTCAAAAGGTGGCAGAGGACAGTCCTCTATTTGAAGGGCTGTTCTGTTCAAATTCAGTTTAAAGGTACAAAGAACTCATAGAATTGTAGAGTCATAGAGTTGGAAGGGACCACGAGGGTCATCTAGTCCAACCCCCTGCAATACAGAAATATTTTGCTCAATGTGGGACTCGAACCCACTACCCAACTCATTAGAAGAGTGAGCAGGGGCCTTGCACTCAGCATCTTGACAGCAAACTGGGCACACTCACAAAGGTCACTTGGTCGCAGGTGCCCCGCTGTGGAGAGCTGTATTGCATTTCCATTTAAATTGTCATAACTATTTCTCCATTTGACTCGATGCCGATAAAATTAGCATATGCAAATATAATGGAAATCTCTATCCTTTTAAAAGTTATTTTGATGCTGCATTTTTTTGTGATGGTGTGGAAGTGGTCACCTTATCCAACACATTGCTAAATTCCCTTAAGATTGTTTCATTACTTTCATATATGATGTGAATGGCAGACTAAAATATACATTGAAAACTCTAACTTACTGAAATGACTGTTTTTATGTTGGAGAAAGCTCCTGGAGCTATAAATGGCCTTTTAAGGTAACAAAATGCAAAAGCAAATTTATAATCAATGACCATATACAATGCTCTTATCTGAACATGTGAACCGAAACCATGTTTGACCAAAGGGACCCTTGTTGGGATGTGGGCCTTTGGCAGGTGCCCAGGAGCTCAATTTCCCACCAGCCCCAGCCAGCATGGCCAATAGATAAGGATTATGGGAAATGTAGTAGTACAACAAATGCCTTGAAGGCCACAGCTTCCTCATCTCTATATGAAGCATGAAAAGCCTAACCCCCACCTCCCCCAAAAAGAAAGCCATTCCTTAAAGACACAAACCAGTCCTTTCATTTGCAGGATATACCTGGTCCGTGGTAGAGGCAGTGTTGTATTTGTATGTGTTTGCAGGGTTGTTTCGTCAAGTGGCAAAGGAGGAGGGGTGGGGAGGAAGTTTTTTTTCTTTTTCTTTTTTATTATTATTATTATTATGCATTTTGTATTTTTAATTATTTTTAATCAAATAGATAAAGTGAAAAAGAGAGAGATAACCCTTTGGTTTCAAAACACTTTGTTTATTCAACAAAATACGTGACCCCAGACAACAATAACCAGCATTTTTTTAAAAAAGACCCAGTGGTCAGCATCCCTAAGGCGGTACCATCTCCTAGCTGTAAAAGATATTTGTAAAGCCCTTATTCCGATATCTTTGACGATTTCGCTCCAGGCAGGAGCTACGAGTCTCCTTTACGCGGGACTCAGCTCACTCGCTTGCCCCTACGCAGCTCGCATAGGGGTTTTGCAGCCCGGCGGATAAAGCTTCCTTTCCCTTTTCCGCAGGCCCGATTTCCCAGGAAAAGGAAAGGAAACACAGCCCTTCGCACTCGAAATCCGTTCTCGATGCAGCCCCGCCTCTCCAAAGCTTCCTTTTCCTTTTCCGCAGGCCCCCTCTTTTTCCTATCTCTTGCTCCCGTTTCCCCCATCGCCTGGCGAGGGAGTGGTGGCCTCTGTTGTTGTTGTTGTTGTCCCAGCTTCCTCCGGGCGAATCTGATCCGCTCCGCCCCGCCTGATAGCCAGCACCGGCGACGGAGCCCCTCCTTCCCTCCCTCCGGTTGGCGAAGCCGAGCCCGCCCAGCCGAAGCCTCCGCCGCCACCGCAGGAACCTGCTGCTGGAGGCGGAGGCAGGATGACGTGTCGCCGCCGTGGAGCTTTGCATGATTCACCGGCAGCGGCAGGCGGAGGTGGGATGCTGCGCGCTGCTCGCCCCGCTTAGAGGGCGCTGAGCGAGGAGGACCCGCGCCGCCCTTTAGCTCTGCCTGCCGCCGGCGCCTTGGCTCTCCTCTCCCGCCCCCGTTGCTGCTGCCGAGCGAGGATCCCCGGAGGATCCAAGAGGCAAGATGGAAGGAATCCTGAAGAAGCTGCAGAAGGAAGCCTCGGGGAACAAATACAAGGCGATCAAGGAGAGCTGCACCTGCGCCAGCGGTAAGGAAGTGGGCGAGAGATAGGGGGACTCTCCTCTCCCCGGCGCCCGAGGGCAGCCTTCCCTAGCTCCCAAGCATTGCTGGGTGGGCGCTTCGGATACCTGATCCGAGAGATATGACTCTGATGCCTAATCCCGTTAGCAGAGAAGGCATCAAAGCACCGCGCCGATTTGGTTGTGCTTGTGTTGTTGGTTGCACGGGAGGGGGTGGTGTTTGTGTTTGCTTTCGGATGACCGGGACGGTTCTAATCCTGCATCCATCCCACTGGCCTTCGATCTGTTGGCCTTCAGACGGAGATCCCTGCAGGGCAACTGAGCCCAAGTGTTTGCCAGAGCTGCTTCTAGGATGTAGTGGGGCTCTTTGGCAGCTTCCCCCCACCCCAGTACATCTTTTATGCTATAGACTATTCTAGTTGTGTGATTTCAGCGGATCTTCCAAACCTATTGCAATAAATCTCCTTTGCTTTAACGGCGCTTGTCAGTCGGCACATCAAAACACCAGCTTTCAATTCCTGGCCGGGTTTTTTTAATCCTCCGCCCCAACTAAGCAGCATTTAAAACAAACAAACCCTAAAACCACAAAAAATGGGCTCTGGAATTGACTTCGGGTTGTGCTCTTTTATTGCAGAATGCTGAACTGAGCCAGGTTAGCTGTTTACAAAATGGGCATAACCCTAGGTAATGGCTTTTTTTGTATTTTAAGGAAGTGTAATGACATAATGAGGGCAGCTAAATGAAGATTCAGATCTGCTGGGTAGAAAGACTTAATTGCTTCTCCCCCCTGACTGCCTAACCAATTGCCATTTTTCAAACCAACCAACCAGATTTATTTCATCCACTTCACCAGGTCCTGTAGAAGGAGCCACATCCAGCGTTATAACATGAGTTAAAAGGAAAATTTAGTTCCTGCTCACCTTTTTATTAGCAGCAGGTGCTTTCTTCAAATATGAATTGGCAGTCTAATGCCATTTAAATGTGCCAATTGCCCTGTGGCTATTTTCCTGTGTATTATGGGTTGATCTGGTTAATATTTTCACAGTGAATTTTTGGTAATATTCCTTTTATATATATATTCCTCTCCATCTATGTATTCAGTATGATTTACACATGGGTTACTCTAAAATAGATGTCCTTCCACAAATTTGTACCAAAGACAGTGATGGTGGTGGTGTTTTTATGTTCTGGAGTTAGCAGAAGGGAAAACAGCTTTAGTGGGCTGTAAGTTTGTGACTGAAGGGCATGGCCTTTTAGCTGGGGGCAAGGGAAGCTAGGGAAACTTCTTATTTTCACCAGGAATGTATAATGCCTGCTGAAGTCAATGGGGATTTAAAAAATGCTTAACTTTGGCTAGGTCATGCCATAAACAATTGTGATGTTGTACTGCTTCAGGAGTTGGCTTTCTTAATTTAACATGCTTGCTTAGAGAATGAGTGCAGTTACTTAAGAAGCTATGCAAAGGTGCACTTCAGGCAGGTGAGCAGGAGATTCTTACCTTTAATGTAAGGGACACATGTACTGGGAAGAAATGGTGCCCTTGTATTGTAATGGTGCCCATAAAATGTGTTGCTTAGGAAAAAGTGTTTTCTCACATCTCTCCTGTGGAGTGGCAATGAAGCAGCTCACCTGTGGGCAAACCTGCAGGTGTTTAAATGTATCTGCAACAACAACAACCCTTTAAGCAGATTTTTAATTTTTGTTTAAAATGCATGCTTCATGTTAAATTTGTTGGATATTGTGCATGATTTGTATGGATAGTTGTTTGCTATTCAAGATGGTTTGAAAAGGAAGAAATAGAGTTTTGGAAGAGCGGGATAGATATGATAAGTAATAATGCAATAAGAAAGCTTAACTAAAGGAGAAAACTATAATGATGAGCACAGAAGCATCACAAATAAGGTGCAGTAGTTTCCATGTCCTTGTGTGGGGGCCACAAGCTGAGTTGTTTGTTGAAAATTATACTTTTAAATAAGGCCTCATCTGGACTGAAATGTTGTGATCTGAATTGCAACTAATTGCACATATCGACTAATGCCTCCAAAAGCAATATGTACGTCTGCATAAAAAATACAGTCATGCTTGTGAATATTCACAGGCACTTCATAGACTAGGAGTTGGAAACTTCATTGCCAAGACAACTGCCTCAAACTTCCTTTGCACATTACATTGTTAATTTGCGCTTGTAACAAAATCTAGTAAAGGAAGCAATTTTTAGATGCATTGAACTTAGGTTGTATCAGTGACAGCCAGCACCTTGAATAGTGTTTCTGAGGTTATAAGAAACCAGGGAAGATGTTAGAGCACCATGCTGGCAGTGAACCCCCACCTCTTTAAAGAGAAAGCGTTGCAAAATGCAACAGTCTGTCTGAGGCTCCTAAACAGTCCTCAAGGGCAGCCCCATGTGTTTAAACTGGGTGTCCCCCCCACCTTGTGCTTGCTAAGTATTGCTTCCTTCCCATGCTGCCACTTATTTGCATTTTCCCTAGAAAAAGCAAGCTATAATTATTTAAAAGAAAATTTGTGTATAAAAGACATACCGTACATGCTGATCTGCCTTTCACACTCATTCTGCCAGTTTCAGTGGGAAACAAGCAATCGGCTTTGGGCCACGAGAAGCGTACCAAGGTAGTAGAAAGAAAAGTAGAGTAATTCAAAAGGACATGTGAGCTAAGCCTGCACATAGTAACTTTGTGTGATATCCAGTGTGCCGTTCTACTTGCAGAATGGCTTTGATGCCACAGAGGCACCTGCTAATACTGATGTGGGAAATCTTTGGCCCTCCAGATATTGCTGAAATGCCACTCCTATTATCCCTGTCCACTGGCCATGTTTACTGGAGAGTTGTACTTCAGCAACATCTGGGAGGCCAAATGTTCCCCACACCTGTATGCAAAGGAGGAGAGCGGATTTCCTCCAACTTCCCCTTTCCTTTGAAGCCTGCTGTACCACCTTCTTGCCCTTCTGTATAGTCTCCCAGTCCTCTGGAACTGAATTTTGAGGCTGCAATGGGGAGAGAGAAATTGCTGGAAATTGTTTTCCCGATCCCTTACATTAGTGGATTCCTCCACTGCATTAAAAGCCATCCTGCAAGTGGAACAGTAACAGTGGATTTCATCCTGTAAAGCAGGGTTGAGGAATCTGCAGCCCTCCAGGTGTTCATGGGCTCCAGAACCCATCATCCCTGAGCGCTGGTCATGGTGACTGGGGCAGATGAGAGTTGGAGCTCAATAACCCCTGGAGAGCAACAGGTTCCCTGTCTCTGATTTAAGCAGCGGAGACATGTAGGCAAATGCTTTTCGGTATGGATACTATGGGTTAGCTACAAGCTAAACCAAATACACCTCAGTGCAAAACCTTTGTAAATATGTATACAAATCAAGAGCTTTTATTGAATCAACAATATGTGTATCTGCTTTAGGATGATGATGATGATGATGATGATGATGATGATGATGATAATAATAATAATTTAATTATTTATACTCTGCCCATCTGGCTGGGATTCCCCAGCCACTCTGGGTGGCTTCCAGCAAATATTAAAACGTAGTAAAACACCAGACATTAAAAGCTTATGTCAGATGCTACATTTTTTTCTTAACTATTTGAGGTTCATTCAATGGTTTCCCACTCCAACTATATACTTTCAAATGCATCTATCTATACCACAGTGCTCCATGTCATGTCCTCCCATCCTGCTTTATTTAATCTGCAATAACTAACATCTCCCAGTTTTAAACTCACAAGCACTAAAGCAGAATTGCTACATTGCTTTTAAGCATGCCATGAAAAGGGATAGACAAGACCATGACAGGCTCAGGGTCATAAATAGATATTTTTGAAGCCTTGTCGAATTGCACATGCTCCACTTAAATTTTAGCAAAAAAACAAACAAATAATTGGATTTCTGCAATACTGTACTGTGCTTCTTAAATGTGCATAACACATAGGAAAATGCCTTACATTGAATCAGTCTGTTGGTCCATCTAGCTCTGTATTGTCTATGCCGACTGACAGTGACACGCCAGGGTTTTCAGGCAAGGATCTTTTCCAGCCCTGCCTGAAGATGCCAAAGAACAAGGGTCCCTCTGCATACAGAACATGTGCCCTGTCACTGAACTACAGCCCCTTACCATTCCAATAGTTTCTGCCTAACACATGAGCTTTAAGATGGTTTGAAAATTCTGTCATTCCAAATAACGTGGAGGCAGGAAGGCATTTATCTCCTAGACCAGGGGTGGCAGATGTGGCATCTAAGAGCACAATGGTGCCCCTCGAGGTATTTCTCTGGCACCCACAAAGCCTCTGAGCTCCACCACCCACTGCCTGCTTGGTTGTAAGGTGGTTACCTTTTTCTCCCTTGAAAAGTACAGGCAACCCTCCATTTATTGTGCACTTGCGTGAAAGTGCATGAAATGGAAAAAGCCTTCAAAGGCCCCGTTCCACCCCTGTCCCCATTTTGCCCTTTTAGTGATGTTTCAGTGACACCTTTATCAGGTTTCCAGGTCACTTCCAGGTCTGGCGCTGTGTGCGTGTGAGCAATCACACACCTGTCTTGTGATGAAGAGTGGTACATCAGTCTAATAGAATAAAATATCTGTCATATCTAAAACAGGAGTTGCCTGTGCATGGAACTGAAGGAGAAAGTTAAAAGCCCACCGTTCTTTCTCACTTCCTCCTTTAGTTCTATGTGCTTCTCAAGGCTCAGATTAATTCTGTCAAATCCTACTTTTACTCAGATCATTTGGAAAAAACAAAGTATTTGTGTGCATACTGTGTCTCTCTGTGAGGAGCAGTACTGAGGGAGAAAAATGACCAGAAAGGTGGCAACCACAGCTCTCACTGAAAAATATGAATGTGCTCACAAGCCTGAAAAGGTTGGCAACCCCTGTCCTAGACCTTGCCAATCATTAAACAGGTTCGTTCCCTTCATGGTCAGAAGTACAAGCTGCTTGTCTTTCTCAGCTCCTACTCACTTAAAAAAAAAAAAAGTTGCTTCCTGGGCAGCTTGACCTGGCTGGTTATGTTCCTGCTACAACAATTTAGTGAGCTGCATGTGAATGCTGTTTGACCGTTGCATCTGTAACAATTATGTCTACACATAGTCACAACTTCATCAGCCAGTTTAAATGAAATTCATACAAGATGCAGAGCATGCAGCAATTTATGCTTGAAGTATACCGGTGGTCTCTGCCCTCACATACCTCCCAAATGCACTGGAAAAAAGGAACATGTTTTTTCATGCAAGATCTCGGTGGCCATTTTGGGTGCTGCACTCTTGCCCTGAAAAAAGCACTTTCTTCAGGGCCGCAATCTCAACCAACACCCAGAATTGCATGTTTTGGAGCATCACACGAGATCTTGCCCTGAAAAAGCACTTCCTGGAAGACACATGTCCCAGGTTAGGGCTTGAAAAAGTTGGACAGTATGCCTTCATTGCCCTCTATAATGATTCTTCTCCCTTCTCTATACAGAAATGTTAGAATCCCCAGAGGCTGCTACGAAGATCCCTCCATATCAGCTAAGGTAGGAAATGTATACCGCCTAGGTTATAGATGTCAACAAAGATACATGAAGCGGCTGCAGAGCTTGAGACTTGCTTATTGTTGAAACCAGAGTAAAAACGCTACGATAGAAAACCTGCAGCATGCTGTAAGCAAGCCATACTAGGGGTGTCATCTATCATTTTCTATTTATCACTTACAAGTTATTTTTACAGATTTGTAGTGTTCAGAAAATGGTCCGGTTCCAAGAAAGCAGTGTTGTCCATTTTGGTTGAAAATATGAGTGTACAGGCAGTTGTCTACCAGGGTTCAATTTCTACCACAACTATCAGCAACAAGACTTTTTCATCTTACTAAAGTTACAGCTCATGCAGCTGAATGGAATTAATGCTGATACACTCAGAGGCACTGCCAAAATTAAGGGTTCCCAGGACCCAGGTGCCTTCCAAAAACACCCACCCCCAAAATCACTTTTACTTTAAATACAAGGGGGGTGAAAGTTGTTTTAAAAGAAGAGTCTTGAATGCCTCCCCTCCCTTCTTCCTTCCTTCCTTCCTCCATTTCCCTTTTGCACTGAGACATAGGCTCAGCTAATGTTGGCTATCTCCTCTTCTTGAAGTCAAACATGAACTGTTTTGTCTCTTCCATCTACTGGTGATGTCCAATTGAAACTGTTCCCTCTCCTCTAATATTCTAACTGGGTGCTACCAGCAGAGGAAAATGCCCACTTCTAATTGGATGCCAGCAGCAGAGAGAACTGTTCCCCTCTTTTCCAAGTCTGCTGGCCAATCAAAACAGTAGGAGTGTCTAAGGAGACACGGAGAAGAGTTAGAGAAGCTTAGACTATGCCACCATTCCAATTTGGCCTGGAGCTCTGCCCCAGCAGGTCTCACAGGCACCATGTTGGGGACCCCAGTCACAACATATCTTCCACTTGGCTTTGCTAGCTATAATAATCCACCTTTCTATTGAATACCATTGGTGAGGTAACTTAGGTTAAGATTGAGTAAAGGTAGACTCAGATTCTCTTTAGGATTTTGCAAAACTCTTTCATAGGTTTTTGGCTCCTTTTTCCATTCTGATTATTTTCTGCCATGGTTTCAGTTCCTTTTCTTCAGTCAACAGAGGAGGGAAATTCATCTGCAGTTACACTGCTTTTTACTAGTGAAATCTTGCCAAATAGTGATGCACTCAGTTTGGATCATTGGTCTGTCTAGATTTTGCTGCCTAAAAAGCTTTCTGTATTCGTTTAAAACTTGTACCTCTAGACTTGAACTGATTGCTTTCTAATGTTCAGGAAATGTTATTTCATCAAAAGATATTGCCTGAAAATATCCAGCGATCTAATAAAAATATGAATAATAGTTTCTGAAAGCATGTTTTGCCCTATGAAAGGAAACTACAAGACTTCTAGCTGACTGTTTTTCTGGCTTCTCTTTCTCCTTATCACTGATGCTTGTTTTATATTATTAGTGTATGTTTTTTATAATGGTTCATAGTTCAGCAAACTGTTATGAAATTGTCATTGTCTTTTGGATAATACAATAAACTTATTGATGAAATAAGTAGAATTGAACGGAAGGAAATTTTATCCTATCTTTTGGGAGAAGTTTCATCACTTCTTGATATTGCACAATGGAACTCTGGCAAACCCTGTAAAACCAGATTTTCTTAAATCTAGAACTAAGAATTGTCTTACTGAAAGTTTTCCATAAATGGTGTCATAGTGGGTAGTTCTGTTGAATTCTACAACTAAGGCATCTCTGTTTAGGATGTTTTGAGGCCAGAGTATAGCTTAATAACCTTCAGTACATGAGTAGTGTTGATTTCATCACTTCTTCCTTCTCCCATCTGATTTATTTTCCATCAGCTTTGTCTGGGAGTCTTAAGTAAGCAGGAAAAAACTGATTTACTCCGCAGACCACCTCTCATTCACAGAGGGTTAGCTTGATAATTGCTATTGATGCCAGTGGGTTTGCTGGCCATCTGGCATTTGTTCCATCGCACATATGAAGCAGATAACATTGTGAGGTCTTGTGTCACTGCATCTGGGTTAAGACCAAAGTTTTGTATTACTTTTGTTACGGATTATTGAGTTTGCTGACATGGTTCATTGTTGCCTCAGGGGGAAAAATGAATGTATATTGTATAAACTGTTTCACAATCAAGCACTGCATATGGTCCAGCATCATTAGCAGATAGTAAAGGTGTGCCTTGTTTATTCTCCCTGATGTTAACGATTCTTTGCCATCCTGCACTACTTGGTGACACCATCTAGAAGTTGCTGTGTGCTGACAAGCTGTTACTGCATGGTGTTAAAGGGAATGATTAAACTGGGGTAGAACAACTGAGCTAAGTGAAGGGCAGAGAATAGCATTGTACTGCAGAGTTGGTTATTAGTCTGTGTTTATAAACTAACTGTATCCAACCAGTGGAAGACTTTGGGCTCTCAAATTTCAGTGGTGCTAAAATTCGGCACCCCCTGCTTCTAGAGCGCTCTGTTCTACAGCATTGTTTTGACACCCCTAGAAGCACAGCGCCCAGTGCAACTGCACTGGTTGCCCTGCCCTAAAACCTCCTCTGATCCAACCCCAGTTTGCAAGCAAGATCCTTTCTGATTGGCTTATTTCCCTGCCACATGAAACAAGATGCATTTGCTTTTCGGGTTCTAGTGAATGGATTTATGTTCATTTTGAATACTGTTGGAATCAGCTGCATGAAATAAAATTCTTTACTTTTCCAAGACACTGGATTTCCCCACTAATTTTACTAGAATGTGTAGAAACCAAGAAAGTTTGAGTGCATCTTGCGTTGGAATCAGTAATGGATGGCAGGGCCGGGCAGTGGTGCGCACCTGACCTCTGGCTGACCACATCACTGCTCTACCAGGAGGCAGAGGGGGAGGTCAGTGTAGTTCAAGTGCATTGGTGGAACTAATTTGGTGCCCTCACCAGTGGGTTAACACCTTGCTTCTGCCTTTGTCCTCCCCTTCTACCTCCCAGTAACACAGCCAACTGGAGGTCAGGTGATCACTGCCACCCCACCCCACCGTCCGCTACCTGGTTGGAGCTAGTTAGAATAAAACAATGAAACCCTACTAAATAAAGCAGTGGAGAGTGATCTGCTTTTCTGAGCACATAGATCCACCTGAGGCATGCTCCTTTTTTCATTAGTTTCCTCCATGTGATGGAAGAACATGATTAGTAAACCACCTGACCTTTGCAAATGGCACTGTGGTTTTAACCACTGTGCCGCTTGGACTTGCCAATCAGAAGGTCAGTGGGTTGAATCCATGTGACGGAGTGAGCTCCCGTTGCTCGGTCCCTGCTCCTGCCAACCTAGCAGTTCGAAAGCACACAGTGCAAGTAGAGAAATAGGTACCGCTCCGGCAGGAAGGTAAACAGCGTTTTCGTGCTCTGCTCTGGTTCGCCAGAAGTGGCTTAGTCCTGCTGGCCACATGACCTGGAAGCTGTACGTCGGATCCCTCGGCCAATAAAGCGAGATGAGCATTATGAGTAAAACATAATGTGGGAAATGGGGCTGTTCTCCCACGTGTCATTGTCCCAGTCCAGATTGAGTTTCTCTGCAGCTTTTTATCAAGAATGTAAAACGGCAGGTTCTGCTTAGGTTATTGTTAATGAAATGTGTAGTTTGGCCCTGAGAATGCCTGTGGATGTCCAAGAAACGAGCCTGAAAGAGCCAAAAGGAACTCCAGTAATTGCTGGATGCCCTAAATTGTCAGTAGCACATTTGGCCAAGCAAGCATGGAGGGAGATATGTGAATGAAGCCCCAGCACTGATTTATAATAATGAAGTGAAATGTATCCATTTAAGAAAAGGGAAAGATAAAAAAAGAGGTAAGTCAAGTTTCTTACACACTTATAACACACCCCTAAAACTGTTGTCTATGATGAAGCCCTGTTATACAATTGCGTCATCAAAAAGAGACTTGCACCTAAAACAAATTATATCAGGCTGCACCACTGACCCAAAAGAGATGGTTCCTGACTTTGCCAATCTACTGTGGACAGAAGTAGAAGAGAATGTGGCAGGCTGACGCTAGTTATCAGTTCCAGCTGCCAGGCAGTGCCCAACATTAAAGGGCCCATCACAGGTGCATGACATCACACGTGCAATGCCCCCCCCAACCCAGTTATGCCTACTCGGCCCACCCACCCACGCACCAGCAGCAGCCTTACCTTTGTGAAAAGGATGTGCGGGGTGAAGATGCTTCGCCCTGCGTGTCTCTGGCAGAGATCGCCAGTGCACCTTCCAGGAGGGTTCTCTGGCGCGCGGTGAAGACTCTTCAGAAGGACACGGCAGGGCCAAGCATCTTCATCCTTTGTTGCTATTTTTATCATTCTCCCCCCCCCCATTGTTCATCTGTTCTTGAGAAAGAACACTGTGTTTTTAACACCCATTCTTCTTGACAATGCTGTGTGGATTCTGTGTTTATCTAAATGATTCCGTTGAAGAATGAAATAAAAATGGATACAATTAGTTCAACTGTAAGTGAGCAATGGCCCTTCTAAGGGAGCTATTTCCCTTAGCCTATAATACGAATGATTTTACTTGCTTTGGGCTATGCTACTTATAACTGCCTATAGTTTATTCATGTTTGCTGTCAACACAAAAGCAGTTGTGCCTGTCATAGCAGCTCTGATGTAATCCCACCCGAGGAAAAAAAGTCATGATTTCCCCCACCATCGTCCTTGAGTTTTTATCTATCCTAGGTTGCTAGTAGCAACACCTGAGCAACATTTGCTATTAGGTCTAAATATAGCCTATTAAATTCGAGGTGGAAATGATAGCAAGCTAATCACAAATATGTTTTCATGGCAAGCCCCAGGTGGTTAATATGGCATATATAAACTCCCAGGATTTGATACCACAACAATTTTTTGTTTTTTTAAAAAATTATATCAGTAAGCAATTTTGTGAAGGGCCTGCCAGGTGTTGACTGGTACACAATTCTTAGCCAGGCCCAAATCTTGACCGCTAGCCTTACACCTCAGTGAGAAAGCAAAGGATGAACTGTGCTGTGTGGCATTTATTTGAACATAGTATCCCCCTGACTACCCAAATTTCCCATTATTTCTGGAGACAAACGACAGCTGTGTCCAGGTACACACAGCACAGCCTAATTAATTCGCTGGCTTCTCCCTGAAGTAAGAGATAAGGAAGCGTGAATTCCCATGACACACATCACACACCAGGTTGTGAATGCTTTCTAGAAAAAGTCTATTTATTTTCTATATAGCTTTTTAAAAATAGCTCTAGAACTTCCACAGCAACATCTCTGTTACTTCTGAATAATTCAAAGAGGTATGTTGGTCAAAACCTGAAAATATCTGACCAGGTTTCAACAAACCTCCTTGTTTTGGCAAAGGTGGTTCCGTAACTCTGGCAACTCTGCTGAGGTGGGGGGGGTGTCTCGGCAATTGCTCTGTGGTCCCTGCAGCTTCCAACTTGGGAAGAGGTCTGGGAATTATTTCTAAGTTTTGACCAAGCTATCCAAAGAGTTTCTGCCAAGGCTGGTAAAACTGGCTTTTTACTCTTCCTGCTGTGGAGCAGAAAAGGCAGGGGTGGGGTGTACAGTGAACACTTTCCCTCCACCTCTCTGTCGGCAAACGCAAGGTGCAGAGGGGATTGAAAGTTGCTGCCTCAGGGCGCTCAGTGCACTTTGTGGCAGCAGGTCCCAATGGTACAGACTCCCTACTAGTTGCGGGATGAGAGACTTGACAGATGGGGCGACTACAACTTTTGACTTGGTCAGCAGAAATGTTTTAGAGCCCTGTATTTAACTTTTCTTCAAGGTTACACTCATAGCAGTACTTCATATTCCCAGCCATATTTTGTGCCTTTGCTTTATATTTTTAGCTCCACATGGCATGCCCCAATTGAGAATTTTCATCATATGCTTATTGATGGGGGCAATGGAACTGTCCCATGACTGTGACCTTTAATAAGATGATGATATTACTATTATTCAATGTTTAATTCTTTACAGACTGTTACTCCACCACCACTCTGCCACACAAGTAATCATGTAGACATCATTTCTTTTTAAGAAACTCTTCAAACAAACCGGCAAGACTTCAATTACTCCCTAGCACCAGTGTCCCACCTTTTCTATGTAAAGATGACATCCTTGCATTTGTCTGTGCTAGAATGCCTGCCTAGTCAGCTATAAAAACAAGAAAAGGTATAAATAGCAGTGCCCCCCCCCCCAATTCCCTATAGAGATAGGAGATGTTGCTCTTCATCTTGAAAAGGGATGGACAGGTTAAAAGCACAAAGGGTAAGGATACACTAACTGTTGTGCTGTCAGTCCCTTACATCTGATGTGAAGGACCAAAAGTTACAAAGGGCATTTCCAGATCATTGGTGCTTTGTGGTGGAATTCAGTCACAAGCCAACAAATGCATGTTGCAAAATCAAAGTTTATTTGGAGCTCTTGCGCAACTTTCCACATCAGACCTTTTGCGATAAGCAAATTCATGGGGAAACACATTGGGAAATGTGGGATTGTGTGTGCTAGATGCAGGAATGTCTAACCTCCCTGCAAACAAATCAGAATGAATGCTGAATAAACAGGTCATATGGAAATAACCAAAGTGTGTTGGGTTGTAAACTTTCTCCATCTTCTCTATCAGCCTTTGAGGACAATTGGGTTTGTTAACGTTCTACAGATGTTGTAAGAAAAAAAGATTCAATTTGTGCCAATTCTCATTTCCATCTCAATTTTAATTCAGAGCTTGAATTAATGAGCCATTTCCATTCTCTTCACATTTGAAGTCTTTTACTGCCAGAATGAAGTAGTTGAACTTCCATTTTACTATCGGCTTCTCACAGCCAGCGACTGTGTTTCTGTGACCTTGCTAGTGTTCTAGATTTTAGTTGGCCTGTCATGTCACTGCTGTCCATAGTGACAGCATCTCAGACCTGGAAACAAGAAAAAGGCAGCTCAGCCAATTCCCAAAATGGAACGTGGGAAAGGTCACTGATTTGCATTGATGGCATTTACATTTTAATAACTCCTTCAGTTTCAGGCAGGACCCCCCCCCTCCCTGAATTATAGCTTCTCTGTTCACACTGTGCAAAAGCTATTTGAGGAAGACACCAAAGGAGGGTGAGGCAAGCAGTTTCTTTCCTAATCATAAAGAGCCAGCCAATAGGATCTGCACTATTTCGCTCATTTTAATAATGGAAGATGGTTTCCTCATCACATTTCTTTCTTTCTAGCTCACCATAATTGGAATGTGAATACCTTGGTCCATAGGTTTCTCTAATTTCACTGCCATCCTGTAGGTTCTTGTCTGTTCTCAGCCCAAACAGTGACCCTTATGAATAATTAGGGCAGCTCCACACATTTTGTTTGCTGCAATTGGAATTACCCCCTTAATTCCAAACATGTTCACAGTGTTACAGGTTTAGGAAAGAAGGCAGCAAGGATCCTATGCACAACAAATATTTAGAGCAGTCTTATACTTGGATGCATAGGATGCTTTTGCTAAAAAAAACCCCACAGACTCACTAATCATCCTCAGTCAGCAATCCCTTTGCTTCTAAGGCAAAGTAGAAGCTTGAAGGAGGGTCATGGTAGAGGAAGGAATGGCCCACTCTGAAATCATAGGCTCTCAACTGCAGCAACATGCAGTCAATTTACAGTGTTAACATTAAAGCTCTGCAATTCTAAGCCAACTAAGCAATCTAATTGGCCAAGTGACTGCTGATGGTAAAATATATAAAATCACTGAGAGGGACAGGAAATGACAGTTCATTTTGTTAACTGTTGTGATGGGAATATAGATGGTCCATTAGCATTAATCAGAGCTTTAGCTAAATGCTTTTCTCAAGAATAGGGAGGTCACTAATTGAATCAGTCCTGGTTTTTAATCCGTTTTGTTGCTTCTGAGGTTTTATTAAAAAAAAAGAGAAATCTGATTTTTATCAGTTAAAAGGATACGGCTGTAGATCAGCCTTTGTTAGCCTGGTGCTCTCCAGATCTCTCGGACTGCAGCTCCCTTCTTCCCCTGACCATTGGCCGTGCTGGCTGGGGCTGATAGGAATTGCAATCCAAAATGTCTGGAGGGCAACAGGTAGGGAAAGAGATGGTGGGCATTTTGCTGAAATACACAGTTGCTATGCAGTGAGCCATAAAAGGCAGAGCTGGCTTTCAGTTGTAATAAAGCACTCACTGGCTCAGTTGTAATGGAATACAGTATGTCTGCTTCCTCTTCTACTGAAAATGTGGAAGTCTGGCTGATTGCCAGATGACAGATAAATGGTAGCGATTTGTGCTTTGAAAAGTTACAGGATTTCAACAGGACGTTACAGGATATGCACAGACAGCAAATGAAGCGGTATGACCACCCCAAAACTTTTGCCAGGACAAATAGCATTGTCAAAGGGATCACATATCATGGATGTTCAATGAACAGGACACCTGGAAGGAACCTGCAATTGCTTCTTTTATTACGTACTATGATGAATGTTTGCATCAAAGAAGACTAAATGTAACATATGCTTCTGAATTGCCTTTCAGGAGCCAAATTCAAAAGTTACAATGTAGGCTTTCTGAATGCATAGTCCTAAACAAAGTTTATTTTTCTTTGGCCATCAGGGAGAAGTGCCTCCTTCCACTCCAGCTTGCTTTGGAAAGCAAGAACGTGAAGCTGGCCCAGCATGCTCTAGCAGGGATGCAGGTATATGGCAATGAGGTTCTGCCGCAGTTGGATGTGTTTGATGGAGGTGGATGGTGCCCTGCTGACATTTTAGTTGCTAAGGCAGGGGTGGGGAATCTCTTTCAGCTTGAAGGCCACATTCTCTCATTGGCAATCATTTGGGGGCCACATACCAGTCGTGAGTGGGCAACAGATGGACTCAATTGTTGCTACAATTCAACTGTGCAAAAGCCAGATGTTTCTACACATTGATCTCTAAATATCTCCTCAGGCCATGCTGTGGGGTTCCACAGGGCACTGTTTTGTCCCCAATGCTATTCAACACTGGGAGTGATCATTAGGAGTTTTAGTGCAGGATGTCATCAGTATGCTGATGATATCCATCTCTGTTTCTCCATTACATCTGATTCAGGGGAAGTTGTGAAAGAATGGGGCCCAGGTATGGATGCAGTGGTGGACTTTCCTGGACAGGGTTAGCCTGACTGCGGCAGTTCATGTACAGTGGTACCTCTGTTTTTGAATGTCTCCATTGAGAAATGTTTCGAAACTCGAACACCAAAAACCCAGAAGTAAATGCTTCCGTTTTTTAATGTGCCTCGAAAGTCAAATGGCTTCCGCTGAGGTACCACTGTATTTTTATCAATTTTCTCTGTAAATTTGCAGACCGCCCTTTGCACCTTGGTTTTCAAACATTTCGGAAGTTGAACGGTCTTCCGGAATGGATTACGTTTGAAAACCAAGGTTCCACTGTATTGGTAACTTCAGGACTGGATTATTGCAATGTGCTTAATGCGGGACTGCCCTTGGGTCTGGTCCAGAAGTTTCAGATAGTGCTAGCACAGAATGCTGTGGCAGGAACAGACTTCTGCCAACACATTACACAAATGTTAAAACAGCTACACTGGCTTTCCGTCTGCCACTGGGCCAAGTACAAGGTTCTTATACTAGTGCAGGATTTCTCAAACTTGGGTCTCCAGCTGTTTTCACTACAATTCCCATCATCCCTGACCACTGGGCCTGCTAGCTAGGAATGATGGTCCAACAACAGCTAGAGAAACCCTGCACTAGTGTATAAAGCCCTGAATAACTTAGGCCCAGAAGGACTGCCTTACCCAGTGCACTCAAAGTTGATGAGATCATCTAGGGGAGCACTATTGGTGGTTTCCCATAGGCCAGAAGCATGAGTTATATCAGTTAGGAGTTGTGCCTTGGCTGTTGTGTGCCCAACTCTATGGAACTGCCTCACCACAGACACCATCCCTACTGAGTCTTAAATGCCTGGTCAAAAATCACTTGATTGCAGGAGGCCTTTGGACCTTGAATGCATCGCTGATGCTTTACATTATTTTCTGACATTTTAAAATTCTGAGGATTTTTGAGATTTACTTTAAGCTTTAAATTTTGTATATTATGTATTTCATTGTTGTAAGCTGCTTTGAGAACTGCATTGTGAACAATGGGGTATACATTTTTAAATATAAAAAACATAATAAGGTATTTTGGGGAGTAATGTGATTATTTATACCAGCATTATGTATCAAGCAAATCAAGAATCCCTGTGATTAAGCAGTCCCATTCTCTCTCTGCAGAAGCTACTGTCTGATGAGAGATTTGTAACCATGGAGACAGACTCTGATGACAAGCAGTTGCTTAATCAAATGCTGAATGCAGTCAGAGTGACTCCTTCCCTCAACGAAGACCTGCAGGTAGAAGTTATGAAGGTTAGTATTTTTCAGACGTCAGTACTTACGTGGCTGCAGAGGAGACTTCCTGACTGACTCAACTCTGCAGCTCTCTGGAGCTTCTCTGAATCCTTAGTAACATTTCTTACGTCATGGTACAAAACCAGCTCTCATATTTTTGTTGCAAGTTGAACTCTGCTTTACCAACTGAAGTCTGGATTCATAGGGCATCAGTGTGTCAACATGACATTTATGACAGAAGATTTAAATTGTGACCACACTGTTGAGACGGAAAATCCTTTGAGTCCCCTGGTAGCTAGAAACAATGGCATGCAAAGAGTTTTGCATTTTTATGCCTAATGTAAAAAGCAGGTGCCTTTAGCAAACAACATTGCCAGTAGCAGATGGCATGGTGGGGTGCCACCGTTCGGCTGACCTCCAGTCAGCTGCCATGCTGCAGCTTATCAGGGGGAGTAGTGAGGTTGACGCAGTGCAAACACACCATCAGGAGCACCAGATTGGCTCTGCAAGTGTGCTTGCAGCACACCACTTTGCTTTTTCTCTTCCATCTCCCAGTAAGCAGCAGGAACAAACTGGAGTTTGGGTGAGTGGGCCCCACCGCTACCACACTGGCTGCTATTAAGCATTGCACTGTGTGATAAAGGAGGCCACATATACTGTTTATGTAAGGTGGCTCATCATGGGCTGGTGGTGTAAGAGACGTGAATGTGTGGGGCGGGGAGAAAGGTTAACATTGTGGGTTGTTGGATTGTTTTTTCTGGGAAGCGTTAAAACCCCTTTGTGCTCAAAATACTCTAGTGCCAGAACTGAAGTGTGAGACTTGTAAGTCCTTTGTATATTTAATGCACACTGCTGTTCCTAGAACTATACACACTTTAGTTGCTGAGAATGAAATCAGGAGGAGTGCTTCCTTGGCAAGCAGCCTTGTGCACTGGCGATGAGGGGATGCCATTAGATCCTTGTTCCAATTGTCTTTTGTCATGTCAGTTCCTTCCTGGAAAAGATATGCCTGACTGGTGAGAAGTAGTGTTAAGATAGATGATTTTTCAGCTTTGGGGTGTATAAGAGAAGGGTGTGTATGAAAGTGAGTGCTGAAAATGAGTACAGTGGTGCCTCGCAAGACGAAATTCATTCCGCGAGTTTTTTCGTCTAGCGAATTTTTCATCTTGCAAAGCACGAAATCCCATAGGAATGCATTGAAATCCAATTAATGCGTTCCTATGGTCAAAAAAAGTCCAAACAAAGCCAAATTTGGTACAACAAGAGTTTATTAACTGCTCTTTAAAGTCACACATACTGTAAAGAGCATTTCAAAAATTGAAGGAACAATAAATTAAGTTTCTAAACATGACAGGAAAAACATTTAAAAATCAACAAAGTGTACATTACATTTTCTAAGACTCTGGGGGACCACTCGAAGAAGGTTCCTCTTCCACTCTTTGCTTCTTGCTTAAGAACCTGTCCATGGTCTGCTGCTTCATCCGCCTTTTCAGCACCTCCCTGAAAGACGACATGACCCTCGTATCAAAAGTGTTCGCAAGGTCACGTGTCACGTGCTTGTCAGGGTGGTTCCGCTCTGCAAAAGCCTGCACATCCTTCCACTTCAGGCAAATGTCCCTCAGTTCTTTGGAGGACAGCCGTTCCTCAGTTGCTTCCTCCTCTTCCAGCGAGGCCTGCTCCTGCGCAGCCTCTGCCTGCAGTTCGACCAGCTCCTGGGTGGTCAGCTCGTGGTCGTGCTCCTCCACCAGCTCGCTGACGTCCTCCTCTGTGACCTCCAGGCCCATGGTCCTCCCTAAGGCAACAATGTCCTGCACCACTGTTGACTCTGGTGCATCAGAGTCACTTGGTGCCACACAGTCCGGCCACAGGCTGCGCCAAGCGCAATTCAAATTTCTCTGGCTGATCCCTTTCCAGGCCGTGGTGATCATCTTCAAGCAGGTGACGATGTCGAAGTGGTCCTTCCAGAATTCCTGCAGGGTGATGGTGGTGCAATCAGTCACCTCGAAGCATCGCCTGAAAAGCTCCTTGGTGTAGAGTTGTTGGAAATTGGCGATGACCTGCTGATCCATCGGCTGGAGCAGTGGCGTGGTGTTAGGCGGCAGGAACATGATGTTGATGAAGCTGAACTCCTCCAACAAGTCCTCCTCAAGGCCTTTAGGATGAGCAGGAGCATTGTCCATCAGAAGCAAAGCCTTCAGCGGCAGGTCGTTGTCCAGCAGGTACTGTTTGACAGCAGGGCCAAAAGCAAGATTGACCCAGTCCACAAACAGCACACGTGTGACCCAAGCCTTACTGTTGGATCGCCACATGACACTCAGCTGCTCCTTGTCGACCTTGTGTTTCTTGAAGGCCCGTGGGTTCTCCGAGTGGTACACCAGCAGGGGCTTGATCTTCAGGTCGCCGCTTGCGTTGGCACAGAAGAGCAGGGTCAGACGGTCCTTCATGGGCTTGTGGCCAGGCAACTTGGCCTCCTCCTGAGTGATGAAAGTCCTTTTGGGCATCCTCTTCCAAAACAGCCCGGTCTCGTCGCAGTTGAAGACCTGCTGTGGAACGTAGCCCTCCGTCTTCACAACCTCCAGGAACTCCAAGGCAAAGTCTTCAGCCGCAGGAACATCAGAACTGGCAGCCTCTCCATGCCTGACCACGCTGTGGATTCCAGATCTCGTCTTGAACCGGTCAAACCAGCCTCTGCTTGCCTTGAAGACTTCTGGCTCGCCTGAGGTTCCTGGCTGTTCCCGGATGAGGTCTGCGTGCAAGGCCTTGGCCTTCTCACAAATCACGGCCTCAGTCACTGTGTCCCCTGCACGCTGCTTCTCTTCTAACCAGATGAGGAGCAACTTCTCGACCTCCTCCAGAACAGCTGGGCGGTTCTTCACGATCCTGGTGACTCCCTTGGCTGCATCAGTCGCAAGGATCTTCTCCCTCATCTTCAGGATGGTGCCGATGGTCGATGGGTTCCTGCCGTACTCCCTGGCGAGGTCCGTCACACGCATTCCACCGTCGTGCTTCCGGATGATCTCCTTCTTCATTTCCAGCGTCACCTTCTCCTTCTTCCTCTCGCCGGCCTCTGCAGCAGCAGTCTTCTTGGGTCCCATGGCAGCACAGCTCCTAGCTTCGTAAACTCAGAAAAAAAATAATAATCAGTGGATTCAGACCCCAAAAATTCAAAAGCACCCAGCCACCCACCACACAGGAATTCAAACCCTGAACCAAGTCCTTGAATTCCAAGCTCCCAACCCAAAAACCAAAAACCCCAAAAAAAGTTTAACTACGAAATGGCTGTAAATCACCAAAGTCTTCAAAATCGTCAAATGGCTGCAAATCACCAAAGCCTTCAAAAACCTCAACTGCTCCCCCAGCCACCCACCACACAGAAATTCAAACTCAGAAAAAAAAATTTGAAAAAAAACAACATGGCCCAATGGTCACAGAAAATCATAAAAATTCAGAAAAAACCCACACAAGCTCCCAGATTCTTGCAAACCCCTCCTCAACTGTCCCCCCAGCCACCCACCACACAGAAATTCAAACTCAGCAAATGTTTTTTGAAAAACAACAACATGGCCCAATGGTCACAGAAAATCATAAAAATTCCAAAAAAACAACACAAGCTCCCAGATTCTTGCAAACCCCTCCTGAACTGTCCCCCCAGCCACCCACCACACAGAAATTCAAACCCAGAATTTTTTTTTTTTAAAAAAAAGAAAGTGCCCCAATGGTCACAGAAAATCATAAAAATGCAGGGGGGAAAACCACACAAGCTCCCAGATTCTTGCAAACCTCTCCCCAACACCAAGTCCTTGAATTCCAAACACCCCAACCCAAAATCCAAAACCCCCCCAAAAAGTTTTAAAAGTTTAACTTACCAAACAGCTGCAAAAGAAGTTTTGGAAAAGCTTCCAAAATCAGCAAAGTCCTCAAAAACCTCAGAAAAGGCTACCACACCGCGTGCAATGTGTTGCTCCTCGAAGTCAAGTCGCAACTGCACCTCTTCAAGCAATGCACCCTGGGTATTAACGGTTTTACGAAAAAGGAAACAAACTTGTAAGACGTTTTCGTCTTGTGAAGCAAGCCCATAGGGAAATTCGTCTTGCGAAGCAGCTCAGAAAACGGAAAACCCTTTCGTCTAGCGAGTTTTCCGTCTTGCGAGGCATTCGTCTTGCGGGGCACCACTGTATTCCTTAGCCTGTTGAAATTTATTTCTCAGTTTTAAATCTATCACTGTTTCATCCCAGGAGTTATACAGGGGAGCTCTTTCTACACAATGTTATAAAAAGAACCTTGTAGGGTATCAATGTGATTCTTTTTAAATCTGTTCATTTGGAATAATATTTAACCCTTGCATATTTATATAGGGTGACAAAGTACTGTTGTCCCTTGTTTTAGTTCATACTGTTATGGTGAAAGGCATGGTGGCAGGAGCCTGAGGGGAAAGAGACAGATTTCCATTATTTTAATCTATCTAGTCTTAGTAGCAGATTTGGCCAATTTAAGGATCCAATATATAATTCCCTGTAATACACAATACCTCAGTCATCTGTTGGGAAGTGAAATGGGGCCAGCTAAAAATAAGGTGGTTTATGCAAACTCAGGTGATTCCCTGTGTTTGTGGAAGGGTGTTATTTTGTAAATGGAAAAGCAAAGGGATATTTAGAACGTAGGACCCCATTGCAAGGATCCCATACACAGGGACTGCAAGGGCCTGCTGAAACAGAAAACAACCTCATGGCATTCTACAGTGATGTTTCGTGACGGGGGTGGGGAGACTTACACCCCAACACCCATAGCAATAACAAGCTTAAGATCATGGCTGGCAGCTAGACCCAAACCTAAATCCTTTAGCATTATTTAGCAAATTCCAGGAGGCAGAGAGAGGCTGGGAAAGGTGTCCTTTTTCCTCCTTTTCCCTTCTTTTTCTATCCCAAAACATTCTCTCCACTATGAGCCTTGAACAAAGCTACTGTTCCAGGCTGCAGCCTTGGACAGGAGGATGTTTCTTAGGAAGTGGGGATACATGCATGTTCTTAGGCTGGTATATTATCTATTTAATGTATAAGGAAATCCCTAATCCTAAAGGAATGTAAACTGTCTAAAAGCTAGATAACTCCTGTGAGACCTGTTATATTTTACTAAGCACCACCAGCCAGTTACAACTTCAGAATTTATCCATTTATTTTTTGAATTTATATCCCACCCTTCAATGCATTAAGGATGAATAAGACATGAAAATGCATAGGTACACTCTATGCCTAAGTTCCAGAATCCTGTTTGGAATCTCACAGATTCAATTTCTTTTCATGAATTTTTAAAAAAGTTGTTTGTTTTTTGAAGGACATATGTTAGAATTAGGCTTTAGACTCTAAAAGTCTTCACTGCTATGTGTACTAAATGCTTTCAAAGTGGGTGGTGTTTGGGGTTTTGTTTTTGCGTTTTTCTTTTGGTGCAATGGGATTTTTCTGCTTTGTCCACAAGAACATGTGCCATCTTGACAAGAACAGCACCAAATTTAGTCAGGTCAGCTATGCGGGTGCTATCTTAATAAACAAGCATCCTTGTTTATTAATCTGAATGATGCAACTACTATTTGTCACCTCATAGCAGACCAAACTTTGGAAATGTCTCTCTGACTTGCTTTTGTAAGATTCTAAAGCATCTATAAAGATGTCAGGAAATACCAAACACTTTCTGCACCCAAAAGGCTTTTGTTGTTCACACTTTGCACTGATAAAAAATACCTATTACATTACCCCCATCACTAATTATTGTCCAACTCCCATATAATCTACTAGTAGCCTTGTACCCAGCTTTGCTCAGGAATTCTAAGAAACTATACCAAAAATAAAGTAATGCAATTTTGAAATCAGTGGTTAAAATCAGTGTAGTTTTGAAAGGTCCGGTTCACCATCTTGATTTCAAATGGCATCCAGTTGTACCCACATTTATGTCTGCTCCTTGGTCTTTGGAACTATCGTGCAAAATTTAGTTTTGATATCCTAAGAGATGTCCAAATGCCTAGTGAACAGACAAATAAACAACTTTCCACAATGTGTGATAGATAAGCTGCTATTTCACTAATGCACAGTCTAGATGTCATTTCCTGATCACAAACTACTGTATTTTTCCATGTATAAGACACCCCCATGTATAAGATGACCCCTCTTTTTTTGAACCCAAAATTAAGAAGTCGGGCCAGAGCCCAAACCAGAACCCGGGCCACCCGCACCAGAGTCAGAGCCACTGTGCATTCACCATCCATGAATAAGATGACCCCATTTTTTTACTTACATTTTAAAGCAGGCTTCCACAACCTCGGCCCTCCAGATGTTTTTGGCCTACAACTCCCATGATCCCTAGCTAGCAGGACAAGTGGTCATAGATGATGGGAATTGTAGTCTCAAAAACATCTGGAGGGCCAAGGTTGAGGAAGCCTGATTTAAAGCAAAAAAAATTTGTCTTATACACAGAAAAAATACAGTACATTTAATAATGGAATCATGCACACCTAATAACTCTCCCATCCATCTCACGGATGAATTTCTCTGTTCTCCTCTCAATTATCTTTAATAGAATAAGGATTACATCAGCACTGGAACTGGTGAATTTTGTGAATGACCAATAACTCAGAGATATACTAGGGAACACTGACAGTCTCCTAAATGAGGTTGTCAACATTCTCTAGTGAATGTCTGACAAATGAGGGCATAGTAATGCTGACATTAGCACAATACATCTGGGATTCTCACTATTAGATATGAATGGGAACATTTACCAAATTCCTAGCATACTTTGTAACAAATATACACTTTTACTTTCATATTTCACTTTTTGTCAAAGTCTCATTTCCTTTTACAGTGGTGCCTCGCAAGACGAAATTAATCCGTTCCGCGAGTCTCTTCGTCTAGCGGTTTTTTCGTCTTGCGAAGCAACCCTATTAGCGGCTTAGCGGATTAGCGGCTATTAAAGGCTTAGCGGCTTAGCGGCTAAAAGGCTATTAGCGGCTTAGCGGCTTAGAAAAAGGGGGGGAGCGAAAAAAATCTCAAGACTCGCAAGACATTTTCGTCTTGCGAAGCAAGCCCATAGGGAAATTCGTCCTGCGAAGCACATCGAAAAACGGAAAACCCTTTCGTCTAGCGGGTTTTCCGTCTTGCGAGGCATTCGTCTTGCGGGGCACCACTGTATTACATCATGTTGCAGTGCAGAGTTAAAGGTCTGTCATGTTGGCTGCTAAGGAAAGGAGCTGCTTCAATACCCTGAATAGTGGAAGCATGTTCTCAATGGGGTTTCTGAGAGATTCTCAGTCTCCTGCATCTAATTCAGCCCAATCCAGATACTCTGTGTTCTTCCGAATGCCTGCCACAGGAAACCAGCAACACTTGTGTGGGTAGATCTACAAGTCACTATTTGGAAGAAAAAACTTTAGTTATATTAAGGTAAAGGTAAAGGGACCCCTGACCATTTGGTCCAGTTGTGATTGATTCTAGGGTTGCGGCGGTCATCTCGCTTTATTGGCCGAGGGAGCCGGCGTACAGCTTCCGGGTCATGTGGCCAGCATGACTAAGCCGCTTCTGGCGAACCAGAGCAGCGCACGGAAACACTGTTTACCTTCCCGCTGGAGCAGTACCTATTTATCTACTTGCACTTTGACATGCTTTCGAACTGCTAGGTTGGCAGGAGCTGGGACCGAGCAACGGGAGCTCACCCCGTCATGGGGATTCGAACCGCCGACCTTCTGATCGACAAGTCCTAGGCTCTGTGGTTTAACCCATTAATTATATTAGCATTGCCATTTTTTTTAATGGAGCCCGAGATATTGCTTGACATGAAATAATTTAGCTTTCTCCCTCACTTTTATCTCCATGCCGATAAAAACCACTAAATTTCTGTGGTTCTGGTTGCAGACAGTGAAGGGGGGAAAAAGAGTCATCCCCAAATGTGAACCCTTTAGCAGTGCAGGTGAAGATTACAGGAAGCACAGAGAGGTTACCTGCACTTTACAGGTAGATTTGAATGGAATATTGGGTGTCTTCTTTCACTGATGTAGCTAACAGCTGCATTCCTCAAACCCTAAGCTAATAGCCTCCCAATGTTCTGGACTTCAACCTCTATCACTGGAGAGTTAAGCACTGGCCATGCAGCTGGGGACTGATGGGAGTTGTAGCCCAATACATTTGCAGGGCACGCAGTAGGGGCAGACTGTCCTAGGAAATATGAAACTGCTGAGAGAGCTGCTGTGTGCAAAGAAAAGCGAGAGCTGGAAACAACTAATTAATCCCTGCTCAGCTAGTTCCCTGAACTACTGTCAGTAGTGACCTTTTCTAGTATTTATGAGGCTGTCCCCCCCCTTTACTGTTAATTAAAGTGATAAAGAACACCAGGATTGGTGGTATGAATATTTCTCACAATATTAATAGACTTTGATCCTTGTTTTTCACCCTGACTCTAGAAAAACTAATCTTCATAAATTTAGCAGGTCTGTGTGGTATGTCATGCAGGAATGGAAACAAACAGAAGCCTTTTGTGTTGCTAAAAGAACACACGTAGGAAGGGATTAAAGAAGGACTGTTGATATCTGTATTGCCACCTGTTCAGTTTAGTGTTTACCCAACTGAGTGGCGGAATATACTTATTCCCAGTGAGCATTTGTTTTTGTGGTGCTTCCTTTAGGGAACCTGCCATCTCCTTTTAATGAATAGTAAATATGTAACTTACCAAACAGGAAACTGATGCTCTAGTTGTGGCCCCCCTTCCTCAATCTTTCCATAGATTCAATTTTGTGTGTGAAATAACAAGTGAGACCTGATCCTCCTAGACTTGTTTACCTGGCTTGTTTAAGTCTCACTGAAACAAACTTGTAAGTGATTATGTGTAAGACTGAAGTCTAAAATTTATACATACTTGATATATTTTTAGTTACTCCCCTTGTATAGTTTTATTCTCGCCTTGAGGTTACACTGGCCTGTTGTATTAAACTTCAGTAAAAAGTAGGCTTTTAGGCAATATCAGATCATCCTGTTCATAGGGTATGACGGGTGGTAAATAGAGCAATCTATTAAGGTTGAACTTTTCTGGATTGTATCCAATGGTGGCTTTGCAGAAGCTGAATGCTACTTGCAGAAGGTGAGACACTTGGTTTTTCCCCAATTCCTCCACCACCAATGTTTAATGTTAAGAAACAATTATAAAAGAGGCTCACAGATGGCAATCCTGTATATACTTACTTGAAAGAAAAACCCCCATTGTTTTTCTGCTTTCTATAGTTCCTACATTCCTTGTATTGTCGTAACTCTGAATGCCAAATCTACTAGCAGAGCCATTAAAGAACTCTGTTAAATGATTCTCCTTGTTTCATTATGTTGTTGCATATCAGCTGACTTTTTAGTTGGAGTTTTCTGCCTTAGCACAGCAAATTAATGAAGGCTTTATTTAGAGAATGTACATCATGTCACATACTTGGTTATTCCACTCCTGATATAAGACTTTGCCTGGACGTTTGAAGCGTTGATCACTCTGAATAATAGTTTCTAGTGGCAGCAGAACCTTTTTACAGTTCCACTGATTAATGGGAAACCACTATGTTCATCATCTTCGTAATTAAACATGCCATGCTTATACAACACATCCAGAATAATGAATGTTTTTGCCCTTGTTTTGTTCATAGGGCACACACAAAAATCACTTGAACCAGACTATTGGGTTTTATTTCAACAATTGGAGACAACAATAACTAACTTTTATTGTCTCCCAGACTCTGGTCAATATTATTTAGGTTATTTATTTATCTGCAAAAAGCTCAATGGAAGCAGTCTATTGAGGCCTACAGAAAACATGAAAATGGGCAAATAGCTGAAATATTCCATGTTGCACTCTAAACAACGAGCAACACGTTGGCTAATAATATTCTGACAATATTTTTATAACACTATACTGTGTCAAAATACATAAACAGAAGATATACAAAATGTGCATGGAGTCACAAACTAATAAACAACAATTCAATGTTCCATGAACAGGAATGGAAGGAGTGATAAGTCACTATTAAAGATCACTAAGATGGAGACAGAATGCCTTTCCAAAGTCAATATCCTGTAAACATGAGATGATGGGTGCTCCAAATGTAGCAATAGGGTGCTCCAAGCACAGCAGCAAACAGTACAGTTCTTCCAGAATAATGAACTGTTTCAATGATAAGTCTTCATCAGCTGGCAATAATGTAAAATAAATCCCATTACGTTCAGTTGCAATACAGAAATTGTAATGACAAGCCTGCATATAAACAATAAAAAATACATACCAAATTAATTGTCCGCAAAGGTGCATCAAATGGCCATGGATCAGCAATCACTTGTAAATGTAGTAAGCTGATACTGTTGGTGAAACCCTAGACAGTGGTAGCTCGTGTTGCGTAACCTTCAGATTACAGAATCTTCGGGTTACGGCCACGGCAAACCCGGAAGTATACACACACATGCACAGAAGAGCACCTCCAGTTACGAAGTTTTCGGGATATGGCCGGGCCTCTGGAACAGATCCCGTTCGTAACCGGAGGTAAGATTGTATTCCATGTTGCAGACAGAAGCATATATTGGCCCTGAACATATCTTGGCTCTACTTCTCCTTCCAATCAGAACTAGTGAGGGCGATGAAGGTCCTGTGTGAGTGTCTGGAGGCGGTTGGTTGGTTGGTTGGTTGGTTGGTGGACGGATGGTGGCTAACAGATTGAGGTTGAATCCTGACAAGACAGAAGTACTGTTCTTGGGGGATAGGGAGCGGGCAGGTGTGGGGGACTCCCTGGTCCTGAACAGGGTAACCGTGCCCCTGAAAGACCAGGTGTGCAGCCCAGGAGTCATTCTGGACTCACAGCTGTCCAAAGGCATATGTTACTTTCTTCAGCTTCATGTCTACATCCATCCATTATTTCTTCAGGTTCTTGCTTTTCAGGGTATTATCTATTTTATCCCAATTACTGTGGTAATCCTGCCCCCCCCTCTCATTCCATAGATTTTCAGCCCTGCTCATCTTCAGAGCCCTGCCCTGATTAGCTCATTCATGTCTCAGTTACTTGTCTCTTGTCTATTGCGCCTTTTCTTCAGTCAATATTTCTGTCAACCTGTCCCTCAGGTTTCTTCCCACTACTGTACTTGCTTTTGGTCTCCCTGTCCCTTAGCTCTTTACAGTTTAGGACCTCTTGAGCCTACCTATTAATAAGTTTGATTTGCATTGGTCATCTTATCTTATTCATAGCTGCCTTGAAGCCCCTATCAGAGGGGGAATCTACTGTGTTTCCTGAGCCGCTGTATTGATCATGAGCCAGAGGGCTGCAGCTAATTTTCATTTAAAGCAAATGTACATTACATACCCAGGATGTTATTTTTAATTTGTGAATGTCATATGAAGTCTTCATTGTTTAAAAACAAACAAATAAATCTGAGATTAGTGAAGCACCCATTAAATGTTCTCCCAGCCATATGGGAGGTATCTACGAGCAGATCCTATGCAGTTGGGGTTGTATTTAATTGATCCGACCACATGGAGCGACACAAAGCTCTGCCCATGTGGTTGGGTCATCTGCAAGGTATGGGGGACTCTGTTAATACATAAGTGTTTCCCCACCCATGACTGAGAGAATATTATAAAGAGCACCTGAAATACCCAGCAAACTGTGGGAATATATATATATATATATATATATATATATATATACAGGACCTACGGACAGTCAAGTCCTTGTATAATGGGCAAATTTCACAACAGAATTCTAGAGCTGGCTAAAACCCCAATGAATGTATCTCACATTCTTCATAGCCTTAATTCTTACCTAGTTGTATGACTGTGTTGTAGATATGCTGATTATTCCTTGCTTCTACAGTGGTACCTCGGGTTAAGAACTTAATTCGTTCTGGAGGTCCGTTCTTAACCTGAAACTGTTCTTAACCTGAGGTACCACTTTAGGTAATGGGGCCTCCAGCTGCCGCCGCACAATTTCTGTTCTTATCCTGAAGCAAAGTTCTTAACCTGAGGTACTATTTCTGGGTTAGCGGAGTCTGTAACCTGAAGCGCCTGTAACCTGAGGTACCACTGTATATGCCTGTATTAATAACACACCATTGTTTCATGTTTGTTATACACAGACCCTTGCCTGCATCTCTACTGGACATGGATTTTTTTTTCTTGTTTTCTCTCCCTTCATTCTCAGCATATTTGATTAGAAGTGTTATTATATTTGGTTTATGAAGCTGCCATTATACCCACCTCCCTCTTGAATGTGGGTGGTCTAGAGCACATGATTGGAGAAAAGCCCAAGCAGCTCTGTACACTTGCGTAGATGTGCGCATCTGATGTGAGGGTCTGTTGCTTGCTAGCTGACTGTTTAATTTAGCAACATGGAATGCTTGTCACTTAGTGTGTAAGGGGGTAATCATGCAAATAGATGTGGAGAAAAGATGATTGGGAAATTGGTGTTATAGCTGTGAAAGCTGCAAAATACCAATACACTTGTAGATTTTCAAGCAGTTATTTCTTCTATGAGATACTTTTGTGTGTGTGTGTGTGTGTGTGTGTGTGTGTGTATGTGTGGCATGCTTCACAATAATATATAATAGACTGTTAGTCTCCCTTGCCCTTTCTGAATAATATCTCTTCTTTCCAGTGTAGTGAAGGACAGACAGATTCATAGGTATACAAAATACTTTGTAAAGACTTAACCTGAAATGTTTCTAAAACAACAGCCATGAGCCTTTAAGATTTAAGGAATTGGGGGGTGGGTTGCATTCATTTTATAAAGCTGTTTTTGTGCAATCCTGCAGGCTATAAACAAAAAAGCACAGTGGAGTCTATAGGCCATACAGAAGTACCGTATTTTTCGCCCCATAGGGCGCACCGGCCCATAGGACGCACCTAGCTTCCCCCCCCAGGTGCGGGGCTGGGGCAGGGGAAGCCCATGCTTCCCCCCGACCCCAGCCCCCAGAACAGGCTGCTCTCCGCAAGCCGTGGGAGAGCTGCCCGAAGCCCGAAGCCCGAAGCCTGGGGTGTGCTGAGCTGGGTGTAGGCAAGCTGTCCCACGGCTAGCGGATAGCTTCCTGAAGCCTGGAGAGCGAGAGGGGTCGGTGCGCACCGACCCCCCTCACGCTCCAGACTTCAGCGAAAGCCTGCATTCACCCCATAGGACGCACACACATTTCCCCTTCATTTTTGGAGGGGGGAAAGTGTGTCCTATAGGGTGAAATATACAGTACTTTAAAAGGGACGCAGGTGGCACTGTGGTCTAAACCACTAAGCCTCTTGGGCTTGCTGATTGGAAGGTCGGCAGTTCGAATCCACACGATGGGGTGAGCTCCTGTTGGTCTGTCCCAGCTCCTGCCAACCTACAGTTCAAAAGCACACCAGTGCAAGTAGATAAATAGGTACCACTGCAGCGGGAAGGTAAACGGCATTTCCATGCATTCTGGCACTCATCACAGTCCTCCGTGCACCAGAAGCGGTTTAGTCATGCTGGCCACATGACCCAGAAAGCTGTCTGTGGACAAATGCTGGCTCCCTTGGCCTGAAAGGCAAGATGAGCGCCGCACCCCATAGTCGCTTTTTACTGGACTTAACCATCCAAGGATCCTTTACCTTTTACCTTTTTTAACTTCAAAAGGTTGCCTAACCCAGTTCTAGGGGAAGTCGTTTTCATTCTGTTAAAGACGGCATAATCCATTGTTTCTTTTCCTTGTTGATCTGAAAAATCTCATCAGCATATTATCAGTTGTGTGGTCGGGCAACCAAGGAGCAAAGCAGTAGTTTTTTCAAGACAGAAAGCACTCTGGCTGTAATTAAAATCCACATCCTCATTATGGATCACTCACTAATGGAAACAGCATTCATCAGGGCATTTGCAAGAGGACAATCATTCTAATATTGTTTGCCTATTCAGTTAACATTACTACACATAGCAGGCTTTCTCTTTTTATAGGTGAAATTTCTGTTTCATGCTCTTCTTTCCATTTTGTCGAGCAATTTTGGTGCCCTCCTTAAACTGCTCTGAGATAGAGACCTTGCTCCGGGTATATTGTCTTTTTGAAAAGCAATATTTGTATTATGCACAATATGGCTTTTTTTAGTTGGTACTAGTAATCTGGAATGGGATCCCTAAGGTGATCCTGCAGACAACTTTCTTATTGTGTTTTAGCTGCACATTTTAAACCTTTATAATTCTGAGTTTATTAATTGGTAACAAGAATATTTAACTTTCTACTGGCTCAGTTTCTATTTTTTTAGGCCTTCTCAGGCTTTCTTAAACCATTCAGTTTGTGTTAAGAGAGAGCAGAGAAATAATACCAACAGAGGCCACTGAAATCCTGTTTTATTAGAGGGAGGATTCTATTCTAGTCCTCTCTTCTCCAGATAATGTTTGGGTAGAATCCTTAAATTTCTGCTTGCCATTTTGCAGATACTTTCTTTAAATTTGCATATTACCACAGCTGAATAATATTTTAAAGCTTATCAACAGACATTTACAGTATTTTGTGCACTGTTACAATTTGTACACGTTTTAATTGTTAGTCAGTAATAGCTAGCATTTTTCCTGGTAACCACAAATTTCCTATTTCTCGCAACCCAAGGGTTGTTAAAGTGTGTTAAAAGACATGTATGACCTGGTTTACTTTCAGGCTAACCTTCTCAGGGGCCACTGTAAAATCATCCTTCCACAAATCAGAGGCTAGGTGGAGATGACCACAACCCAACATTCTGCGCCATCTCAGCTACGATTTGGCTTGTCCTAAGCTTGCTGGGAACTGTTGTAAAGCAGAATTCATACGATGAGTTTTGACAGAGGGTAGATGCCCCATTTTCAGATTTTTGGGTCATTGGGTTTGATACCAAAATAGACAGTTTCATGTGACATTGAACTTGTCTTTCTTATTACTCATGAATGAATGGAACCCAAGTCACTACATGTGATGATGGGTGGATATCCTTCAGAATATAAAGAGCTGGACATGATTTTTCCACCAGGTCAGACTGAGTAGTGACCCCCCAGAAGGCGCTCCTTCTTTATTCCTATACTCTCTTCTGGGCTACATGAATTAATCTGTGGGATCCTGCCTTGAGGAGAGGTTTGATTTGCCCCTCTGGTCTGTTTCTGCCTTGTGATTCTGTGATTAGCAAAGGTAGGACATGTGGTGGACTTGCTTCTCGGTGAACTTCATAGCCTTGACCAGGGTTTCAGGGCACCTTCCTACTAAAGCTCTTGCCCTCTGTTGTTCCTTTGATTGCAGGTCCTGCTCTGTATAACATACACTCCAACATTTGAGCTGAATGGGAGTTCGGTACTTAAGCTTGCTGAGGTGAGTGCTCCTTCTTCACTGGGCTATGTTAATAAATTAACCTAGCAGTCTGTCACTAGAAGGTGCCTTTAGCAGCTAGGTCAGAGATAAATTACTCAAATGACAAGAGGACCAACTTAATTTGGACTTGTGCATGAATTGAACCTAACTATCGATTGAATTTACACATTCTATGATTTTTTTTTTCAATGCTTTTTCAGTTCAGATTCAAATATGTAAAGATGGCATGATTCCAATGCGTAAGACCAAATAATAAAAGAGGATCGGTGGGTAATTGTTTAAGCTGCTATTAAACTAGGGGCTAGTTCCTATTAAAGTGTTAAGTCTGTGTTAGGGTTCTACTATTTCTGACTGCATGGTGAAATACACCTCTATATATAATACAATTAAAGCATATTTTCTGTCCCCCACCCCCAAGAATCTTGACAACAGTTGTCCCCCCCCCCCCGGTGCAATTCCCCTAATAAACTACAATTCCCAAGATTCTTGGTGGGGGGCGAGATGGGCTTTAAATGTAGGGCGCTTATGCAGAATAAATAAGGCTATGCTAGATCTCATGATGTTCCGAATATCTAGCATTTTGTGTACAGCCATTTTGGTTTTGGTTTTGGTTTTGTTTTTTGCATGGAAGAACACTGAATCATGTGACCTCTTACCTGGAGTCTGAAATGGTACATTCCAAATAGAGGTGTATATATGAATGAAACAAGTAAGCCTCTTCCATCAAAATATGAGAAACTATATTAAAACCATCAGGTAACCGTTCAGACTGGAGCCCTAGTAGTTTTCTTGCTTGGGAAAATATTGTGGTATAAATGATACTATTTAGACTTGGGTGATTCAGAATTTAGACTGTTGTCAGAAATAGTTCTATATCATTTAACTTTCATTTTTATTTATTAAATTTGTATACCACCCTTCATCTGAAGATCACAGGGTGGATCACAACATAAAACAAAAATAAAAAAAGATGAGATACATAATAAAATGAAAATGAAAACAAAACAAAACAATAACCACCCTCCTACTTCTACCAATTATAATTATGTTGGTAGTCTTATTTTATTACATCTATAATTACATTGCTTCTTCTGTTCCTTTCTCCCTTCTCAACCAGGTGTGCATTGAAACCTATGTCTCCAGTTACCATCAGCGGAGTATTAATACAGCTGTGCGGGCAACTCTCAGCCAGATGTTGAGTGATTTGACTTTACAGTTACGGCAAAAACAAGAGAATCCAGTGAGTTCTATAGCAACAACAATGGGTTGTGATTTCCTCGCAATGCTACTTATGGCTTCATTCAGACAGCACTTTATTCCCTTTTCCCGATGTTTCCTTACCTGTTAATTTCCATGTTTTATATTATCTTTCATACAGTATAAAAGCCACTTCTGGAAAACTAGCATCCAGCAAAAGTTTAGTGCGCCTTTCCATGTTATGGAAATTGCTTCCATGTTAGCAGCCAGAAACATGGCTGTTTGCAACCCCATTAACTTGGAAAATCACAGGAGTTTTGCAATTTTATGTGATGAAATTCAGGGCAATATTCCAGCATATAGTTATTTCCTGCCATTTAAAATGTATCTTGGTACGGCACTAAATAAATAAATAAGTAAGTAAGTAAGTAAGTAAGCAAGCCGCAGTTCCATACTGCAATACATAATGCAATGTAAAAGAAATGTTGGAATCCAGGATAAAAGTGCTAGCATTATAGTCAGAAAAACTAATGCTATAGTGCATTTGTTTATCTCATATAGAGACAGAAAATTTTTCAGAGCCCGGCTTAGCAACACACTATTGCAGCGCTGAAAGCCCATCTGGAAACTCCATAATTCTCCTCTGGATCGGGTTAGAGTCTTGTCTCAGGAGTGGTTTCCTTGATTGCTCATACGTCTAGAAATAGAAAAGTGAAAAGCTGTTCTTCAGTAAACTTGGATACTTTCCCATACCTGTGCTAATGACAAAACATTTCTTTCATGAATAGACAGCTGAAAGCCAAGGAGTCCTTCAGGGGTGCAAGAGCCCAGGTATGAGTTCATAACTACTCAGAAACTGGTTTATTTCTCCCCTTCAACTCCCCCCCCCCTCATCATCATGCCTATGCAAAATTATTGTGAATTTTGTTACAAGCCACCCCAGTCTCTGCCAAGCGGTAGCAAGGTTCCAGGGGTCTTAACCAGAGTTTGTGTTCCTTTGGAATGAGACGTGGCAGAGGTGGCAGTGTCTCTAAGAAATATGGTTTATTCACATATATTTACATCTGAGTATTATGGAGGGAGAGTTCATAGCATGTACACCTCAAGAGGGGCTTGTCCTTCCCAGCAGCGCTGCATTGGATCCAGAGGCATCCTAAGCACCATCCCTGTGTCTCTCTGTCTTTCATGCAGTTGTCCTTGAAACCTTGCATGGAGTTCTGCTCATTTCCTCCTTCCCAGCAACACTTGCAAGAAAGAGCTCCTCCCCTTCCGCTTCCAGCATTCCCTTCCCCCAACAGCTGGTCAAATCGTTTTCCTCGGTAGATATTTCATTCCATATTTTGTGCCAGAGCATTGAATTAGGGGCAGAGGAGAGTCCTGTCCACATATCCCCAGATAAAGCTTCTCTTTCAACGCCATATCCCATGTCTTCCTCATCATATTTTGTGCAAAGTTTGAAGTCACTGAAGCTGGAGATGTTTCTGCAGGTGTCAAACTTTGGTCTAGTTAGATGTACACATGGCTGCTGCTAATATGTGTCCTTTACCCCTTTTGGAGATTCTACCACAGAGTCCCTTTGTGACGATGTTGTCTCTGTCTTCGCGGTTCTCTGTGAAAAACTTCAGGCAGTTATCAGGTGAGTAATTGTTTCTGAATTTAAACTAAGTGTTTAGGTAGAATCACTCTATGGTATAGAATCAACCTGAACATTGAAGCATCTGTTTCAGACTTCTGGTACCTCTTGCCTTTTTAAAGAAAAATGCTCTTCTGCACATACAGAACAGCTAGAAAAATACATAGAGATAATGTCACAGAAAAATGCATTTTTCCCATTCCTCCACTCCCTCACTGGGCTACTTAATCCCATGTAGTGCTCTGCTGTTTCCATCAGCAATACAAAAATGGAAAATGGAAAATTTTTAATGCAATTTTTCTGTTGCAGAAACTCAGTAGCTTCAGACCTATGAATAAGGCCATTAGTAGGGATTAGTGACACACCTTTCTAGACTTGCTGATATTAGTTTTGGATTTATTACTCCATTATGGAGTTTTATTTTTTGTCTGTTGTCTACTTGTGTCCACCTGATGACTGAATTCAAAGACAGTAGGGAACAACAATTAGCTATCTTTCAAAAAAAAAGAATTGTTCCATTAAGCAGTTAAAGCAACTTAATCTTTTCATTTTGTGATAAGACAATGGTAAGCCACCTTGAGTATTGCATGCCAGCGTGTAATTAGCACACATTTAAGTTAATTAGTCCTTGACGTGCTAGGCTGCGATATATGAACAGAATCATGGAAAAATTATTTGAGAAGTGAATTGGCTAACAATAGAGTAACTCTGATCTACACTGCAAAAGCAGGCATTTCCCATTTCCCAGTAATTATCAGTACTAATGTGTCCTATATTAAGTTTAAGTAATTACTCGTACATCCAAATAACTGTAATTATTTGCATGTAGGATCTGTCTACTTTGTAATTGCAAGCAGTTTATTAGCAGTAGCTTTATTTATATCTATTGCATTTTGTGCTAATGGCACACATTCTTAATTACTGCAACAATCCTGTAAGTGAAGTAGTTGTTAATACTGAACAGCAGTATGCATTATATATTATTATTATACTTGCGAAGTGCCCATTATTATACTGATCAGTGAACCCTTCTACATTAAATATGTTTGGGAGTTTTTACTAAAATATTTTAATTTATTGCTTCAGTGTTTTTTACCATGTTCATGTGATTATTATTTTTTAGAATTCTGCTTGTTCATTTTGTGACAGCCCTGAACATTTTCATGAGAAACTGATATTTCTACTTAGGAGAAATTGATTCTGGATAATTGCATTCAGCTGCTTTTATGTCCATTTTCTTCACAGAGAATTTTCCTTTTGTATTTTTCCATGAAATAGGAAGAAAAAGTATTTGCTTTTTTATTTGTATTATTGCATCTGGTTGAAAAGAACAATAAACCGTAAGACACTTTGCTTCCATTTGTCAGTGAGAATCAGCAGTTGCAACTTCTCTTCTTGGAATGCATTCTTTCGATGCTGAATAGTTCCTCTCCTAATATGCACCATCATAAAGGATTCACTGACCTCATATGGTAAGTAAATCTGCTTGGAACCTTTTGGAGTGCAATTCTGTTCACTCATTGGGTTCATGGCTTACTCCCCGTTAAAGGAAGATTACATTCTTCGAGAAAAACTGGAGTTTCAGTCCTACATAAATGTGCTTAACCATACTGGAGCAAATATAAAATAGTTTTTTTGTCCAATCAAGACTATAAGTCATTCAGGGTTGTAAACCCTGCAAGGACCCTCCATAAGTAGAAGAGGCTCTTCATGCGATACTGCTGACCTCAAACTTATGGATGGCTCTAAACTTGGATAAACGTGATGCACCAGAGAGGATGGGATTTTGTAGCACATAACTGCTTCTCCTCAATTATTGTTTGCATTCAAGAAGACTAAGCCCCCAAAGAGGGCTTTGGTAAATGAGAAATTGTCATGAGTATGTCATTCTCCATGATAAAAGTAACCTCTGGACCTCTTTGCCAGAGAGGCCCTTTCAAGCCTTTCCAATAATAATACTGTCTCCATTCCCAAGGGAATAGGTGCCCTCATTCATTCAACAGATGCTCATAATACTGCCTCTATATTAAAATTGTGTGTGTAGAATATAGACCGGGGTAGCCCTGGGTCATATGACACAGTAAGCTAAAAAATTATTTGCTCCTCTGCTTTATACAGTTGCACAGCGCAGAGCTAAGTCAAGGTTTGTGTGTCATACAAACCAGGATGTGTGGTTAAGCTCTCATCACACTAGCCATGAGCCACAGCTCTGTTTTAGATAAAACACTTAGCCAAACCTTGGCTTAGCTCATTGCTGAGTCAACATGTTCACCTGGTCCTGCTAAGTTATAGTTTGGCATACAGTGTCGTGCCCAATGTGCTCCCCTCCAGATGTTGTTTGACTCAAACCCCCATCAGCCCCAGCCAGCATTTCCAGTAGTCAAGAATGATAGCCATTCTAGTTCAGCAATATGTGGAGGGCACCATTTTGGCTACTCCTGATATTGTGACGTTTGACTTCAAAAAGGTGTGCCGGTAAAGATATAGTAGCTACATTTATATCTGTATATATATTATAATTCTATTTACATATGCCTCTTCCGTGGCGGCGGCGGCGGTGGTTCAATTTCTGTAGGCATTTTATGGGTGCTGAGTGCTTTACAATGATCTCATTTATAAATGTAACTGAAGTTTGTTGTTCAATGTGAGTACAGTGGTACCTCGGTTTAAGAACAGCCCTGTTTACGAACTATTCAGTATACAAACCCCGCAAAAGCGGAAGTAGTGTTCCGGTTAGCGAACTTTACTGTCAGGGGACTGCCATAGCAACGGGGGGGGGGGAGGCAGGGGGATACAGAGAGCCTCCTATGCTTCTGAGGAGCAGCCCCTCTTCGAGTGGTGGGGGAAAGCCACACCTCCAGTGGAGCAGGGGAGGAAGGGGAAAGGCGAGCGAGGGGAGGGCTCGAAGATGCTACTGAGAGCCCAAGCACCTCACCTTTCCTGGCTGACGAGGAAACAGGCACGCTGTTTCCATCACCCAGTTTGCACAGAGGGGTGAAACGTAAGGAGGGGAGGCGGAGATTTGGGGTGTCTAAGTTCTTATGTTGGGGGAGAAACCGGAAGGGGCCACTCCCGGAATCTGCAAGTGACTAAGACGGACATGAACTTTGTGGTTCTGCACTGTAAATAGTTTGCACAAAATAAAAACATGCAAAAGACAGGTCAGAGTCCTGCCTGGTTACTCGTGTGCAACCACCTCACCACCTGACATTTACCTTGGTCTACGAATGGAAGCTGAACGGTGGAAGGGCAGGAGGCCTAATTAGGGAAAGTGTGCCTCGGTTTAAGTATGGCTTTGATTTAAGAACAGACTTCCAGAACGGATTAAGTACATAAACTGAGGTACCGCTGTAGTGTGTTGATTCCTCCCTGTTTGCCACCTATTTGTTTTTTCTGTTTCGCTTCCATGCTGCTTTTCTTTTTCAGGAAGCAGCTGTGCCCGGCTCTTGTAGTAATCTTGGGAAATCCAGTCCATGACAAAACCATCACCTCTGCTCACAGCAACATCTTCCACGAAGCTGATTCTCCTTCCTCAGGGGTCTCCGATCACGGCAGAGGGTCAGGTTGCTCTTCCAATGCGCCTGCCCTTAGCAGTCCTGCTGCCCGGACAATCTATTACATTGCAGCAGAACTTGTCCGATTGATGGGATCGGTGGAGTCCATGAAGCCGGTCCTGCAGTCTCTTTATCACCGAATGCTTCTGTACCCCCCACCTCAGCACAGAGTGGAGGCTATCAAGATCATGAAAGAGGTGAGCTAACTGCAAATACCATTTTGTTTGTACCCATCTCCACCCCATGGATTTCCTTTATTGACCCATCCACCCCCCATTTCCTTTATTGACTGCAAAGAGTTCATATTCAAAAGCAATTCTGTATATAGATTGTTTTCGTGTGAAACAATAAATGCAGTGATAAAAGAAGCAGGGGAGGGACACAAACCCAACCGTGACATTTCAAAGTAAAACACAAGTAATTAAAAAGTCTTCATTCTATGGACTCAAAAACTGACAGAATATGTGGAATTAGATAGCTTATCAGAAAAAATAAAGAATAAACCAAAGCAGGAATTTGTCTCAAAATGGGAAGTCTTTAAAATATATTTGAAAAATAACTACAGCAGTTTAAACTCTGTCACAGCATTTGAATCATTTCAGTAGTAGCTTCAAGAAAGATATGAGACCTAAGTTAAATTAATAATTAGTTAGGTCATAACAAAAGTGTGTATTGGCAACAAGTAATATACAGTTGAAGTAAGGAACAGATGGGAGGTCGGGTCTACAGTCAGAAGACCAATTTTTGCCTTATTGTTTTGTAAATAATATTTTGTTCATTATTATTTTCGTTTTCTGTTTTTCTTTTCTTTCTTGGTGTATCAACAAAAAAATCAAATAAAAATTATATATAAAAAAGTCTTCATTCTAGAGCTGAATTCAGACAGTGAAGAACGGTAATCTGAGAGGACTCCCGGAGCAATTAGCTCCAAATTCCGGCACCAAAGTCTCTGGCCATCTGACCCCTGCCCCTCCCTCCAGTTTTGCAACATGTGAAGAAGAGATGCCAAGCAGGGCTACTCCAAACTGATCTCAAGGAATGGAGGTGTAGGGATGCTTTAGAGAGGTAGGCCAGGGCTGCTCTGTAACATTTAGGCCGTCAGTGTTGGCAAGCTAACACAGGTTTTATCTGCTTTCTGAAACCAACTTATGTTAATAAATTGATGGGTACATCCTGCATCCTTGAATTAATAAGCTCAATGCATCCTAGGGCAGATCAGCTTACCGAAGAAATAAGGTTTGTTCCAGCACCGTGCATTTGATCTGTGAGGAGTTTTTTATATTTCATACAAATTTAGATACTTGGCAGTCCTCGGCGGCTTTGCGATTTGGCAGGCCCCTGCTCTACTGAACCAGAATGCAGGAAAAGGTCGATTTCGAAAAGGAAGTCCCACCTGGATCTTCTCAAACTGTATGTTCTACTAGGTTTCCTTAAGCCAATAATCCTTTTTTAAAATGCATGCTTTTCCAGTTAAGAAAAAAAGAGAGAGTAAAGTGTGTCTTGTTTCTGTTTATTGTAGTATCTTGGACGGGATGAGTGAAGCTTGCGCGAAAGGTGGGATTGAAGCGTGCTATGCTTCAGTGTCCTGTGTCTGTGCCCTCCTTGGCACCCTGGATGATCTCAGTCAAGGGAAAGGCCTCGACGAGGAGCAGGTCCATCTGCTTCTCCGACGTATGGACGAGTTAAAGGACGGGGGCGAGACAAGCAGAGATTCCATGGAGATAAACGATGCCGATTTTAGGTGGCAAAGGCGCATCCTGTCATCAGAGCATACCCATACCCCCTGGGAAACTGGCAATGAAAAGAGTCCTGACATTAGTATTAGCGTCACCACAGATACTGGTCAGACAACCTTGGAAGGTGAAATGGGGCAGACCACTCCAGAAGATCGTTCTGAAATTCGTAAAAATTCTCTCCAGTCACCGGCTGGACAAATGGGTAAAGAAATTCATTATAAAGACCCAGAATCAGAAACCATTGACCAGCCAGATGTTGTTCAACGGAGCCATACAGTTGTTTATCCAGATATAACTAATTTTCTTTCAGTTGACTGCAGGGCACGTTCTTGTGGATCCAGGTACAGTGAGAGCAATTTCAGTGTTGATGACCAAGATCTTTCTAGGACTGAATTTGATTCATGTGACCAATATTCCATGGCAGCAGAGAAAGATTCCGGAAGGTCAGATGTTTCAGACATAGGCTCAGACAATTGTTCGTTGGCTGATGAAGAGCAGACCCCAAGAGACTGTCCAGGTCACAAATCCTTACGAACTGCTGCCCTTTCCTTGAAACTTCTGAAGAACCAGGAAGCAGATCAGCACAGTGCCCGATTATTCATCCAGTCCCTTGAAGCTCTTCTCCCTCGACTTATCGCTCTTTCTAAAGTGGAAGATGTTGATTTGGCCCTCCAGAACTTCGCTTCAACTTTTTGTTCAGGTTGGTGATCATTTTCTTCACAGCCAGTATTAAATGAACAATGCACAGCATTGCTGATTAAGGGTCTTTGATATGTCAAATACTCTTTTCAGATATGTTTGAGAGAATCTGCATTCTAATCCATTTGCAGCCCTGTGAATGAATTCTGGAGTTGATGCAAGGCACGTCTGTGTGGCCTGGCTCCAATGTCACTATTTTTTTTCCCTACAAAAGAATGAAAACATATTTATTTAATTTATTCATTTCATAAGATTTTTGCACTGCTTGATTGTAGAAACTCTCAAAGTGGTTTACCCGAAAGATAAGGCAATTAAAGCAGGAAAAATTTACAACCCTGCTTTAAAATATACATAAGTTAAAATACTAAAACAGGTTAAAATCACCTTAGCTTTCTAAACATTTGGGTAGGCTTGTCTAAACAAGAATGTTTTTAGCAAATGTTGAAAAGAGTTCAGTAAAGGTGCCTGCTTGATCTCAATAGGCAGCCTGAAAAAGTTATATATCAGAATCTGAACCCTTGTGGACTTCTTAGGAAAGATCTACAAACAAGGTACAAAATTCCAGTCTGCTGCTCATGGATTTTTCCAGCAAAATCCTTGTGGAATTTTCATTCTGACACAGCAGTTTTCATTTGTATTCCTGCATTTTTGACCAATTAGCCTATTATAACCTATTGTATTATATTACATAAAACTGTTCAGCAAGCACAGTTTTAACATAACATTTCAGTCACACCACATTATCCTGGTGTCAACTTTATAAGCTGTGTATACGATGTACATAATGATAGGGTTACAGTAGTATATGGGGACTCTTTAATGCTAATCAATTTCCAGAGCAAATTATCCCATAAGCCAGAGGTTCAAATGTTTTAGTACACTTAACTACTGGATGTTCATGTTTAGATTTATTTAAGAAGCAAGCTGTTCTCCACATTACTAATAAGCTGCGCCCACTAATATGGCAAACTGCTTTTGTATGCAAAGGTGTGCCTTTATGATGTTTTGAGAACCTTTCTCCAATATATTCTGTAAAGGTTCTGTACAAACAAGGTTCTATGTATAAAGGTTCTATGTATTGAAACCCAAACAAAATCCAACACCTTATTTACTACACCAGTCTGTTTTAATGCATTGCTGACAGTGGCATCTACTTTCTTCATGGGAGCGGGTGGCGCTGTGGTCTAAACCACTGAGCCTCTTGGGCTTGCCAATTGGAAGGTCAGCAGTTCAAATCTGTGTGATGGGGTGAACTCCTGTTGCTCTGTCCCAGCTTCTGCCAACCTAGCAGTTTGAAAGCATATCAGTGCAAGTAAATAAATGGGTACCGCTGCAGTGGGAAGGTAAATGGTGTTTCCATGCCCTCTGGCTTCTGTCACTGTGTTTCATTAACCAGAAGGGGTTTAGTCCTGCTGGCCACATGACCCAGAAAGCTGTCTGTGGACAAACGCCGGCTCCCTCAGCCTGAAAGTGAGATGAGCGCCACAACCCCATAGTCGCCTTTGACTAGACTTAACCGTCCAGGGGTCCTTTACCTTTACCTTGTTCAAAATAGAGCAGTCTCCACTGGGGCTGTGGAAGGCACTTTGGCTAGTGCAATAAAGGTTTCTGATCATGTAGTTACAGAAATGTGAGTTATAGTGCAGTAACTGGTAAATCGCCATATAAAAAGAAAGCGGCCTTGCATCTCTAAAGCCAGATTTCTCTTACAAGGCACTTGCTATAGCTCTCTGTTTTTTGGTAGGTATGATGCACTCTCCAGGATTTGAAGGGAATGTCGCCTATAGCTTCCAGACACTGATGAATGCAGATAGTCTCTATATGGTCTCTCATTATACTCTCCTGCTCAACCTGAAGCTGTCCAATGCAGATTACTACCGAAAGAAGCCTGGCCAGTCCCCTGTGATCATGGTGAGTGGAATGCAATGCTGGGTATGGTGAAGAACAACACACATTTGCAACTACCCTGACTTCTTATACCTTGTTGGCCCGCAGCTCAGTGAATAAATATGAAGTACTCAGATTTGAAGCAGGTTTGACCCAGGGGAGCATTAAATTGGAGCAACTGGGTCCAAATCAGTTTCTGTCTGTTTCGTGGATTTAAAGGGTAGGAGACTTCAGAAAGCAGAGAGGGCAATATTTTACAAAAGCTATTCTTAGAAAATACTATGGGAAGGAAAAATGAAAATGTATAGAAACATTTGCCACCAGACTCAAGGGGAGTTTTGTCCCCTGGTTCTTTCACCATAGGGAGAAAAGTGCTTCCTGAACCTCATCATTCTCCACTTTGCACAAACTATAGTTTGTTGTGCTTGGACAAGAACCAATGGTTTGCTAAGGACCAAAAGGAAGTTAGGGAAACATGGCGGGGGGGTGCGGAGAGAAGCCATCCCAAGGCTCATTTTTGCACAAGTATATGACATTATGGTTTGGTGTCACATCTGAACTGCAGCAGAGAGAAAGACGGGTGGTTATTATGTGTGCCGACAGATGCATAATTTTATCTATGCTTGTCACCTTGGTTTTATGCTTCTGATCATATCTGTATGTTTCTAGAAGTCTCTGAGGAAAAGCAACATGCCCAGTAATGCAGTGGTAGCTGAATTGTGCTGTTCCATTCTGCAGAAGGAGTTTATGAAGCAGGTCCAATCCAGTGGAGTTTTGATGGTATTTTCTCAGGCTTGGGTCGAAGAGCTTTACCATCAAGTGCTGGAGAGAAATCTTCTTGGAGAGGCAGGATATTGGGGGAGCCCTGAAGAGCACAGCCTCCCACTCATCACCATGCTGACTGGTCAGTATGATTTGAATACTAGGGCGATATAGAATTAAATACACATCTTTGGCTAAACGCATTGCGTGTCCAAAATGTCCCAGTCCCAGTCAGCATGGCCAGTGGTCAGGGTCTATGATGGGAATTGTTGTATTATCATAATGATGACAGGTGACTGACCAGTGAGTTTTCCTGCCCACCTGTCTGTTAACCAACCGGTAGCGGTGGGGACTTAGAAAGACCTGACCCACCAGGCCAAAAAGGATACCCACACCTGATTTTTATAATGCCATTTATGATAAGGTTACCAGATTCTTTTCAATGAATCCGTGGACACAATCAATCAATATTACACATTCGGGATGTTGATACTGCAGCGATGGCGGTGGCAGAGGGGCGGCCGCTGCCGGGGATCTCTCAGCTGGGAAGGAAGGCTTCCCGTTGCCTAACTGAGAGATCCCTGCCCCCTCCTGCTTGCATGCAAGTAGGAGTTGGGAGGCTGCTCCCTGCACCACCATCATATGGGGACTTCTGAGCAGCTCCTGAAGCCAGCCAGAGCCAACTGCTCTGGGCTGCTGAGACTGCCGCTGCTGCATTTCCCAGGGCCTTAGATGAAATCCGGGGACATTCCAGGGATGGAATTTGTCCGGGGACTTATTCACAAATCCGGGGACTGTCCCCGGGAAACGGGGACATTTGGTAACCCTGATTTATGACTGCAATAACTTACATTTTGCAGTTGCTTTGTTTTAGTGGCTCAGTCTGACTTTACGGAGGCACCTCCATCCCTCACAACATGAAATAACAACTAGCATGTGTGAACAATCATTATAAATATCAAATACCACAGCCAGAGCTTTCTTATATCACTTGTAAAATGGCCTGTATCCAGTGGCAACAGCAAAGCTTCTAGCAGGGGAACAGGCCTGAAGGTAATTTTCCTTCTCACCTGTAGCCCCCCCCCTCTGCCCCATGTCCTCCCTAAATCTGCTGTGGAGAGTCCCCACAACTCTCTGGAGCAGATTTAGCGTGGAGGAGGGGACCTCAGGAGGAAAGAAGAGCCACTGAAAATGACTTCCCTTCCACTGTTAAAGGCTTTACTGTCAGCTGAGCAACACTGTTGGATCAATCTCATACTAGTGGAGACGTATCACACATTCCTCTGCAACTCACTTGAGGGAATTCATGAGGCAATTGTCCCTTAGGTGTTTCCCCCCTTTATCCCATAGTAACTTCTTGTTGCTTTTCTTTGCAGACATTGATGGTTTGGGGAGCAGTACAATAGGTGGGCAGCTGATGGCCTCTGTATCCTCACAGTCTCCTCTCACCCACACCCGGAAGCCAGATGATGCTGTTCTTGCAGGTAAAGGATCTGCATCAAGGGACCCATGAGCCACATTTGTATATATTTGTAGTATTTCAGATACGCCCCACCCCCCAATCACTTAATCTTCATATTTTTATGCTGGATGTGAGTTAGGTAAAGCTTCCTTCTCGGTTTCTTTATCTCTCATGTCTACGCACATGAACATATGCTGATCCAGGAACTGTGTTTTAAATAAATTATTATTTATTAAATTCATTTGATGCTTTTTACAAAAATAGCTGAAAGTGACTTACATAAAGTTAAAATGCAAAGATTCTATAACACACACACACAAAAATATTGGTGGTTTTTAAGCAGAAGTTGGGTGGTCATCTGTAATGGATGCTTTAGTTGAGATTCCTGCATTGCAGGGGCCGGGACTAGATTACCCTCAGGATCCCTTCCAGATCTACAGATTCTATGATGCAAAACCACCAAAGGATTCCTTTTCATATATGCATACTGGGAAGCAGGGCTCATTTGGGAGTGGAGCTAGCAACATGGCCCCACTCCTGTTTCAACTTAGGAGGGAATGATGGATTTTAAACTTTCGTCCCAGCTCTCTCCAGTCATGATGAAAAGCATGTGTCTCCATACCGCCTGTTAATTAAGGGGTGGTGGGGGGACCTGACATGCTTTGTATTCTTATTATTTTAATTGATTACCCACCCTTCACTCTAGTTCCCAGCGCAGGTCACAGCAATTTAAAAACCATTTAAAACCTTACAGCTGTAACAAAAATTGCAACCACAAAATTGCAATTTTGTCCAGAAAGGTGTCAAAGGCTGGGATAAAGAGGTGCATAATGATGCTGTTTGCATCATTTCCGTCTTGGCTCTGCCTGATGCTTGTATTTCCCAAGACTCCTAATAAACCATTTGTTTCTCCTTTCTGCTGCTTCAGGTACTGCTTTTGCCCGATACCTGTTAATTGGTTGCTGGAAGAATTTGATTGACACTTTATCCACACCTCTAACCGGCCGCATGGCAGGCAGCTCCAAAGGATTAGCCTTCATTCTAGGAGCCGAAGGAGTCAAGGAGCAGAACCAGAAGGAGAAGGATGCCATCTGCATGAGTCTGGATGGACTGAGAAAGGCAGCTCGCCTTAGCTGTGCTTTAGGTATAATGCACTCATCAGCATAGGCCCCATTTTTAATTGAATTTGGGCAGGTAGATGTCATCCTTGCAACACCCAAATGTGGCAGCTTGAAAAACAGAAGCAAGCAGTAAGCTGGCTTCACTTCCTCCTATATATTTCTCCTTATATTGCCAGTGTTTCAGCTGGTATATATTTATACCCTGCCCATCTGGCTGGGTTTCCCCAGCCACTCTGGGCTGCTCCCAACAGAATATTAAAAACACTATAAAGCATCAAACATTAAAAACTTCCCTAAACAGGGCTGCCTTCAGATGTCTTAAAGTCAGGTAGTTGTTTATTTCTTTGACATCTGATAGGAGGGTGTTCCACAGGATGGGCACCACTACTGAGAAGCCCCTCTGCCTGGTTCCATAACCTCACTTCTCACAGTGAGGGAACAGCCAGAAGGCTCTTGGAGCTGAACCTCAGTGCATAGCTGTCAACGTTTTCCATTTTTTAAGGGAAATTCCCTTATTCCGAATAGGATTCCTCGCAATAAAAGGGAAAAGTTGACAGCTATGCCTCAGTGTTTGGGCTGAATGATGGGGGTGGAGACGCTCCTTCAGGTATACTGGGCTGAGGCTGTTTAAGGCTTTAAAGGTCAGTGCCCACACTTTGAATTGTGCTCAGAAATGTACTGGGAGCCAATGTAAGTCTTTCAGGACCAGTGTTATATGGTCTCGGCGGCCACTCCCAGTCACCAGTCTAGCTGCCACATATATGGCTAGTGGGAGGCACAGAAATTCAATAGACCTGTTTCTTGCTGCAGGGGTTGCTGCTAATTGCGCATCTGCCCTTGCTCAGATGGCCGCAGCTTCATGTGTTCAAGAGGAGAAAGAGGAAAAAGAGGTGCAAGAACCCAGTGACACCATAGCTCAAGGTATGACTCATCAAGGGGAACAATGGTTATCATTAGTGATGATATGTATTAAGATTATATGTAGTTGGAAGCCTTGTCAAATGTAATTTTCCTGGGCCTGCCTATAATAGGGATGTCTCCCTTTAGGTCTACTCTACTATAAAGATCAGCAATGGCTGCCTGCCTGCAGAGAGGCAGAGCCTACCTAGATCTGAAAGTGATTGGGTGGGGTGAAGAATCTCATTGCAGTTCTTGTTTATTGCTCTGTATTACCTGCTTTTCCTGAGCATAAGCAGCATAGATATCAATGGGCCCTATTCCAAGATAAATTTGTTTTGTATGGCAAATGGGAAACGCTGTCAACATTCTATGATTCAACATTGTTCTGTGATTTAAATAAAGTAAGGCGCTAGTAGCTGCATAAGATGTGCAGAAATCAGTTGTTTCAACTATAGTGAATTCTCAGGCCTTTTCTACACTTTTGTTAAACACTGCCTGAACAGAGAAGGAGTCAGGATTGGACCCACTCATCCTGCCCAGCCTCTGCGCATTCAGCAAGAAGTGTGAAGCAGGCTCTCTGCGCACAGTTCCCTCTGTGAAGACTCCTCCATGCAATCTGGAAACTTACCCAATATGGGTTTCCAGTCATACATAAGACTCTTTCCTTTATACAGCTCCTTTCACACTTGCCACTGAACACATGCAAGTTTGTTCCAGGGAGCACGATCCATTTTCTTACTCCCATGTATTTAGTGAAGGTAAGAAAAAAGACTAAGGCCTGCATGCAAACCTTGAAAGAAGCTGAAAATGAGTTTGTTTGCTTTTTAAAAGGAAAAAAAACCTCTACAATAACAGTTCTCTCCTATACAGAAGCCTTTCTTGTGTTAGACGTAACAAGAGATTCTTTATTTCTAACATTTATATTTGTAATGGCACAGTGAAACAGAAGGTGGAGCAAAGACTGGAACAGATGGGGAAAGTGCAAGGGGTCTGCCTCCACACAGCCCACGTTTTGTGCATGGATGCCATTCTAAATGTGGGGCTGGAGATGGGAAGCCACAATCAAGACTGCTGGCCGCACGTATTTAGGTATGGAATTGGAAACTGTATTCCATCTTCAGTTTGAGGCAGTTTAGGCTGGACTCCAACACAACATTTATTTGAAACTGACAACACACGTTGATTGGCAGGTACCTAGTTTGCTGTTCAGTGCGTTTGGTGTACTTTTTTCGATTCCATAAAAGTAACCAGGCAGTGTGCTTGTACTGCAAAAAGAAAATGAAATAGTACTTTTTTAAACAGTGACTATCCCCCATTCAGTGGGCAATAACTATTTAGGTAGGAGCTCAATACACATTTGATAGTTCGCTGCATACAGGACCAATTTGCAAGTCACACTAAACTCAAAGTATGGCTTAGTACACATGTGCAAGTGTGTAATTTTCCAGAGCAAATATCATAGTCAGTTTGCTCCCTCCTGGTCTCTAGTTTATCCTCTGGTCTATAGTCATCAGTTATGGTGACTCTAGATAATCCAGACAATAACCCTTCTATTATTATGTATCTTATTTCTATATATTCGAGCATTGAAAATTCACTCTCTGTTATGCAACAGCTGCATCTAAAATGTAAATGTAATTTAAAATGTTTTTAAAAGTCAGTAATGTTGTAAGGAAAGTTTAAGTTTATGACTAGCTAGTGCAGTGACACCTTGCTTCCAAAAGAGCTTTTCATTTCAGGAGGCTTAAGACTACTGAAGATCATCCTCAAAGAGTAAATGTTGTATGCAGTGGAAAAAACCAATAAGGTCCTCTGTCCTTTTGCTTTGTTTTTTCAGAGTTTGTGAGTACATCAGCACACTGGAACATGCTCATTTCAGTGATGGGACATCTCAGCCACCGGTAACTATTACCCAGGGCCAACAGGCCACAGACGGGCTTCAGGGAGATGTTCAGTCTACAGACAGCACCCAGGAACTGACGCTAGATCAAGAGACTGCACTGAGGAATAATCCTGTAATCCAGCCTGTTTCCATTCAGGAGCTCATCAAAGAAAGTAGCAAGGGAAGAGCGTTTGATTTCCGTGGGGGCAGCCTGATGACTGGAAGCAACGCTGCCAAAGCTATCCTTACCCTCTCCACCCAGGCAGACAGGTATGGTTGGCATCACATTTGACAGTTGCTACATGTTCTGAGTTTCTTCAAGAAACCATCATGGATGTGTTACTGTGAATATCCAAAATTTGCACATGATGACATTCTAGTGCAGTGCTGCCAGCACCAGAAAAACATTAATGAATGTTGTAAAATATATACAGCCCCACTAATGGGCATGCAGTTTTTACTTCTCCTGGGTACTTGTGCTGGTTTACTTCCTTTCCACCTACTTCCACCCTGGGCTCATTTGTTTGTGTATTTTAAGTCAGACTCCATGTCCCCCTACTGATGCAGCAACAAAACTGCTAGCACATTTGTAAAGCTAAGCAGGTTCCCATATGGTTTCAAATTGGATGGGGGACCGTGTGTCGACATTCCTGCATTGCAGGGCTAGATGACTCTTTGGGTCCCTTTCAACTCTAAAATTCTATGATTTGGTCAGATCAAGTGATATATTCTGCCTTTTTGCCCGAAGGCTATTTGAAGATGCTGTTGACAAGTTGAATCTGATGGCATTGGGGGGTTTCCTGTATCAGCTGAAGAAAGCCTCTCAGTCCCAGCTCTTCCACTCAGTTACAGACACTGTTGATTACTCCTTGGCAATGCCAGGTAAGCCTCTTAAGACACAAAGCATCCTATATATATGCTATACCATGTATACAATTTAAATTATCAATTACTCTGCACTGTCTTTTTTGCCCTGGTAGGTGAAGTAAAATCTACCCAAGACAGGAGCAGTGCGCTCCACTTGTTCCGTCTTGGAGGGGCCATGCTCCGAATTGTAAGGAGTAAATGCCGCCCTCTTCTCCATCTTATGCGCTGCTGGAACTTGGTGGCCCCTCACCTAGTGGAGGTGAGAGAATTACAAAGGCTTCTTCCCCGCCCATGCAATTTCTCTTTGTATTGTAAAAATTGCAAAGGGCAACCACAATGTTAATTAATGTACTTGAAAAAGAGAATGTACAAGTGAACGAAGCACTAAGAAAGATTATACTCTGGAAATTTGCAGATTATAGCCATCAGCCTAGCACAGTTCTTAGACAGATCCTCATAAAAACAGCTTTATTCATTTCTTCATGATAGGTTGGCCGTTTGTATGTTTGGTTGATTTATGTCTCCCCCTCTATCTCATGGGCTCAGAACGACATACAGCCATTTTTCTAAGGGGATCGCAGTCTAAGGAAATCAAATAGCTCGGGGAGATAAAATAAAATTAAAACAGCATTGTAACATGAAATCTAGCTCAAACAGATTTCCTCGTTGTACTTACTGTAGACATTTTTAGTGCTAGGCCTCAGCAGATTTTCTTTGAATTCTCTCCCACCCTCCTCCTAAGTAACAGTCCTTGCCAGTTCTTGTCGAAAAGGCATTTTTTGCTTGACTGAAATTCTGCTTTTTACTCCTCTTGTTGCTGCAGGCTGCCTGCCATAAAGAAAGGCATGTTTCTCGGAAGGCTGTCTCTTTCATCCACGACATCCTAACTGAGGTTCTGACAGACTGGAATGAGCCCCCTCATTTTCACTTGAATGAGGCCCTCTTCCGCCCCTTTGAGCGTATCATGCAGCTGGAACTCTGTGACGAAGATGTCCAGGACCAGGCAAGCTAAACCTTATTTATAATGGCAACAGCCTACCTTCAACTGCAAGACCACTTTGATTCTTATTATATGCCTAGCAATCGCAATCCTTTCAGTTGCTTCCTGGGAATGGGAAATGGCAAAAGAAGATTCTGTGCAGGGCTTGTTTGTATCTTATACTGGAAAGGGTTTAGCATTGGGAGAATTTCATTTGAAGTGTCTATCTTTCAAGTTTCTGAGCAGGTGTTGGTGGATTCCAATTCCCCTAAGCCCCAGCCAGCATGTCCAATGGTCAGGGGTGATGAGAGGAAAGCCACAGTCTCCTCACCTCTCTTTTAAAGAGTGTGAGCAATAGCTATCAACATCACCAAAGTCAGGAAGGGTTTTTAGTTGGATTTCCAGAGCTGGAACGACAAATTATCATGAGCATCTGAAAAAGAAACAAAATGCTCTGCTTAATATGCATAGGATATGGGCCTCGCAATTCAGTGCTTATTTGTGTTGCCATAGTGCGGGTTATTTTTTTTTAATTATAATTAGAAAAATGTTATCAACAATTGTATTGCTTTCTACTCAAGTCATGTAGGTCTCCTATAAAAAAAAAATAACCTGGTAGCATTATTCAGTTGTGTATATAAAATCAGAAGTGGGTCACCAGGGGTGGCAGAGTTAGCTTTCCAGCAGGTGGGCCACTGTTGCTTACCAGGAGTGGCAGGGCAGTGGACAGGTTGACGCACTGCAAACAGCACCCATAGGAGCACCGGAATGGCCCCACCAGTGCACTTACCCTGCTGCAACCTCCCCCAGCTCCTGATAAGCCACAGAGACCCTGCTCCTGGGAAGCTGCTGTAGTATCTCCACCCCACCTGCTGATCTGCTTCTGTATTTCTCACACAGTATCTTCTCTGTGCTGGATTATTTACTTCTGCAATGCTTTGTGTGCTCTGATTGTGCCAGGTGATCACATCCATAGGCGAGCTGGTGGAGGTGTGCTCAACTCGGATCCAGTCAGGGTGGAGGCCATTGTTCAGCGCACTAGAAACTGTGCGCAGTAGCAGCAAGTCGGAGGTTAAGGAATACCTTGTTGGAGAGTATTCAATGGGTAAGACCTTTCTGCAGTTTTCTAGATACCACTATTTAGGTACTGGGTTTTTTAAGGGGCAGTGTTTGAAAGGCAACAAATCTATATAGCAGACTATCCAAAAACATACTGAATAAATGAGTAGATCTGAGCTACTGTGAAGTTTTTGCATCACAACAGAGTTCTGGAAGGTCTTTACGGTGAGTGTAACATTTTCCCCACATGTTGAAAAATTGTGTCAATATAATTTTTTTGTTGTTGTTCAGCAAAAAGTTGTAGAAAATGGATGAGCCCCTTTGAACTCACTGGGACTTCCTTCTATGCATATAGGATTGTGCTGTCAGTCACTAACCAACATAATTTGACTCTATGCTTGTCTCTAGTAGCTGCATTTAGTAACATGAATGTTTTTATGTTGTAAACCACTTTTGAGATATTAATAGTAAGCAGTATAAAAGCATCTTCAATGAATTTTCAAAAATACATATACTAGGTTTGTCTGTATCAACTGTGAGTGAGCACTGAATGCAAGATTTGGTTCAGTGGCCTGATTTGGCTCAAATTGTTTTGGAGGCTGCTCACTTCATTTCAGGTCTGAATCAGGATCTCACTTAAGGAAAATCAAAGCTTGGTTCTCGATGATTTAATGGGGATACATACACAGACTCAATTGCTACATCTGTGCAGTTAGATGAAGGCCAACGTCTCCAGTTGTACAGAAGACTTGTAAAGTGCCTGTGCAGCATGGCACCTGAAACCCCAAAATCTGGAAGAGCCATTTTGACTCTGAAAATTTATTCCCATTTTCCTTGTAGTAAAGCCACTGAACACTGGGGGGCTTACTTCCAAGTAAATGTAGAATTGCATTGCACATTAATTTGAACCAAGTTAGAAAATCATGGGCTTTTCCAGGTAATGTGTATCTGTATCAGCTAAACAATTATTCTTGCTCCCTTAGGAAAATGCCAGGCACCTGTGTTTGATGTCTTTGAAGCATTTTTAAATACAGACAACATCCAGGTCTTTGCAAATGCAGCCACCAGTTATATCATGTGCCTTATGAAGTTTGTCAAAGGATTGGGTAAGGAACCTTTTAAATATATTCATCTGTATGTTTACTGTAGGGTTTGATGTTTGTGGAGACAGATGCAAACTGTTTACTGAATGTCGACAAAGGCTATGAATGCATTTTAGAGGTATGAAGCCCTGTGGTTTTTGTATGAGCACTGAAGTCACAGCACTGTGATTTGAGAAAGTGTGCCCACATGGAGCTATTATGGTGTTCTGTTGTAATTCCACCCTCCCAAATGCTTGCTTTTTCCAAGAATGCTACTGGGCTTTTTTGTTTCCTTTTTGAAAATGGGTCCTTTGCCATTCCCTGATCTGCAAGCTTTTTTTTTTTTGCCAGGCACCCTCACAGTTGTGAAAGAGATTCTGTCTACAAAAAGTTAACTGCTCTTTCCTGGTGATGAGGGTGGAGTGGGGAACAGTGTGAAGGAGACTTTCATACAGTAATAATAATCAAAAGCTTAAAGAAGTCTCACAAAGGGCAGGGTAGGAGTGACGTCCTGGCGACACTTCTTCCTTACGTTTCTAAGTTAGAAAATATATTGTGGGGTTTGCCCCGTCTTGCACAATGTAGTTGTTAATATTATTATTATGAACCAAAGCATTCTCTGCAAAGGAGGTCCTCCCACACCTCGTGTTAAAGCAGTTGGCAACCACTCCTCCTTGTTGCACATTAAGAGTACAAAACTGCACCTGGGGTGCAGGGTCGCTGGGTGCTTCAATGGAAATGAGGCACAAAAGGGCCAACTTTGAAGTGATCATTCTGGCCATCTGTAGAGAGCATGGAAATATATTACATGAGGAGTGGGATGGCCCTACAGTAGAATCCCTCTGTGCAGGCAGGATTGAACATACTATGTCTAACATTTCCACCAAGACATTTCTTCATCCTCCTCTGCAAGTTATTCCTCATAACTGCTGTGTGCATTTTGTGAATTGGTGAATCCCTCGGGATTCCACAATCACCATACAGGGTCATAGTAATTAAGAGCATTCAGACCAGCATTGTGTTCTACTTAGACGTTTTCTTTCTTCCATCCCAGGGGAGGCAGATTGCAAGGAGGTTGGGGATTGTGTGCCAGGATCAGGATCCATGTCTACAGACTTGTGCCTTCCTGCTCTTGATTACCTCAGGCGGTGTTCTCAGGTGAGCACAAGGATGCTAAAAGCTGCTTGAAATGGCATCCACAAGGGGGTAGAGGCTCCCTGTAGCGGCTCTTTCTTATGTAAACAGGTTGGTCACTGCAGCATGCAGAAAAGCCCTGAGCCTCATGGTGAGCCTCTTACAATTTCTCTGGCTGACACACATAGCAAATCTTTGAGGTTTCTCGCATTCTGGCAGTGTAGTCTATTTCTCTCTCTTGCCACAGGCAGCACAGATTACCAATTTCTGTGCTCTTTCTTCTGCCAGATCAGAAGCTGTGCAAGTGTTTAAACACAGTGGCAACATAGCAAAGTGATTGGGCTACTAACGGCTGCTGGGCTTGTCTCTGTTTTGCTGGAAGAGAGAGAGAGAGAGAGAGAGAGAGAGAGAGAGAGAGATAGATCACATGATGGAGCAAAACCTGGCTGCCTAGAGGCAACTTTTACTCACCGAAGGTGTTAAGGAAAGTGCTTGCTTATAGAGTTGCCAAGACTGGATTTGTAAATACAAGGCTTAGGATACTTCCATGCTCATGTTTTGATCAGGTCCTGTGTACATTAAATCAACATGACCAGCAAATGACAGACACCCTGCATGATAGATATGTGGTGTCTCATGCCCATATGGGAGTGGCTTGATTATATTATCTTTAGCAACCATACGCCACGTTATCCTTCTGTTTCCTGGGGTTACTCCCACATTTCTGAGTGTAGCATTGAAGCCTGAAACAGAAGCCCAGACAAAATCCCTGGGCACACGCACCCTTTCCTATTAGAATATCAAACTATTTTAGCCAAATCGTTTTCTGTGTGAATGTTCTACAACATGTAGCTCTGAATCTATCATGCCAGCGCATACTACAGAGTAGTCTCATCATTTCTCTCCCTTTTTAGTTGCTTGCCAAAATCTACAAAATGCCCCTGAAGCCTATTTTTCTCAGTGGGAAACTTGCTAACTTACCCCAAAGAATACAAGAACGATCCGCAAGCAGTGAAGATGGCATTGAGTGTGTCCTTTCTGATTTTGATGATGACACAGGTAAGCAAAATTACTGTTATGATCCTAAAGAGGAACGTCCTTAAATAGCACTTACCAAATGGGGCTTGTCCCCATTCACCTGGGGCTCTGGGGGAACAGCTTTTGCTACAGCCGCAGCCCAGACCCAGGGGCTGTCTTCTTCCTGCACGGCCTGGTATCTTCCCTTCTAGCTTCCTAGGAAGGCCTGCCAAACAGGCCAGTCAGGACCCAGGGCAGGGGGCTGCCCTGCCCACTCCTGCCCACTCCTGCTGTATTTAAGAGGACAGCCTCAGGTAGTCACCTTCTTGGGAGGTTGTCACAGGATTCACCACTCACCCACCCAGGCTGTAAGTGACCTGCCAGAAGATGAGCGGGCAGGCGAGGGTTAGGGCCTTTCTATGCTTTATCCAGTTGGTCCAGGGGATGTCTCTGTTTGGGAGTCCACACAGGGCCAATGAACCATAACGCCCCTCCCAATGGCAGCCTGAGTGGGATCGTAGCTCCTGATCCATGTCAGGAGCGACCCCCCCCCCAAGTTCTGGGTCAGCCCCATCCTGTTCATCAAACAGTTGGCAGGTTGCGTAATACTAGATGCATACCCAATGCCTTGGGACAAAACCTACTTGCATCTGTAATGAATGAAAGTTGTGGCCTATTTCAACCCAATACAAATCTCCTGTGTTTACTTCTATGGTTTGCCCCTTCCCCATGGGAATAATGCACCTGTGACAGCGATGATGTGTGATTTTACATCTTCACCATTCTGTATGCTGTGATCGTACCCTGTTCTGGGAGAGTCAATTCACGGATACTTTTACCTCAAGAATGCAGTCTTCAACAAGACACCCCCTCCCCAAAAGAAGGGTGCAGCCCCCTCACCTACATTCTGTACATTTACGCATTTATATATCTAAATATCCCACCATTCAAAAATATTGTTGCCATGTACGAAGAGAGAAGTAAAAGGAAATGCAAGGCTAGAACAATAAGAATACATTAAAACCATCACTAAAACCTGACAGGAAGATTGAACCAAGTGATCAGCATCTCTCAAGCACTTATAAAAGAAAAACGGAAGAGAAATGGGGCAGGAACTGGGAACCTAGCAAAATTAATTCCACAACAGAAAACCTATGCTACACATAGCTTCTCACATGCGATTTTGTTTTGTTTTCCTAGGCCTTATTAATGTCTGGATCATTCTGCTTGAAGAGTTGACTACTGCCATATCCAACTGCCCCCGTCAGCATCAGCCTCCCACCCTGGATTTGCTCTTTGAACTATTGAGAGATGTTACCAAAACACCTGGTAATTGTTTTGAATTTATTGACTACTACTAAAGTGTAGTAGTAGTCCTACCCCCTGGGTTGGAGCAGGGATGGGTGGGCTCATTAAAGTCCATCCCATCCCATCTCCAGGCAGATTTTTAATAGAGAATCCATTTGAACTGCCTGGAAACACACAGTTAAAAGTACTACCTGCAAAGTGCTCTGAGGGTTGCGCCCTGCCTCTGCTCTCCCAGAATACAAGTTTTTTTCTTTAAACCTTTCGAAATGGCACTCACTTGCCTACAGCATGCCCATCTATTGCATGGGGTTCCTTATCACCACACACCTTGGACGAACTTTGTGCAAGTCCCCCTGGGCGCAGCAGAGCTTGGTGGCATTCTGTCACTACCAGGGGGAATTATACAGGGAAAAACATGGCTGCCTCCATGATGGCTGCAACATAAGCCGAGCAAACAGACTCTCACAGCTCTGATAGCACTTTTGTATCACCCCAAACACATCTAATTGATTTACTGCTGTTAGCATTTTAGAATTGTTATATTTTGTTGTATTTTGTAACAAGGACACAGGGAGCTAGGCAATTTCATTGGGGGGGGGCAATTCGAGAATTAGTTATTAACAGTTAATGGTCTTTTAGACTTCCTCCACATGAATAAGAGTTCACTTTTTGAATAATAAGAATTATATGTCACCGGGGGGGGGGGGAGCCATGCCTGCTATTTATAGATCTGTTAATAAAGTAGCAAACCCACAGGTAGGGAAATACACAAGTGTATCATAGAGATGCCACCTGAGTGTTGACTTCCATGTTAAATGTGCAGCCATTATACATGGGGCTTTTTTAAAAGGGGAAATTGTAATATGAGAAGCTGCCAGTAAATTACTGGCATGCCAATTATGAAAGAAGCTATGCAAATGGCAGGTGAAGTTCCATATACAGTAAGTGCACAGTTGTAAGTGAAACCCTCCTTGCAGTGCATCTTTGCTCTCTGGTCAGTCTCAAGGAAGGGAATCCACCATGGGTATATAGGATGCATTGTCCTGAGTTAGCCCTAAGCATCTGTTTGAAGGCCCAACATATTTATCTGTCTTGTGTTTTTATTCTCTAGGCCCTGGATTTGGTATTTATGCAGTTGTTCACCTTCTGCTCCCTACAATGTCCCTTTGGCTTCATCGCAGCCACAGCGACCATTCTTACTGGGATGTGGCATCTGCTAATTTCAAGCATGCAATTGGCCTTTCTTGTGAACTAGTAGTGGAGCACATTCAGAGTTTCATACACTCAGGTAATTTTATGTAGTCTTATATGTTGCAACCCATTCTAACCATACTCTTGTAGACAAACTTTAGTTTTGGCATTAACGATTACAGTGTGATCAAGACCTTTTAAACATGGACGAACTGCTATTGGAAGAGAGAAAAGATTATGGTAGAATTACATATATACACTGGAATGTGCATATATACGTTTATTTCTCCAGTGAAAAGTGAAACGACTCAGCTGTCCTTGCTCTGTTTATATCAGGCTTCCTCAACCTCAGCCCTCCAGATGTTTTGAGACTACAATTCCCATCGTCCCTGACCACTGGTCCTGCTAGCTAGGGATCATGGGAGTTGTAGGCCAAAAACATCTGGAGAACCGAGGTTAAGGAAGCCTGGTTTATATGAAAATTTCAAAGACACCCATTCACAGTGCATTTAAGAATGGGATTTGATTCCCAAATTAGGTTTTGAGCCTCCAGTACCAACCAAACATTCTCTCTGACCCCAAACCATCTGTGACTATAAAGTACACAGCACCATGGGTATTTGCATGGCAAGGAATACATTGAGTAAAGCACAGGCAGATGAGTCGAGGCAGTGATCCAGACACTACTCTGAAGAGGAAACATGTAACTAAGCATCCTAGCTGAACTGGGGCAAAGGTTTTCCCCTAGTACTAAATGTCACAGCATTATAGTAAACTGATTTGAGGGTTGTTGTTGTTTTTTTACAATCTAGTGATATATGAATTTGACTAAACAAGATAAATAAGAAAAAATAATACTGTAAAACTGTAACGGATCTGAACATCATCTGGTATTATCCCACTGCACAAAAGCTAGATCCAGGCCAAGCAAGCAGCTCTAATTATCCTGACTAGAGTATTAGCAATATCCCAGTTTATAGCCAGGTCAGAGGGCAGCATGCATGAAGAAGATGCCGTGTGCATTTATTTCTAAAAATGCAGTAGTTCCTCTGTGTTGTAATTCTATTAAATTATGGTTAATATCAAAGCCAACTGCCTAATTTCCTCTTTAGATATTGGCTATGAGAATATGATCAACACAATGCTCAGAGACCTCTTCAAATTACTGGTAGCTTGTGTGGCAGAACCCACAGAATCCATCTCTAGAGTTGGGTGCTCCTGTATCAGGTAATATGGCTTTCATTTCTATATTCATTTTACACATAGGCCCAGTTTGCACGTAACACTAAACCTCACAGGTCCTTTGGGGGAGGCACACAATTAGACATGAAATACTAATGTGAAAGTTAAAATTGCCTCTAGTTAAAGAAGGTATGGGTTCTAAAGGCTTCTGCAGAAAATGTCAGAAAATTATTCTTTGCCAACTCAAAGTTCAGACTTTGAAAGCACCTGTCCACCCAATAACTCTGCGGCTTTGAAAGCAGTTTGCATCACTTCCCTTCATGCTTGAAGTATGGGGAGAAATACATTAGGTACTCCTTCAAATCTTACACAGGAGCACGTTCAAGTGATATTCCAAGGTGCCTTGATCTAAGCTTATGTATTGGGCTTCACTTGGCTCTTCATAGATCTACATCAATAAGAAAAGCCGTTTTGGCTTTTAAGCTAATCCCAGTTTTGCAATCGTGTTGTGAAATGGTTATTGGCTGGTTATCGGCTTCATGGTCTTTTCCTTTATCTATAGATATGTTCTAGTGACAGCTGGTCCTGTTTTTACAGAAGAAATGTGGAGGCTGGCATGCTGTGCGCTGCAGGATGCCTTCTCAGCCACTCTTGAGCCAGTGAAGGTATCACTTGCATTTAACTGGGAGCCGCAAGCATCTCTCCTAATATGTGGCTACTATTTTCTTAGACTGTTGCTCTCATCTATGATTACTTAGAGAGCAAACACCTTGGAGGGAGGGAGCATTGGTTGTTTGAACTAGCATCTCTGTGTGGATGACGTATAAGCAGCCAGCAAGATTTCTGCAATGACAGCGCTTTGGGAAAGCGGCTGAACCATCACAGAACTTTTGATGGCTTATGGTCTCTACTCATATGGAAAAGAAACAACATCTCTGCATAAGCTCAGGCAGGAGCTTGAATTTAGCGCCACACACACTTAAGGCAATCAAATAAATGGGGTACAACCTGTGCACGACCCATTCTAGTGGGCACTTCCAGACTCTCACTAGTGAGCACTTTAGAAAAAATAAGTTGGAAGAGCATGATGATGAAAGTACATCAAGTTCATCAATTAGGTATGTGTGTGAGAGAGAAAGAAACTGATGTCAGGCAGGGGTCAGCAAACCTTTTCAGCAGGGGGCCAGTCCACTGTCCCTCAGACCAGACTATTTTTTTGGGGGGGGGGGGGAAATGAACGAATTCCTATGCCCCACAAATAACCCAGAGATGCGTTTTAAATAAAAGGACACATTCTACTCATGTAAAAACATGCTGATTCCCAAACCGTCCGCGGGCCGGATTTAGAAGGCAATTGGGCCAGATCCGGTCCCCAGGCTTTAGTTTGCCTACCCATGGCTTAATATAACCTAGCACAATCTTTTTTAAAAATCAACCCTATTGGTTGCTTAGCATTCAGAATACACACTGAACATCTGGTGCTGTTTCTCTGCAGAATCTGTTGGGCTATTTCCACAGCGGTTCTGAAAACTTCGCTGGGGATGCCTGTGAGGTGAAAGTGGCAGCCCCTTCCCTCTCTCCTAGTGCTGAAGCCGAATATTGGAGAATACGGGCCATGGCTCAACAGGTGAAGACTTTGAGAGATATAATGAGCAAAATGCATATTAAATTAAACCTAGGCACTGGTGCAGGCTTAACACTTCTACAGTAATCAGTTGGATTTGCATGCTTAACTGTGACTGGATTGTTTCCTGTGAGCTTTGCTTTTACAAACAGTTCATGGTGAGATTTCTTAATTGTTTTAAGCCGTCTTTTTAATACAATTTCAATTAAGGAACAGTCAGGTATTGATGCCAACATTAATTAAGCATTTTAAGATGGCTAGGCCTGATGCACCTCCGTTTAGTGAATGCTTCTTCTCTTGCCGAGTTGATAATCTTTGGATGGGCTGGACCATGAATTTTTTTTGTAATGAAACCTAGTCTTCCTTTTTTTCTTTCCTCACATGAAACTATTTAACTCAGTAGTGGGTTTATCTGGGCAGAGAGCATCACTTGCTGTGCTGGGTGTTGCCACTTTTAGAATTCCATTTACAGTCCTGGGTTAAGGATATATAAAGAACTGCCTTGTACCAAATGAGGCCTTCAACCCATCTAACCCCCTGCTGCCTGCTCTGTGTTGTAAATGGATGCAGTTTATGAACTCCTCAACCTTTTACACAGTTCTGCTGTGGGAATTCCAGAGTCTGGGACATCCACATGTGCAAATTGTGTGCTCTGCTGCTGTGTTACGTCCCCTTCCTGAATTGGCCCAGGGCTTTAACAAGTTGGTATTATTTGTTTTTGTAGGTGTTCATGTTAGACACACAGTGCTCCCCCAAAACGCCAAACAACAAAGAAGGGTTTGAGCATGCTCAGTCCTGTGTGCTTATCATCGAGTTGCCTCCTGACAAGAAGCCCAATGGTCATACGCAGAAAAGGTAAGGTGACTTGTTTATTACAAGACCCAGAGGGCAAAGCAAGACATCAGACAGGTGCAGGGCATAAAGGGAAAGTCTGCACATCTATTTAAATCTGGGCAGATTTGTTTCTTGTGGCAAAGCATGAAAGGCAATCCGTGCTGACCCTCAAGGAGCACTTTTTCTCATCCTGTCATCCCAGTCTTCACTCAAGCTAAACGCTTGCCATGATTGGCCATGTTGAACACTTACCTTGGTCCCAGTAGCTTGCATTAGATGCAGGCCTTCATTGCAGATCTTAGACTCCCATCTGTAATGCAGAATACAAACCAGTCACAGTATATGGGGAAAGTGCAGGATATTTAGGAAAACATGGCTTCACGAGCAGTTATTGCAGAAAGCCACTGGCTCTTACATCTGAATTGCTATAATTATTATTAAAGGCATTTTGTAACAACAGTGAGCAACATTTTATGAATATATATAAGCATTTTCTTTCTGGATCAGACCTAGCCCCAGCACTCTGTTTTGTAGCCAGATGCCTTACCAAATGATGTTGAATTGATGCTTGCCTCTGTTGCATGTCTGGCAATCAGTTGCAATGCCTCTGTTCATTCAGCTAGCATGGTTAATAGTTGTTGTTAGGTCTCTCTTTCACGGCTGGGAGATGGTCAAGAATAGGGGTGAAGGGAAAACGCACTGCCTCTTCTACAGCTGTGCAAACTGTCTCCCTCCCTGCCCCCCATTTCTTCCGGAGGGCTTGTCGTGACTGATTTTGGAAGTTTCTTTAGAGTTACTTCTGCCTCCTCTTCTCCCCCTTTACTGCAGTAGCAAAGCAAGTGTCTGCTACAAGCTTTGCAGCACATAGTGTGGAAGATGAGGAACACAGGAAGAAGGTGCCTTATATTGAGTCAGAGCATTGTTCCATCTACACTGAATGGCATTGGCTCTCCACATTTTCAGGGGCTTCTCCCATCCTAACCTGGGATTGAACAGGGGATTGAACCAAGCACCTTCTGCATGTAAAGCATGTGCTGTAGCACGGAGCTACAATTGTTCCCCTGGGGTTTTCTGCTATAACGATTATATAGCCTAATCAGTCACTCTTGAGCCAGAGAAAATAATGTTCATGCTGCCCATGTTGTGCCTACACAGAAAACACTGTGATGAAAAATAGATGATGTATGAAGGGGACCTTACTGCCTAATTTGTTTTAGCTGCTTGATCCATAGTAAAGTATGGCTGCTCCCTGTTGATAAGGCTTGCTGCAACAGTAAGTTGTTTGCTTGCTTGCTTGCTTGCTTGCTTGCTTGCTTGCTTGTGCCTGTCTTGCATGCACAGCTCTGTAACCGTGCTGGCCTTTTGTAGAATTCCTCTTTTCCTATCTGATTTTCTTTCCTTTCTTTTTTTTTTTAATGCCGCCCATCAATGCACAGGAAGCTGGGGTAAGGGAGCATTTCAGCCTAATGCAAAAGGCAAAATAAAAGTCCTTGATTTAATATCTATTCTCTTCCACAGAAAATACCGTTTTAGCTAGGCAGTCCTAGCAATAAAAGAAACTGCTGTTTGCCAACCGCCTAGGTTGAAAGGTTACATATTCCGCCCCCTCCCAATTCTCAGGCTGGTTTTTGCCCAGAATTGGGCCAGTGCAGCTGTAGCTGCAACCGCTTGATGCGCTGGAACCTCTGTCTGAAATGTTCTTGGAATGGGAGGTTTCACTCCCACAAGAAAGTTTCATGTATATAGTCCCCTCACCACAGTGTTGTGTGAGTGCACGAAATATGGGGGACTCTCCCGCCCCCATGCACAATGCTGGCACATTTCAATATGTCACTGTATGATTTGCATGCACTTTAAAAGGGAAGCACAGCCCCAGAGCCCCTTGCACCACTGAGCTGAAGTCCGCATGCAGCTGGGGCACAACACTTTGGACAGACATCAGCTTCTGCCTCGAGAATTTCTATAGTGGGTCACTTTTGATGAGGCCCATGAAATGAATGCCAGAGTGCAACCACTAGAGAGTGTCGCAGCACAAGAGAAGGAATATATTTTTCAAGGACATGGGCAGAAATGGAAGGCCTGGGAGCTGGGGGAAGAGATTCAAGCTCAGAAAACAAATTTCAAGGTAGCTACATTTCCATGAGGCTGACTGGATGCAGAACAAACCGATTTGTTTGTTTTCATTCATGCTCAAATAATATATTCTCCACTTGAAAATGCTAGCTTTGTGTTCCTAATTACTGCTGCAATCCTATGCATTGTTATTTGGAAGTAACTCATTGGTACTTATTCCCAGGTAATTGAGTTTATGACTGCAGCCAAAGACTTAACCTTTTATTTTCTTTATGCACACAAAATAGAGAATAGCACACTGTCCAGACCATCATCTGACCCATATCTATAAACTTATTCATGGTGGTAAATAGGCCAAATATCCACTGTGGCTTGAATGTTTGGCCTTTCATTTGTATTCTTTGGTGTGATACCAAGGTATACATACATCCAGTTTTCCCCTGATAAATTCCCTTATAAAAACCCTGGGGTGTTGTTCACTTGCCTCCATTTTCAAATAATATTTTGTTTAACATTACATTGCTATAATAATGAATTATCCATGTTACAAAACACATATTAATGTATAAATAGAAGACTAACGTAAATGTTGAGGATTTTGTATGATAACTCTTTAAAGCAAATATGAGGAACCTATCACCCTTCAGGTGTTGCTGTACTGCAACTCTCATCATCCCTGAGTGTCGGCTATCTGGGCTAGGACTGTTGGGACTTGAGAGTCCAGTGGCGTGTGGAGGGGCACAGGTTTCCCAAACCCTGATGTCAAAGAATATGTCTCCTTGGTAGGAAAGGTGGCGTATTAATATAATAAATAAAAACATTTTAATTTGCGGGGAGTGTTAAATTCAGTTTGGGTCAAAATTGTAGGAGAATGCAGCAAGAAAATGGATTGTGCATGTTGCCTGGACAATATTGATCCAGAGCAACTTTTCCCAACTTGGTGCCCTTCAGGTGTTCTGGACTACAGTCCACATCAGCCCCAATCAACATTGCCAAAAGCAATTATAGGAATTATAGTTCAGAATATCTGGAACAGTACCTGGTTAAGGAAGGTTGGCACAGAGATAGTGTTTTGAGGGATTTTTTGTAAGTAGCTATCATATTGATTGTGATATAGTTATAAATTCACCAGCTGGAGTTCCTTGGAGGAACAGTAGGATATAAATTCAAGTGATTTAAAAATATTATTGAGATACTCAGTGTGTTTGTCATTCCTTCCCCAACCCCTTCCACCTTCTGGCTGCATGAAGTATCCCTTTCAGAACAATTGTAGTGAGCCTGCTGTCCCACCAAGTGCTGCTACAGAATTTGTACGATATTTTGTTGGAAGAGTTTGTGAAAGGGCCCTCGCACTCTGAAGAGAAGGCTGCGCACCAACCACCGGAAACTAAACTGGCAGGCTTCCTCAGGTACATTTCTATGCAGAACTTGGCTGTCATCTTTGACTTGCTGCTGGATTCCTACCGGACAGCCAGAGAGTTTGATACGAGGACTGGGCTGAAGTGCCTGCTCAAAAAGGTCTCTGGCATTGGTGGAGCTGCCAACTTGTACCGCCAATCGGCGATGAGCTTCAACATTTACTTCCATGCCTTGATCTGCGCTATTATGACCAACCAGGAAAACATCACTGCGGAGCAGGTGAAGAAAATCCTCTTTGAAGATGACGAAAGAAGCACTGATTCATCCCAACAGTGCTCTTCAGAAGACGAAGACATTTTTGAAGAGACGGCCCAAGTAAGCCCACCAAGGGGAAAGGAGAAGAGGCAGTGGAGGGCCAGGCTGCCATCTCTGAGTGTCCAGCCTGTCAGCAATGCAGACTGGGCTTGGTTAATCAAAAGGCTTCATAAGCTCTGCATGGAGTTATGCAACAACTATATTCAAATGCATCTGGATTTGGAAAGCAGTGCCGATGAGCTCCCGGTCTTCCGAGGAGACCCCTTCTTCATCCTTCCGTCCTTCCAATCTGAAACATCCACCCCATCTACCGGAGGCCTCTCTGGGAAGGACACCCCTTCGGAAGATGACAAAAGCCAAATTAGGGATTCCCTGATGGAGAATGTCACTCCCAAAGGAGGGAGTGGAGATATACTGCTGCTTCCGCCCTTGAGTCCCAAAACAGAGAAGAAAGACCAAGGCAGGAGAAAAGAGTGGTGGGAGAGCGCTGGCAACAAAATCTACACCATCGCCACAGACAAAACTATCTCGAAGCTCATGACAGAATATAAAAAAAGGAAGCAGCAGCATAACCTGGCCACTTTCCCCAAAGAGATGAAAGTCGACAAGAAAGGGGACCCGCTAAGCACCAGAGGGCCAGATTCCCCCCTCCCACAAAGGCCTCAAAATCTGGTTGATCAGGGCCAAATGAGGCACTCCTTCAGTGCAGGGCCAGAGATTTTGAGACAGGAGAAGAGGTCACGCTCTGGGTCAACGGTCAGTTCACTCAACATATCCGTCCGGGATGGGGAGGCGCAAATACAGGTAAGAAAACAGCCTGACGGAGAAACTTAATATGGAAGAAAATCTGCCTTTTCAATTGCAGTAGTTGTTTTCCTCGTGTGGGATTAAGCAGAAAGCAGGTCTTCCGGAAATATGCATTCATTATTGTAGAATATCACACACACTTGTGCTTGGGTAAAATATTAAGGTGTCCCATACAGCCACACCCACCTGCCCACTGACCCTTGCAACCTCTGAGCCAGAGCAGCCCATTATACCCCATGTTCTATCAAGCTTCAGGTTCTTTGTGAGTTTCTTATGGTAACTTCCAGCCTCAACAGGAGGTTTGTGACACTTCCTACAATAACTTGGCTTATCCAGTACTTTCCATTGCTGTCCCTTGCCTTGCTTTTAGTTTTTCATTTTAGTGTGTTTGCCACACCAGCTACTCCTTCATGCATCTTGGCCTTACCAAAGTGAATCATATGCATGGTGAACCAAGATGGCTTGGGGTGGAAAAGTTAATTATAGGACTAGCCCTCAGTGGCAGGCTGTGTTTTGAACCTTAAAGACTTTTTCATTGGGCAACTTAAGTTTGATGCTGACGTTTTTCAGAAATTACTTCATATTTACATTATGAGCTATATTCTTCACGATGTTTTTACACAGCTATATAGTTACAGATTTCCTCTCTCCCTGTATCATTTTAGGCATGGACCAACATGGTATTGACAGTTCTTAACCAGATTCAGGCCCTTCCAGACCAGATCTTCACAGCTCTCCAGCCAGCTGTGTTCCCTTGCATCAGTCAGCTGACTTGTCATGTGACTGACATTCGAGTTCGCCAGGCTGTGAGAGAATGGTTGGGCAGAGTGGGCAGAGTGTATGACATTATTGTGTAGTAGACACTGGATGCAGTACCCACTAGAGAATGAATTGAAGGCATACTAATATAAAGTACAGTTACTGAAATGTTATCTTTTGAAAGTGATGAGGTAACTGTCTACTTGCTGGTAATTAGAAACTGGCAACATCTTTCCCATGCCGTTAACTGCTTAAGAGCACAGTTCAATCTTGCTCATGCCTACAAGAGCATGTGGTAACCACAGTGTGCTTATACATCAAGTATCCCAAAATAATACTGTATATTAAATCTGAAAATGCTGTTTTAAGTCAGGCTGATATATGAAAACTCAGTATATTGATGTTGCATATTTTTCAAAGAGTGAAGTATTTCTCCACAGGGAAATGGCAGTGGAATGAAGGTGGCACAAAATGGACACCTTCACAAAAGTAGGCTAGATACAGAACAATCAAAGTGAGAGCCTGCTTTCACAAACCTTCAATGTGGCATCAACATCTTCCCACTCTAGTGCAATTTTGACTTAAGTACATTCTGAATGCAAGCTCTTTGATTTTCTGAAGAGTACAACAGATGCATAGGTGTCTTTAGTATAGAACCTTTTTGTGCCCCCAAAACTGGCAGACTGACATTTGAAAGTATCTCAGTTTAAAAAAACAAAAAACAAATTGATGGAACTCAATGAGCTGTTTCAATAAATTGTTCATGTAAAACGTGACATGAAAAACAGATGACCCAAATTCAAAAACTGATACATTTTCAAAATTCACAGTGCACATTTCATTTTCTATCACACACCAGGGTTGTGGTGAGAATCAGCTGTGCACTGGCTTCTGAGCCCCTTTTAATGTGATTTGGTGACATCCTAGATGTGGATGCGGTATGGTGTGATATGGCAAGAGCAGCTTGCCTGGTGGAGCATCGGTGTTGCTGACCAAGAGGAGGGACGAGCAACTGTGTAGTTAGGGCTGTGCTGTCACACAGCCCTTATCACACCTTTCCTCTTCCTCCCAGAAGTGATAGCAAGACTCCTACTGGAAGGCTGTTCCTGCAGTTCTGCCCCACTGGGGGAAGGACTGTTATGCTATGGTGCTGGAAGCTGTCTAGGGAGGAAATAGTTAATCCTGCATAGGATAACATATGCCAAAAGCCATAGACTTCTAAGAGGTTTCGCCTCCTTTGATGTCAAGCCAAAGGTCTTTAAGTAAGGGAAAAGATCATAAATATGACTACAGAAAAGAAACATAAAGCTGCAACTTGCCTGTTTTCTACAACAGCTGCCTTGTCCCATTCCTACATTGTAGGTGAACATGTCGGATGCTTGACTACTGCCCCAGAATTCCCTCTGTGGCCACCTCAATTTGTTTTTTCTCCATGAAAAGAAATAAAATAATTATGTAGGTTTGGAAGGTGGTACCCATTTTATGCTCTCATCTGTCCTGTGAGGCTGCTTAGTTCGAGAAAAGGGTAAAGCAGCCTTCATATCAGAACAGGGATTTGAACAGAGACCTTTCACCCTGGTCCTCTTAAATCTACTTTCTTTATCCAAGCTGTCTAGCATACACAGCTAAATATATAGTCCATTAATTAGAAAAGGGCCTATAAAATATGGGTGTGGCCACCTTTATTTATATGCCACAGTTATATGTTGCCTATCTCCCACTGCATTCAAGGTGGTCCATAATTTTGAAAAATTGCTTGCATTTTAATCGGTATGATGCAAAAGCAAAAGGGGACACAGAAAGCAGAGAAAAATAATTGCATTCAAGTACTCTGCAGGACAGTTCTGTGCAAGGACAAACCAAGTGGTAGCTGTTCCTAACCTAGCTGAAAGAGTAGCACTTGCTGTCCCAGCTCTGCCTCTGGTGCAGAATGGTGACTGATGAGAGCAGCTCCCATAGGGGAGGAGCCAGCTGGGTTTGGCCCTAGATAAGCATATGGAGAGAGGACTTGCTGCCACCCCACCCAAGTGATAGCTGGCCTCATCCAACATAGGAGGCCTCACGTCTTAATTATTTCTAAAACACAACAGCTAACCCTCAAATCCGTTTGGCACATGGGCCCATACACATGTCCATCACATACCCAGGAGATCAGACTGAGTCTTGTCAATGATGACCTCAAAAACAGGGTGCACAGATTGCAAGGCTGATGCAACTATACAGGTAAGCCTTGCAAGAGCAGGGGTTTTTTTAAAGACCCCCAACAAAGTAATGTGTGATCTCAGGGTCACTTGCAGTGTCAAAGATGATGATGCTGAGGACAACTTTTGGATGGCACATCACAGCCTCTCATGCCAGCCCTGAATATTGGTCTCATTAATTGAACTGAAAAGGGGTGAGTCTTCATCAGCCTGATTTATGATGCATTGCAGTTTGCCTTGGACAAAAATTCCCTTACTCCTCCCTCTTTGTTTGTATGTTAAATGAATGGGAGACTATGAATGTACACAATCTCACAGCTGCTGAATCCTTGTAACTATATTATGGAATTCTTTGTCAAAGAAGCTGCTACTGTGCCCGAATTTGATTGTTTTGTTCTTTTTTTCCATTTTCCATTTAAATATGCAGTGTTTCTATGGCTCTTTGTGAAGTTGGAATTTTTTAGGGGAACATTTTCAAGTGATGCACGCCTACATTGTTTGTTAGTTGGATTTTATATGCAATTCTAGCTTGTCCCCTATAAGCATCTATTTAACGGAGTCATTAAATAGAGAGAGAAAGATATACAACACTCAGGATTTCTGCATCTGTTCTACTGAATGCCAAAAAATAGTAATTCCTGGATTGCTAACAGAGGGGTCGTCGTCCTCCCCGGTACAATGAAGTATATGTTACATGTGAACCAATATTGTGAATTGCACACGTTGAGAAGATAAGTGTGGCATGACAAGATTTTTATGGCCATTATTACAGGAAAGACAAAAGTGGACTATTGTTACTTTTCTTAAGGAGCTGAGGCAGTACAGCCACCAACTGCAAAAGCCACCTTAAACCATTCCTGATTGCAGCTGCCCAGCAGATCAGGATGTTTACCCCACATTGCGTCCATCCTCTCTCTTTGGATGCCAGAAGCAAAGCAAACCATATAAGCTGGCCTTCAACATAAAGGTATGGGAAGTTTTGGCTGGTGAGCGGGGTAGAACAGGATAGAAGCACCACATAGGGGGGATTGTTGAGGGGTTATGCACTAGGTGGAACAAATGGAAACTCATTTTGGTGGCTTAACAGAACGCAGTAGCATTGTTAGGAGTGGAGGCAGTCTGGACTTTTCGGCTGACCTTGAAAAGCTGCTATAGCCTTAGGTGATAATGAAATAAATTGCACAGACTGAAAAGGCAAATGTCAAATCAGTCATGAACCACAAAGGCAAGTCTTATGGGTGTGGCAAAGTCCCTTTTGAGCTTCCTTCTCTGCCAGCAAAAGGCTTCCCAGTCACGTTCAATGGAAGGAGACACTTAATAAGTTCACTGGCCAAGTTGCACCTTCTGCTGCTATGAACTAGAAAGTTCTTACGAGCAAAGAGTTGCATATGCATGGCTGATCTTGCAAAGCATCCATGCTCCTCTAGTGGACATGGCAAGGCATAGGAACTCATTGAACCTTTGCTTTCTCCCACCCAATCTCAAAACAGGGGATCTTGGCCAATGCCACACACAGCATTATGTGCATTAAAGCCTGCACCATTTCACAATGAAAAGCTCCTGTGATTATATAACATGGCACACATTATTATTATTATTATTATTATTAAATGTATTAGTTGCCCTCCACCAACAGGTCCCAGAGCACATTACAACAATTTAAAATTTAGAATTAAAAACCGTTAAAAGAAATTAAGAGCAAAAGGAGTAGGGTGGGTCCTGAAAACAAGCATCTCAGGTGTCAAAGGCCAGGGGGCAGAGGATGGAACTTGTACATTACAAAAATCAGAGCGGCAGCCCTGTGTCAGGCTTGCTCCTCCACCTCCATTCTGTGTAGTGCAACTTCTCTCATGTCCAGTGATCTCTGCTGTAGAAGTATTTTTCTGCTAAGACCTGGGGGCAAAACTGAGAAAATGCTGTGAGCAGCAAGATAAGGGCAGGGTGTAATACACGTCAGAGGGAGAAGACTTAGCACAGGGCTATCATATTGGATCTTGTTTGTTCGTCTAAATATAGTTCTGCCCACAGAGAACACTCCATCTTAACTAAAATGGAAAAGATGCTGTACTACAGAACTGCAACGTCATTCTTAGAGCAACGAAGCTGCTTATTTATATGGCAAGAGTCTCTTCCAGCAATGGTTACTGTCTACCATTTGGGATACAGTGCCAAGCTAAATGGATAGAAACCACTTTTCTATTTATTGCTAAGAAGTGAAAGCCCCAAAGGACTGTTCGTTCTCTTATGCCAAAGATACAACTCGCTCAAAAGTGAATATAACAACAACAAAATTGACTTGGCTTTCATTATGGAGCCTTGCTCCATTTCACATATAGGTAGAAAATCACAGGAATCCAAAATGTATTGAAGGCTACAAATGGGTAAACCCAGCCTTTTTGCCCTATAAGATGATTGTAGCCTTTTGCAAGCATAATTCGCAAAGCACTGAAGGCCTGCAATTTGGGAGGAGGTTGGTAGGTAAGAATGACCAGGAAAGATGCAGTAGAGCAATGTATGTTCCCCTTGGTTCAATGTCAGTGCGCTCTGTATAAACAGAGTGGCCATATAGAGTCAGCATATGCCTACACAACTATGAATATATGTTATTAAACTTTCCTTGAATCCTGCCCCATCTTTCCTTGTGATGTTAAATTAAAATGACTTCCCTAGTCCCCTTTCCTCTTTTCTTATGAAACAGATTTGTTCCGTTTCAACCCCCCCTGTGTCTATGTTGAACAGTTCGTTGTAAACCACTTTACAAAATGTATTTTGTGTATATTTTGTTCAAAGGGAATTCTTAAAGGAAGATATTTTAAAACAAATAAACTATTTATGTTGCTCGTGTTGTAGAATAAAGTAAATCCAAAATTCAACTACTTGGAGGTGTGTGTTGTTTTTGCCGTATCAGCAACGGGGAGCATATTATGCGGCAGATGTTTATACATATAAAAAGTTGACGTAAGGAACTCCTCCGTCTCTGGCACAATTTGAGACAGATGAACACTCAGAAGGATGACCACCACAGAAAAAACCCACGGTTCTCATTGTTTGTGAACACCCACAAGAAGAATGCATTGACTTCGGATGGGCTGATTGACAAGGAGGATTGCCAGTATCCCACCTCCACCTCATCTCATTATAACCTTTAGTGCGCTTTTTTCCTCTCTGTGGCTTCTTACAGAGGAAAAGCGAGTGGGGAGCTGACAATCCACCCTACTGAAGCCATTTCTACGACAGAGAGTTACTAGAGGCCTGCTGAGAGGGATTATTTTGATAAACAGGAAGATGGGCAGAAGCATTTAGGAAGCTTCTCTGTGGAAACGTATTAATAACTGCATGAGATTATGGCTCTGGAAGTTTTGGGGGCTCAATCTTGGGAAGGCTGCACCCGACGCTTCCTAAGCAAACTTGGCCCTCTAGCTGTTTTTGGACCACAACTCCCATCATCCCTAGCTAACAGGACCAGTGGTCAGGGATGATGGGAATTGTAGTCCTAAAACAGCTGGAGTTTGGCCATGCCTGACCTAAAGCTTGTGCTGTATATCACCATCATCATGATCTATAGATTTCTCATCTGAGTGAGTTTGATTTTCTTTCTCTCCACCTAAAGACAGCTTGACTTATGCAGCTGCACTGTTCATTCTCTGTTCAGAAGAGCACTGCCCACTTTTCTTTACAGAAGGGAGGACCATTACTGAATGAAGTCGTGCAGGAATATTATTCAGACAGGAAACACATACAAATGGAGGTCAACAGAAGACGATGGGGTTGGCTGCTGACAGTAAAGGGGTGCATCGCTTAACTTGTTTCCCCTTTCCCACCTATATACAGTAGTTCCCTTCTTAAAAATAAAAGGCATGTCAAGGTTAAAGTGATTACTAATGTGGCCCTTATGAGGTACTATTCTGTAGACATCTCTGAAAACAATTGGAAATATCAAGGACTCCCATAACAGAAGCAAAAAAGTTTCATCTCTGAGAAATCATTTGCATGGCTGAATACCCAGAGTAGCCAACAAGACTACACAGCATTTGATTTTCTTCTGGCTCATTCCCCGAGTGATTACTAACCTTCCTGACATTTCATTTTACAGCTTCTTCATATATTTTTCAGAGGCCCAGTGTAATTACGATAATCTAGTCTCCTGCCTTATGTTACAAAATCAATACAGTTTTACCCACTTGTCCCCTCAAAGTCCATGGCACCTCATTGTGGTTGCTCTCAGGCCTCGCGGGTGTGTCAGCAACTGCAGCGGACTGTCGAGAGCCGCGGTCTGTGAAGTGGATCACTCCCACGAAATGGAAGGTATTTGTATCAGGTTTCCTTTCTAGTTACACAAAGAACATTTGCGCTTCCTGCATCTGTTGGCTTGAGGTCAGAAAGTTTGTCATGGAAATAGCACTGATTAAAAATTTAGTAGTTCCAATTCCTTAAAAAAATAAATAAGAATCTCAAGGTTTAGGTCTCCTTCAGCAGGATCAGTGAGCTCATTAAACAAGAAGAAGGGGGCCTGGAATAAAAAATAATAATTCCCTGCTGTAACTTTCATTAATTAACAAAGGAACAAAACTTCCCATTATCTAAAATTAATGAGACCACTTTGCCGAACCTTTTCAATCAATCCATATGTTTTGTTTTATTTATAACTTCCTTGTCATATTAAGCACCTACCCCAGCATCTGCAGAACACCCCACTCCACAAAATTTGAACCCAAAAACCTTATCATTTCAGCAGCCAGATCAAAATAGAACAAACAACTTCTCAAGAGAAACCCCTACTATTGAGTAACTTGCAAGTTCTACAGCTTTTATAAATGGAAGGGAATTTTAACTATTTTAAGACAAACGTTTTCACTGAAATTACTACTAAACCACAGAAGCACCCATGCTTTGATATCAGCGAACCAACCAGGCAGTATCCCAGCAATATTAGGAAGTGAATTTGTTCAAGCACCACTTTGGGTTTTCACAGGTCTTACACTGACAGCAAAGGTTTTAGACTAAAAGACTTGATCAGAAATCTTTATAAAATCAAAATATAAAACAATACTTACAGGATAACATGTGAGCATTGAACATACACAGAAAAAGCACAATAGTGGCAGCTGCAATAAGGGATCTGATGTGGGAGCCATGGATTTCAGCTATGTTGTTTTGCTCCTGCCTTCAGATTTGCCCTCTGATCCCGATCCTGATTGCTCTTTGGTCAAGCTTGTTCTTGAACCCTTTCTCTTGGTTGCCCTCATATCTGATTGTCCTTTGGTCCTGGCTCTGGGCCAGACTTTTGCCCATACCCCAACCTTGCATGACACAAAAGGAAAAATGTGGCAGGGAGGGAAGAAGAAAACTTGAAAACAATTGTTGGATCACTCTAGATCTTGCGCATATCAGTTCCACTAGAAATGATGGCACAAAGTTCCACCTGCTCAAGCCACACCACTCAAACACCAATCTTGTTCCCTATATGTAAGAAGTACTATTTAAAAACATAAATAAAAGTAGTAGAAACACTTCTCTAACTGTTCAAGCCAATCATCAGGAAAGGATGCATAATGATATGCAGAATAAACAAACCATCTCCAGGCTTGCTCATGTCAGAATTTAGTCTTTGACACATGAGAATATCTGAGCAGTAAACCTTTCCCTAATACACTAAGGCTGAAGGAACATTCTGCTATACGGAGAAGCAGAGTATCTGGACTTAATTCATATTGCTTTCACACCATCTGCTTCTAGTTGTCATTTCCAGTTACCTGCTCAGAGGGGTGCATGTTGAATAGCCTGGCAAGGGTGCTCAGTTCTTGCAAGTTTCCACCAGCAATGAAGAGAGCAGAACCACTTCAAAAGCAAGATGTTCTTGCTATCTAGTGTTTGGGAGTCCAGTGCTAAATGCAACAATCGTTTTGAAAAATAACAGAAAGTAAGAAAGCATACTCCATGTAGCTGAACACGACATCTGACTAGCACGTGCTCCTCAGTACATCATGGTGCAGAGTACTTTTTGTCTCCCATCCACAAGGTAAGAAGCAAACACAATGCAACTTGTTCCATAATACCCCCCAGGTTCCCTGACCAAAGCAGCTGAACAGAGCATTGTGTTAGAATGAGCTGAGTTTCAATAGCTTTCATTTCTACAGTAGAAACACCACAGGCAGAATCTAGTAGAATAACAGGTTTGTTAAACTGCATGAACGCAACAGAATACCTAAAAATGCTCTACTTTAAACAGTAGCTAATACTAAACAGAATTAATTCCATTCTTAGAAAAGCGCAACTGGAATGTACTGTTGTCACCTCATGAATCGTTTCACAAACACCATATATTGGAAAGCAGAAAATCTGTTGATAAGTTTCTCTCTGCACAATTATTTTGGAACTACCCAGAAACAAGGTGTATATACAGAAATAACTGCTCAAGTATATTCAAGAATATTTGTTCAAAAGGTATCAGTTGCTGCTATCATTTTTTCTCTTTATCACCATCATTGTCAGTATTTTGTCTATGCTCAGGTTCAGTAATTGTCCAATTTTATTAAAACAAGCGTCCCTTGGAGGAGAAAAATAAGCCTGAGCAGCCTCAGCTAAGGTTGCGGTCCTATACAGTGGTACCTCAGGTTAAGTACTTAATTCGTTCTGGAGGTCCGTTCTTAACCTGAAACTGTTCTTAACCTGAAGCACCACTTTAGCTAATGGGGCCTCCAGCTGCCGCCGCACCGCCGGAGCATGATTTCTGTTCTCATCCTGAAGCAAAGTTCTTAACCTGAAGCACTATTTCTGGGTTAGCGGAGTCTGTAACCTGAAGCATATGTAACCTGAAGCGTATGTAACCGGAGGTACCACTGTACATACTTACTTGGAAATGAACCCCATTGAACTCAGAGGCTAGAAGACTAAGAATTCATAACACATGAATATACAAGTTTGGCCAACAGATTTCAACCCAAGAAGAGTGCCCCAACAGCTCTACTGACAAAGTATTGGGCTGACAACCGCCCCCTGAAGTGGTAATACACATTCCTGTGCTCTTGGACCAATTTTTTCCACCTCTGATTTTGCTAAATTAAATCAGCAGCTAGAATCCCCATGAGTCTTCCAGCGAAGGCTCTCTTTAATAATGCACATTTCAATTCAAAAACTTTCACTTGGATGCAGAGACCATTTGCTTACTGTTTCTCGCTGGTCTTAGAAAGGAAAATGATGTTCCAGTAGTTTGAGCATTGGCTGGCAGCCAGAATCCTTGAATCGCAAGGCAAGTTTTGGCACAGCGGCCTTGGGCATCATGCTCAGAAGGCTCTTCTGCCCTCATCCTGCCTCTCAGGCGGGGTCTCCCCGAGAGCAACACCTTTGCTCAGAAACTTTGTTGAAACTCAAATAATGAACCACAACGAAGCCATGCAATTAAAAAACCCCTGTAATTTTCTAAGAATGTTATCTCCTGTTACTGTATTCTCTGTTTTGTTATTGTATTCTCTCTTCAAAAAATTAATAAAAGTTGTTTACGTAAAAATTAACAAAATCAAAAACAGCAGAATATGCAATTACCAAAACAAATGATGGGGAATACCATATAGCTATAAACTAACACAGGTCTTTACTGTGGACACACTTTCCATACAGTGGCACAATAAGGGCGGGACCTTGGTTTGTCCTTGTCTTACCACTTGTGGTTTGGGGAAAACAAACCAGGAGCTTGGTTTAGGATAACATGACAATTGAGACGGTGCCTTGATTTGTCCTTGGCATGACAGCAGCAGGAGCACAGGAACAGCACCACAGGAACTCATTCACATTAAGCCATAGTTTGTTTTAAATTCTGGCAGCTGACTGCTTTATATCCATTTCCTAATGAAGCAACTGAATATGTCTTCTCCTA